GGGTGCAGAATAGCGATCTGTGTGTCTCTGCAATGTGATGCCCTTGGCAGAGAGTTTTTCTCACACCTCCTTGCAAAAACTGCATAAGTGTGCGGATAAGTGCCAAATCTTGGGAGTCCGGCACGTGCAGGAGACACCTGAGTCTGCTTCAAGCAGGGCTGTTCTCTCTTTTCTGATCTCTCAAACGCACAACTCAGCAACCAGCTTTGCCCTCCCTAGACGGGGGGGAGCCTCTTTGGAAGCAGCTGGCGAAAAGCAATTTTTATTGCAGGACTGAGAAGCTGGGAATTTTCAGGTTGGGGGAGAATCGCCCTTTTGCTAATAACCTTGTTGGGTTTTGTGTGTGTGTGTTTTAAACCACCATTGCAGACATACAGCGTGGACATGTCCCGTTTTATACTGTTTTTGGTCCAAGGTTGTTCCCCTCTCTGATGTTGTACTGGCTAAACCTTTGATACCTGCAGAAGTTTGTGCATTTTAAAATTTACCCACATTTTTCCAGGTATTGTTTGTTTTTATTTTATCATAGATCCTCATTCTGTATTTTTATGTTGTGCACCACCTGCAATCTTTGGGTGAAGGGTGGTAGACAAATTTAATATAATATAATAATAATAATAATAATAATAATAATAATAATAATAATAATAAACATTTGGAGGACCAAATATTCCCCAGCCTTGGACTAGATGAATCTCAGCCTGCTCCAACAAAGCACTCAACTGTTTTGTTTCTTTTAACTTTTAATCAACTTTTTTTTTGTTCTAAAAGAGACACTCACATTTTTAAGCTCTTAGTGGGAGAAATTCCATCCATGTCTGGGACGCGTGGACGGTTGGACGTGTGAGATACAGGCGGAGAGGGAAAGAGAGGGGGCTTGTGTGGGATGGAGAGACCGTGTATCACTCTTTTGTCTCCAGGAGGCTCTCTCTGAAAGAAGAGGCACAGTCCGTTTCTGCTCCAGTTAACCACAATTCCACTTTTTCAAATATTGACTCGGCTGGCCTCAGGCCACCGGGAGGTGTGTGGACCCACAGCAACTTGGGAAGAAAGCAGCTTTCTTTTGCCCCCGCGCATGCATGCTGCGCCAGTTTGGTTGCCACTGAGATTTTCTGCCTTTTGGTGGGCTGGGTGCCTTTAATAGCAGCAGAGCAGGCAGAAATCAACTGGCAAAGCTGTTCCCATCAGTGCTTCCATGTGTCGGGAAAAGCTTCACGTTGTGGCGCTGGGCAGCTTCTGAGCAAGGACATGTGTATGTTTTGAGGGTGAATTTCAGCTTCCGTTCATGAAAGAAATCAAGTGTCTAGACCTTCGGATTGCAAAAGAATTAACAACAACAACAACAATTTATTTATACCCCACCCTTCTGGCTGGGTTTCCCCAGCCACCCTGGTTGGCTCCCAATAAAAGATTAAAAATACATTAAAACATGAGTCATTAAAACTTCCCTAAACAGGGCTGCCTTCAGATGTTTTCTAAACGTCAAAGTTGTTTATTTCTTTGACATCTGGTGGGAGGGCGTTCCACAGGGTAGGCGCCACTACCGAGAAGGCCCTCTGCCTCGTTCCCTGTAATTTGGCTTCTTGCAGGGAGGGAACCGCAAGAAGGCCCTCGGAGCTGGACCTCAGTGTATGGGCTGAACGATGGGGATGGAGACGCTCCTTCAGGTCTACTGGGCCGAGGCCGTTTAGGACTTTCCAACCATGGAGAGACCTGGTCTGAATAGAGACATTGGATTCTTATCTCATTATACATGATAAAGCTATTTTTGGCCATCTCACCCCTTGCTTTTTCCTGTAAAACCAATTGCAGTCGTTAACAGTCGTCAACAGGTTTAACCACCCCTTTCAGCCAATCACCTATTCCCACCACCCTTCTGAGTAATACCCCTCCCCATCCTCTCACTATATATAAGAGTCTGGTGACTTCTGCTTCAGTGTATCTGAAGAAGTGTGCGTGCACACAAAAGCTCATACCAATAACTAACATAGTTGGTCTCTAAGGTACTACTTTGTCCATGGAGTTTTCTTGGCAGGGATACTGGAGTGGCTTGCCGGTTCGTGCTCCAGGTGGATCACGTTTGGTCGAAACTCTCCACTATGACCTGTCCATCTTGGGTGGCCCTGCACGGCATAGCTCATAGCTTCTTTGAGTTATTCAAGCCCCTTCGCCATGGCAAGGCAGTGATCCATGAAGAATGGATGCTTTTGAATTCTGGTGCTGGGGGAGACTCTTGAGAGTCCCATGGACTGCAAGAAGATCAAACCTCTCCATTCTGAAGGAAATCAGCCCTGAGTGCTCACTGGAAGGACAGATCCTGAAGCTGAGGCTCCAGTACTTTGGCCACCTCATGAGAAGAGAAGACTCCCTGGAAAAGACCCTGAGGTTGGGAAAGATGGAGGGCCCAAGGAGAAGGGGATGACAGAGGACGAGATGGTGGGACAGTGTTCTCGAAGCTACCAGCATGAGTTTGACCAAACTGCGGGAGGCAGTGGAAGACAGGAGTGCCTGGCGTGCTCTGGTCCAGGGGGTCACGAAGAGTCGGACACGACTAAACGACTAAAGAACAACAACAACAAGGTGCTACTGGAAAGAATTTTTAAAATTATTTTATTTTATTTATTTTGTTAGGGCTTTCAAGGTCAGCACCAACACTTTGAATTGTGCTCGGAAACGTACTGGGAGCCAATGTAGGTCTTTCAAGACCGGTGTTACATGGTCCTGGTGGCCGCCCCCAGTCACCATTCTAGCTGCCGCATTCTGGATTAGTTGCAGTTTCTGGGTCACCTTCAAAGGTAGCCCAGCGTAGAGCGCATTGCAGTAGCCCAAGTGGGAGATAACCAGAGCATGCAGCACTCTGGCGAGCAGCACCAGAGTGATATCTCCCCGTTGCAAGCCTGGGCTGTGTGTCTATATAGATTGTCTGGTTGCTCCCACCTCCATAGATCTTTGCATCTCCTGTCCCACACCTGGCAGTCCACAGATTAAATAAAATGAGAATAGGAAGTCATAAAGCACAATAGGGATACATTTGAATTTGCAATTGCGTATAACAGGAACAATACAGATATAAGGTAAAGGTAAAGGGACCCCTGACCATTAGGTCCAGTTGTGACCGACTCTGGGGTTGCGGCGCTCATCTCGCTTTTCTGGACGAGGGAGCTTCCAGGTCATGTGGCCAGCAGGACAAAGCCGCTTCTGGCGAACCAGAGCAGCGCACGGAAACGCCATTTACCTTACCTATTTATCTACTTGCACTTTGACGTGCTTTCGAACTGCTAGGTTGGCAGGAGCAGGGACTGCACAATGGGAGCTCACCCCGTCGTGGGGATTCGAACCGCCGACCTTCTGATCGGCAAGTCCTAGGCTCTGTGGTTTAACCCACAGCGCCACCCGCATCCCATCAATACAGATATAGCAACAGTTTAAAAATATATAAATTAAAACTTAGTCACTAACACATAACCTAAACTTATCATTTAAAACCTTAATCATTATGATAGCACAGCTTGTTCCCTAAGTTTTATGGCAATCGCACAGAATTTGGCTACCATTAATGTGATCTCAGGATCCTTGTTCTCTACCAGGGATTTTAGACGTTGAAGTTTGGATTCATTTGGAGATTTTTGCATAGCAGGGGTAATAAATACCGAGTGTATATCCCCGTAGAAACAGCAGCGTAACAAGGCATGAGAGACAGTTTCTACCTCCATCAAACCACAGGGGCAGAATATAAAAAAGGCTGCTGGATCTAGTCTCGCTGTGGCCAAGCGGATCACAGCCATCATGATTTTATTTGTGCTTATGACACTTAAAGATTTATGCCATCGCAAACGTCGCAAAAGTTGTCATGAACAATAAATAAAAGGCATCCAAAAATACAAAACAAATGGAACTATTTTCACATAAATCCTAACAAGATCTAAGAAGAAAGGTACAAAAAATTTAATCTGTTCCGGAAGTCCGTTTCAAAACCAAAGCGTTCCAAAACTCCTTCTGGGCCTCATCAATAGGAGTATAGCATCTAGATCAAGGGAAGTAATAGTGCCACTGTATTCTGCTCTGGTCAGACCTCACCTGGAGTACTGTGTCCAGTTCTGGGCACCACAGTTCAAGAAGGACACTGACAAACTGGAACGTGTCCAGAGGAGGGCAACCAAAATGGTCAAAGGCCTGGAAACGATGCCTTATGAGGAACGGCTAAGGGAGCTGGGCATGTTTAGCCTGGAGAAGAGGAGGTTAAGGGGTGATATGATAGCCATGTTCAAATATATAAAAGGATGTCATATAGAGGAGGGAGAAAGGTTGTTTTCTGCTGCTCCAGAGAAGCGGACACGGAGCAATGGATCCAAACTACAAGAAAGAAGATTCCACCTAAACATTAGGAAGAACTTCCTGACAGTAAGAGCTGTTTGACAGTGGAATTTGCTGCCAAGGAGTGTGGTGGAGTCTCCTTCTTTGGAGGTCTTTAAGCAGAGGCTTGACAACCATATGTCAGGAGTGCTCTGATGGTGTTTCCTGCTTGGCAGGGGGTTGGACTCGATGGCCCTTGTGGTCTCTTCCAACTCTATGATTCTATGATTCTATGATTCAAAACCAAGGAGCGCTTTCCCATAGAAAGTAATGCAAAAGGGATTAATCCGTTCCAGACTTTTAAAAACAACCCCTAAAACAGCAATTTAACATGAATTTTACTATCTAACAAGACCATTGATCCATAAAATGAAAGCAATAAACAATGTACTGCAGTCACACAGTCAATCAATCAACCAACCAACCAACCAACCAGTAACAACTGATATGGATTTTGTGTGTGTGTGTGTGTGTGTGTGTTTAGTGTTGGTTTTTGTGTTTTGTGTATTATTATTTTTTGATAGTTTTCGTGTTGTTGTGTGGGAAATACTAATAAAATTTATAATTTAAAAAACAAAAATGAACAACAACATCTGGGTTCCACACAGTCACAAATACAAAACAAAAAGAGCTGCAAAAACAACAATGCAAAATAAATAGCAAAAACAGACAGACCTCAGTGTAACACTCAAAACTGAAGTGTGGCACTCAAAACGGAGCACGAAAAATTTGCAAACCGAAACGCTTCCTTCCAGGTTTGCAGTGTTTGGGTTCCAAGTTGTTTGAGTACCGAGGCGTTTGAGAACCAAGGTACCACTGTACCGGCAACAAAAATCCATACCCTGTCAGTTCAGCCTCAGCTTTTGCAGCTGGAGTCAGTCCAGGCCCTGCCCTCCCAGGCCAGGTGGGAAAAGACCTGCAAGGCAGGGAGCAGGTCTTCCAAGAATCACAGCCAAGATGGTCGCAGCCAAAGGCTCATGGAGAACCTGCGATCAGGATTCGAACCCAAGAGCAGCTATCCCCTCTTGTGGCTTCCAGCAACTGAGATTCAGAACCATTACCGCCTCCGACTGCGGCTCCATTGCGGCCAGAGGCCACCAACAGCCCTTTCCTCCATGAATTTGCCCCATCCTCTTAAAGCTGTCCCAATTGGTGGCCAATCACTGCACCCAGTGGCAGGGAGTTCCATAGTTTAACGATGTGCTACATCAACAGGTCCTTTCTTTCTCGGATGCCTGAGAAAACCTTTGCCAAGGTGTGGTTTGGCCATGGTTCACTCCGAGGTGGTCTTTCCGGACCAGGCTGTGTTGGGATAGGGAGTGGGTCCAGATTCTCTCCCCACACTTGAGCCCCTGGCATTCGCCGAACCCAGCTGAGAGCACTTGAACTGTTTAGTCTTCTGGGCTGGTGCCACACGGCCTCCGAAATTCCTGTCCATGTTCATGGAACCACTTGTTGGCCACTATTAAAGAGAGGTGGGGATTAATAATACAGAGGTACCTCAGGTTACATACGCTTCAGGTTACATACGCTTCAGGTTACAGCCTCCGCTAACCCAGAAATAGTACCTCAGGTTAAGAACTTTGCTTCAGGATGAGAACAGATATCGTGCTCTGGCGGCGCAGCGGCAGCAGGAGGCCCCATTAGCTAAAGTGGTGCTTCAGGTTAAGAACAGTTTCAGGTTAAGAACGGACCTCCGGAACGAATTAAGTAACTTAACCCGAGGTACCACTGTAATAATAATAATAATTTCCCTCATTTCCCCTGACAGGAACTACTCAAGGCAGCTTACAGTTAAATAGAAACAGCTAAAAACACAGAAGGAAAAAGCAGTAACTAAAAAAACCATTAAATATGAGTCTATTTGGCCACTTTCATGATTATTCGATATGTTTGGTACAAAGAAGAACCTTGTATTCATTCCACTGTCGAATATATTTTACACCACTCATTCCTTTTCAAGCATTCTTTGATTATTACGATTATCGTTCTATTATCTTGCGCTTTATTCTTCCTGCCCTTATGACTGTTTTTATTATTACTTCTGGCTTGATGTTTTCAAGTTAAATTGAAAAACAATTAGATATAGATATATAGATGAGATCTCTTAAGATATACAGAGCATTATAATAAAAGCAGCGTGATAGGAGTGTCTCCAACCCCATCGTTCTGCCAGGACACAGAGGTCCAGCACTGAGGGCCTTCTGGTGGTTCCCTCCCTGCAAGAAGTGAGGTTACAGGCAACCAGGCAGAGGGCCTTCTCAGTGGTGGCACCCGCCCTGTGGAACGCCCTCCCATCAGATGTCAAGGAAATAAACAACTATCTTGACTTTTAGATGACATCTGAAGGCAGCCCTGTTCAGGGAAGTTTCTATTGTTTGATGTTTTCTTGTATTTTTAATATTTTGTTGGAAGCCGCCCAGAGTGGCTGGGGAAACCTGGCCAGATGGGCGGGGTATAAATAATAAAATTGTTATCATTATTATGATACCCACCAGACTGTTTTCATTCAAAACAGTCAGTTCCCCAAAGCCTGTTGGTCTTCACTTGCCAGCAGGAGGACAGCAAGGAGGGAGCCAGTCTGACTTCCCCAGGCAGGGAGTTCCAAGGTTGCCTGGGAGAAGCCACTGCTAAGAAGACCCTGTTTTCCCTGAAGGGCATCCTTGGAAGTTCTCAAAACTCGGGCAGGTTCTTATGGGGAAATACAGTCCTTCAGATAACCTGGACCTAAGCCATATAGGTAAAGGCACCCCTGACCACTAGGTCCAGTTGTGGCCGACTCTGGGGTTGCGGCGCTCATCTCGCTTTACTGGCTGAGGGAGCCAGCGTACAGCTTCCGGATCATGTGGCCAGCATGACTAAGCCGCTTCTGGCGAACCAGAGCAGCGCACAGAAACGCCGTTTACCTTCCCGCCGGAACGGTACCTATTTATCTACTCGCACTTTGACGTGCTTTTGAACTGCTAGGTAGGCAGGAGCTGGGACCGAGCAACGGGAGCTCACCCCATCATGGGGATTCGAACCGCTAACCTTCTGATCGGCAAGTCCTAGGCTCTGTGGTTTAACCCACAGCGCCACCCATATAGGGCTTTATAAGTTATAACCAGCCCTTTGAATTGTGCCTGGGAAAAAGACCTGCTTTATCACGGGAATCGTCTGCTCGCCATAACCACCCCCGGTCAGCAATCCAGCTGCAGCTCTTTGAGCCAGCCAAAATTATTATTATTATTATTACGTTTATTCGTCACTTTTTCTTGCCACATATTGGCAAACTGGAAACAATTGCCCTGTGCCATGAAAACACAAGCAAAGAATAGCAATTCCCCTGCCTGGGTCTTCTCCTGGCCTGCTTTTTGAAGAGAGGGCAAACGGGGTCACACTTTATTTTATTTTTTATATATTTTTTATTAAATTTTCTGCTTTACAATTTAAAGTACAGGGCTCATTTTTACATCCTTCAGATTCCAATGACGTCTTCTCTTTCCATGGCTCATTTGGCATATCACCAGTCCCTTCATATTTTACAAAAACTCTACCATTGTTCCATTATTACATCCATCAAAACACTCTTGAATTTATCTTAACGCTGCCCAGGAGTCTCATTTTGGATTGTAGGACGTTCGCCCCTTTTTAGGCATCCTTCGCCACACTTGAAGGCAAAACTAATTTATAATTTATCATTATATAATAGTAATTTGTTGTTTATTATTTAATAGGACTAATTTAGCCAGCTAGGGACGCCGGTGGCACTGTGGGTAAAAGCCTCAGCGCCTAGGGCTTGCCGATCGAAAGGTCGGCGGTTCAAATCCCCGCGGCGGGGTGTGCTCCCGTTGTTTGGTCCCAGCGCCTGCCAACCTAGCAGTTCAAAAGCACCCCCAGGTGCAAGTAGATAAATAGGGACCGCTTTCTAGTGGGAAGGTAAACGGCGTTCCGTGTGCTGCGCTGGCTTGCCAGATGCAGCTTGTCACGCTGGCCACGTGACCCGGAAGTGTCTCCGGACAGCGCTGGCCCCCGGCCTCTTAAGTGAGATGGGCGCACAACCCTAGAGTCTGTCAAGACTGGCCCGTACGGGCAGGGGTACCTTTACCTTTTTAGCCAGCTAGCCCTGGTGATCATCTAATGTTTATTGGATGGATTTCCCCCCTAAATTGATTTTTAAATTCTGAATTTATTGTTATTCGCGTTTTATACTGTATTTTATGCTGTTTTTTGTTGCATCAATTACCGTATTTTTTGCTCTGTAAGACTCACTTTTTCCCTCCTAAAAAGTAAGGGGAAATGTGTGTGCGTCTTATGGAGCGAATGCAGGCTGCGCAGCTATCCCAGAAGCCAGAACAGCAAGAGGGATTGCTGCTTTCACTGTGCAGCGATCCCTCTTGCTCTTCTGGCTTCTGAGATTCAGAATAATTTTTTCTTGTTTTCCTCCTCCATAAACTAGGTGTGCCTTGTGGTCTGGTGCGTCTTATAGAGCGAAAAATACGGTAAGTGTTTTAAATTTGTTGTTAGCCGCCCTGAGCCCGGTTTTCTGAACTGGGAAGGACGGGGTATAAATAAATTTTATTATTATTATTATTATTATTATTATTATTATTAATCATGTCTATTTCACTTCCCAGCTTTTGATGGCACTGCAGTGAAACTGACCGAGCTCCTCGCCAAGGCATTTTTTTGTGTGAGCCTCCTACCCTCGGAGGAACTTGACGGCTGAAATTAGCCCGTCAGTTCCTTCCTTCCTGCACCCTAAGCTCTGCCCCTTACCCCATTTGTCTCCGGCAAGGACCGGGCAGCCAGCATGGAGGGTGTCGTCGTCTCCGTCCCCGTTCCTGCGAAGGTTCCACCAAAACAGAGCCGCGTTCTGCAAAGGGGACCAGAAAATAAGAATGTTCATTGCGTGTCTGCAGAGAAATAACCCATGCCCCAGGTGTGGCAGGTGTGATAAGAATTTTAAGGCCTTAGATATGTAATAAATGTTCATAAATGTACCAAGCAAACACGTACATAAATATATAAACCACATGTCTGAAAACCCCACAGAAAAAAGTCCTGAACAAATTGACCTCAATTATTTCTCTGCAAGGTCAAAGTGGGAAACATCCCCATTGTCTTTTTCCTTCGCAAATCCTGTCTTAAGGGCACATTTAAGATATGAGGGTCAAAGAGGAGAGCGCAAAATATGGTCTGAAGCTCAACATCAGAAAAACTAAGATCATGGCCACTGGGCCCATCACCTCCTGGCAAATAGAAGGGGAAGAAATGGAGGCAGTGAGAGATTTTACTTTCTTGGGCTTTATGGTCACTGCAGATGGTGACAGCAGCCACGAAATTAAAAGACCCCTGCTTCTTGGGAGAAAAGCAATGACAAACCTAGATAGCATCTTAAAAAGCAGAGACATCACCTTGCCGACAAAGGTCCATATAGTTAAAGCTATGGTTTTCCCAGTAGTGATGTATGGACGTGAGAACTGGACCATAAAGAAGGCCGATCGCCGAAGAATTCTGGTGCTGGAGGAGACTCTTGAGAGTCTCATGGACTGCAAGAAGATCAAACCTATCCATTCTGAAGGAAATCAGCCCTGAGTGCTCACTGGAAGGACAGATCCTTAAGCTGAGACTCCAATACTTTGGCCACCTCATGAGAAGAGAAGACTCCCTGGAAAAGACCCTGATGTTGGGAAAGATGGAGGGCACAAGGAGAAGGGGACGACAGAGGACGAGATGGTGGGACAGTGTTCTTGAAGCTACCAGCATGAGTTTGACTAAACTGCGGGAGGCAGCGGAAGACAGGAGTGCCTGGTGTGCTCTGGTCCATGGGGTCACAAAGAATCGGCCCCAACTAAACAACAACAACAAGATATGAATAGGGTGTAGGCCTGTGACCTGGCTCAGGAACTAAGTATTTATCATTACAAAAGACTGGCCAGGCTCCCCAGGCAATCCAATCAAGTGACCATTAAACAGGTAACCTGTCAGACGAGATAAACAAGTCACTCAGATTTCTGCTATAGACCACCTTTTCTGTGATGTAGGTAGGATGTATCTGGGATATGGTCTTAGGTTACACCCCTTCTGTGATGTATGTATGATGTTTCTAGGGGTGGTCTTGAGCTCCAGGGCTGGGAATTAAAAATGTCTATATAAGGCCTTGCGCGCCATTGTTCTGGGTTCCTCCTCCCTCCTGCGTGTGGTGAGGGAGGACCCTGTTGCAACAGATCAATAAAGATCAGGCTTACTAGCTGCTTTGCTTCTCAATATTCTCTGGTTGGCCTCTGTTATTTTCTCCTAGCAATAGGGAACCTACGTAAGGACTCTATATGGGCTCTTGGATACCCCATTAGCAAGAAGGGCAGATTTTTTTCTTTACAACACAGGCACCCAGCTGAGTGCACAAATCCCGTTCCTTTGAGCATGTACAGGGGGCAGTTTCCCCCCAAAATGTGCTGGAAACAGGTAAAGGTAAAGGACCCCTGGACGGTTAAGTCCAGTCAAAGGCAACTATGGGGTTTGCAACACTCATCTCGTTTCAGGCCGAGGGAGCCGACGTTTGTCCACAGACAGCTTTCCGGGTCATGCGGCCAGCAGGACTAAACCACTTTTGGCGCAATGACACACTGTGACGGAAACCAGAGCAGCACACGGAAACGCCGTTTACCTTCCCCGCCAGAGCGGTACCTATTTATCTACTTGCACTGGTGTGCTTTCGAACTGCTAGGTTGGCAGAAACTGGGACAGAGCAATGGGAGCTCAACCCGTCGCAGGGATTCGAACCGCCGACCTTCTGATCGGCAAGCCCAAGAGGCTCAGTGGTTTAGACCACAGCGCCACCTGCGTCCCCAGGGAACAAGAACCTTCATGGCATGTGTGCAAGAGCAATAACCCAGGCCCCAGTTGAATGCACAAATCCCATTCCTTTGAGCATGCGCAGAGGGGCAGTTTCCCCGAAAAAACATTTGCTGAAAAGAGACAGCCCCCTGAACACAAAGGGGTGTGTTGGCACAGCTGCCAAAGGGGTAGGCAGATGATAAATTTGAGCCTCAGACGCTTCTTTTTTATTTGTGCAAGGAAGTTGATGACTTGCTCCTCTCTCTCTTTTGATCTTAGAATCATAGAATCATAGAGTTGGAATAGACCACAAGGGCCATCAAGTCCAACCCCCTGCCAAGCAGGAAACACCATCAGAGCACTCCTGACATATGGTTGTCAAGCCTCTGCTTAAAGACCTCCAAAGAAGGAGACTCCACCACACTCCTTGGCAGCAAATTCCACTGTCAAACAGCTCTTACTGTCAGGAAGTTCTTCCTAATGTTTAGGTGGAATCTTCTTTCTTGTAGTTTGGATCCATTGCTCCGTGTCCGCTTCTCTGGAGCAGCAGAAAACAACCTTTCTCCCTCCTCTATATGACATCCTTTTATATATTTGAACATGGCTATCATATCACCCCTTAACCTCCTCTTCTCCAGGCTAAACATGCCCAGCTCCCTTAGCCGTTCCTCATAAGGCATCGTTTCCAAGCCTTTGACCATTTTGGTTGCCCTCCTCTGGACACGTTCCACTTTGTCAGTGTCCCTCTTGAACTGTGGTGCCCAGAACTGGACACAGTACTCCAGGTGAGGTCTGACCAGAGCAGAATACAGTGGCACTATTACTTCCCTTGATCTAGATGCTATACTCCTATTGATGCAGCCCAGAATTGCATTGGCTTTTTTAGCTGCCGCGTCACACTGTTGGCTCATGTCAAGTTTGTGGTCAACCAAGACTCCTAGATCCTTTTCACATGTACTGCTCTCAAGCCAGGTGTCCCCCATCTTGTATTTGTGCCTCTCATTTTTTTTGCCCAAGTCCAATACTTTACATTTCTCCCTGTTAAAGTTCATCCTGTTTGTTTTGGCCCAGTTCTCTAATCTGTCAAGGTCATTTTGAAGTGTGATCCTGTCCTCTGGGGTGTTAGCCACCCCTCCCAGTTTGGTGTCATCTGCAAATTTGATCAGGATGCCCTTGAGTCCATCATCCAAGTCGTTGATAAAGATGTTGAATAAGACCGGGCCCAAGACAGAACCCTGTGGCACCCCACTAGTCACTCTTCTCCAGGATAAAGAGGAACCATTGATGAGCACCCTTTGGGTTCGGTCAGTCAGCCAGTTACAAAGCCACTGAGTGGTAGCATAGTCAAGACCGCATTTTACCAGCTTCTTTACAAGAATATCATGGGGCACCTTGTCAAATGCCTTGCTGAAATCAAGGTAGGCTACATCCACTGCGTTCCCTTCATCTACCAGGCTTGTAATTCTGTCAAAAAACGAGATCAGGTTACCTTTGATACCTCTCTTCGCAACACACAGACTCACCTTGACAGCAGGAATGCTGAGGTTTGCATAGATGAAGGCCGTGGACCCTCCGGCTTCTACCAAACTCAGCTGAGCAGGAAAAGAAATGGGACAACGTTATCCTTCGGCTCAAGGTGGCGTATGTGGTTCTCTATATCTCTCAGCCTAACTACCTCACAGGGTTGTTGAGTTTAAAAGAGGACAGGGAGAACCATGCTGAGTTTGTTTTTTGTTTTTTGCACAGAAAAAGAAAGTTTTGGAGCTATTTTCAAGGAAATTCTCCAAAATCTACACTTCCGACGTGGGTTGCCAGACGCATGATAGTGCTAGGATATAAAGCATGAGACTCTTTTTAAAAAATAATAATATAGTTTTTATTAATCTTCCAATAAAAAACATCCAATTAACATGAGTTTGAGCCCCATGCAAATAATAATAATAATAATAATAATAATAATAATAATAATAATAATAATTTATTTATTCCCCAGCCACTCTGGGCTGCTACCAACAGAATATTAAAAACACGATAAAACATCAAACATTAAAAACTTCCCTAAGCAGGGCTGCCTTCAGATGTCTTCTAAAAGTCAGTTGTTTATTTCCTTGACATCTGCTGGGAGGGCGTTCCATAGGGCGGGCGCCACCACCGAGAAGGCCCTCCGCCTGGTTCCCTGAAACCTCACTTCTCGCTACTTTGCAAAATGGGCAGAACTGATCCTCACTGCCATTAAAGAAAATAAATAGAATAGCTGCTTTGGCTGGTGTGATGAGCATTTAGAAGTATCAGGGAGGTCTGCTTAACCCTGTTTTCCCTTCTCCAAATCACCCTTCACCCCAGTGACACTTCCCTCCCGTGAAAACATCTCCCAAATCACAGTGTTATGTAATGAGTGGAATAGGATCCAAACTGCAGCAGTCTGATTGGTCCTAGAACAATAGGATTCAGAATGCAGCAGTCTGATTGGTCCTAGAACAATGCAGCAGTATGATTGGTTGGCAGGAGCCACCCAATCCAGCTCCAGATAGAAGTGAATCCACAACCTGATTGGCCTACGGGAGAATTCCAGAATTAGCCAATCACGTGCAGCCCATTGTGTAAATAATGTATATAAAGCAGATACTTTGAGGGGACTTTCATTCCCTCCTCACCACTATGAGCTGAATAAAGAGCATGAAATCCACTCTCGACTCTGAGTATATTTCAAACGCTTGTCCTAGAAAATACACTGCAGAAATCTAGCTGGAGAAGAAACACTGGGCCAGCTGTTTGAAGCTTGGAACTTTCTGTTTTAGCCATGGAATGACAAAACAAAAAACAAAAGCAGCCCTATCTTTCTTGAAGCATATACAGAATTCCCTGGCAAAACCACAATATCCTTTTGCAGATCCCAGCAAAGAGAAGAAGACTCACATAGACCATCAACGTGGCAATTCGGTTTCCGGATTTCATCCTGTAAAGGGGGCTTTTTCTTGACTGAATTGGAAAAAAGAGAATTCCTTGATTACGGAACACCAGGTGGTTGCATTCATCAAGTTTTAGTACTTCCAGAACTGGGATTATCGACCACAGAACCTGAGCATAACTATAAATTGTCCTACAAGTGCAGAACTTCTGCAGTCAAACTGGTGGGAAGTCACAGGTGGAAAAAGATTTGTATGGGAAAACAAGTATTCAGTTAAGAATCTATGCTATAAAGAAATCAAGTATATATGTATATGTACAATTTACATTTAATAAAAACTATATAAATACACACACACACACACTGGTTTAAATTTTAAAGTGTAGGTGGAGCTTAGGACTGTGCTTGTGCTTGTGGGAAGCAAGAAATATAATTAATTATAAATATAAATATAAATATAAATATAAATTATAAATAATAGAAGTTTAAAAAGACAGAAAGATTAGGATTGCTTCCAAAGAAAAATGTAAGTGTTTACACCTCGGACAATACAGTGGGACCTTGGTTCTCAAATGCCTTGGTACTCAAACGCCTTGGTTCTCAAACTCTGAAAATCTGGAAGCAAGTGTTCCAGTTTTCAAACATTTTTCGGAAGCTGAACATCTGATGCGGCTGTCGACTATTGTTTCTAGGGTGCCTGCACCAATCAGAAGCCGCGCCTTGGTTTTTGAGCATTTCGGAAGCCAAATGGACTTCCAGAACGGATTAAGTTTGGCGCTTTCATTTTTGCTATTTATTTTTCGTTTTTGTTTTTGAGGCTTTTTCGGTTAATTTGTTTTTGTGACTGTGGAACCTACTGATCGATTGATTGTGTGACTGCGGAAATGGATAAAAGCCCCCCATCCAAACAATGACTATCATCAGTGCAGGTAAGAAAACAAAATACTTTTAATTTTTATCATCTACAATACTGTCTTATTTATTTCATAGTACAGTACATTGATTATTGCTTTCATTTTATAGATCAATGGTCTTGTTAGATAGTAAAATTCATGTTAAATTGCTGTTTTAGGGGTTGTTTTAAAAGTCTGGAACGGATTAATCCGTTTTGCATCAGTTTCTATGGTTAAGCGCGCCTTGGTTTTGGAACGCTTTGGTTTTGGAACGCTTTGGTTTTGGAACGGACTTCCGGAACGGATTAAGTTTGAGAACCAAGGTACCATTGTATCAAATTGCTTTCATGCCCTGCTGGACTTTGCAGCAACAGGTTTACTCACCGTCGCATGGTCAAAATGGGGCTCATAGTGCCCGCCTAATCCATAGTTGACCACCTGCAGGTATTCTGCATAAGGGGGCTGGGTGTTGAGGCCAGTCAGGGCTGCGACCCGTCGATCTAAAGCCACAATTGCTGGATCCAAGGTGTCTTTCAGCCAGGCACTAAACAAGGCACAATGCCAGAAAAATTGTACATATTTACCATAGCTGTCAACTTACAGATTTGAAAATAAGGGACCAGCAGCCTCAAAAATAAGGGACCAGCAGCCTCGAAAATAAGGGATTTTCCAAGCACAGGTATGTTCAACTTCTGAGCCCCTCCGAGCCAAAGGCAGAAAGCCCAGCCAGCAGCCAAACGAAGCCTCAAGCGGTGGTTCCCACAGCGCAGCAACCGGACAAAGGAGATGCAGCAAGGAAAACCACCGTCACCTCTCCGCTGGGAAGCGCTGAGCAAAGGCGAGTCCCCCGGCAACACGGCCGATTTGATCGGCACAAGGCATTCAAGCTCCACCCCCCAGTCATTCTTAGACTCCTTATTGGGTGAGCAACGCAGCCAAGCAACACAGTTGGAGCCTCCCTCCTCCCTGGCCGGCAGGGAGGGAGGGAGAGGAGCTGCTTCCTTTGAAACCCGGGAAATTTAAGGGACATCATCAATAAGGGACAGCAGCAGGACATGGCGCTGGGATAAGGGAGTTTCCCGCCAAATAAGGGACGGTTGACAGCTATGATATTTACACAACTGCACTTCTGAGCTCAAGTGCAGTCGTGTAAATATGTACAATTTTTCTGGCAAAGGGTGTTTAAGGAGATAACAGAAATCCCTGGGTTAAAGCTGAGCAGAAGTCCAGAGGCAGCATTATTATCAATTTATGATGGGGTGGAAGGTTTGCAGGCTACGAAGGACTCGCTCACAATTTTATTGACAGCTGCACGAATTACGATAGCTAGGAAGTGGAAGGGGCAAGCAGAATATAAAACGGAAGAATGGGAAAAAGGAGTGTGGGATATAGCTATTAATGATAAATTAACATGTGCCATTAAGGTAATATGCATTTTGAGGAAATATGGAAGGTGTTTGTAGAATTTGCACTGTTAAAACGGAAAGGGGTCAAACCATGGCAAGAGGTGTTGAAATTTTGGGAGGTTGGATAGGTTGCAATGGAATGGTCTCGGTGGTGGGGTGCACATTTTTTTATTCTTATTTATTTATGATGATTACTTTGTCACAATAAAAAATAAAATAAAATAAAATAAAATATATATAAAAAATTACCATGACTTTAAAAAAAGGAAAAAATAAGTGCAGTTTTGGCAGGGTAGGGTTGGGGAGAGAGAGAGATAAGAAGGCCAGGGCCAGCGGTGGATTTACTATAAATCTAATGAAGCTTAGACCCTCCTAGTGTCCCTATTTTCCAGGGACAGCCCTAGATTCACAGAAGCCGTCTTGGGACTCAGCTACATTAGTAAAAAAACAACACCAGTGTTTTAAATGCGTTATAAGCACGCAACAGCAGGTGGCGCTGCAGAGCACAAAACTTTTCCATGTAATTTTTACACAGCTTTTACCCCCTTTTGTTATAACAATCTAATGTATGACTTAATTATAGCGGGTTTTTCCCCTGTGTGTAGATCCACCCTGGTTTTTTATTTGACCCCAGAATGTCCCGCTTCCCCTTGCGATGCTGCACAATGTTGTGACCTTATGAGAGCAATGCCGCGAGGAGCCAGTGTGCTGAGCCCAATGCCCCCTGACTATTGAGGGGGCTCACAAAATTACTTTTGAGGGACCCGAAACTGCCTGGGCCCCTAGGAGTCAGCGCACCTGCTCAGAGCCCAAAACAAACTACAGCTCCCAGGATTATTGGGGGGGGGCATGGCTATTTAAAGTGGTAAAAGGTAAAGGGACCCCTGGCCATTAGGTCCAGTCATGACCGACTCTGGGGTTGCGGCGCTCATCTCGCTTTATTGGCCAAGGGAGCTGGCATACAGCTTTGGGGTCATGTGGCCAGCAGGACTAAGCCGCTTCTGGTGAACCAAAGCAGTGCACAGACAGGCCGTTTACCTTCCCGGCAGAATGGTACCTATTTATCTACTTGCACTTTGACGTGCTTTCCAACTGCTAGGTTGGCAGGAGCAGGGACTGAGTAACAGGAGCTCCCCCCGTCGCGGGGATTCGACCGCGACCTTCTGATCGGCAAGTCCTAGGCTCTGTGGTTTAGACCACAGCGCCACCTGCATCCCTATTTAAAGTGGTACAGTATACCTGAAGGAGTGTCTCCACCCCCATCGTTCTGCCAGGACACTGAGGTCCAGCGCCGAGGGCCTTCTGGCGGTTCCCTCCCTGCAAGAAGCCAAGTTACAGGGAACCGGGCAGAGGGCCTTCTCGGTAGTGGCACCCGCCCTGTGGAATGCCCTCCCACCAGATGTCAAAGAGAACAACAACTACCAGACTTTTAGAAGACATCTGAAGGCAGCCCTGTTTAGGGAAGCTTTTAATGTTTGATGTATCACAGTATTTTAATATTTTTTTGGAAGCCGCCCAGAGTGGCTGGGGAAGCCCAGCCAGGTGGGCGGGGTATAAATAATAAATTGTTGTTGTTGTTGTTGTTAAATGCATAGCGCTGATGACGTCGGAGTATTAATCGGTTTAAAATATCTTCACTGGCATACGATTCTGTTCATTTTACCGCTGCCGTTTCAAGCCAAGTTCCTTCTGTTTTTCCCAACGGGGCCAGAGGTGAGGGAAGAGTTAATCGCTCGTTCATCCAGCCATAATTCAAAGCCCCCCACCCTGCAGAGAATGGAATTCCGGCGGCCAGTGGGGGTCTCTCAAGGCCAGATTGCAAAACCCTGCGCTGAGATCATCTCGGAAAATATTTGCCAAGGCTGCTCTGCGACCGCAGCCTATGTCTCCGTCATCCTTTGTGTGGAAATTCCATATCTAGCTCTGCATTGCAAGACGACTCAATGAAGTCATTTTTTCCCAGCCTAGGAAGCCTGGAATGATAAACGCAGCTGTTGGCTATAAATCCTGCCCTTTGGCAGTTTGCAGAAGAATGGAAACCTGGATTATAGTGTACTAGGGAGATGGGAGGCCTGATCCTGAACTATTCGCCTCTAGATTGCTTGCTCAGATTCCTTTGCTCAGTGGCAGAACACCTGGTTGGCATGCAGAAGGTGGCAACTTAACCAAACAGAACGTCTGGTCCACTTCCCAGCCTCTCCATTTAGAAAAAAGGGATCTTGGCAAACTAATGCCAGTGTACTGGAAGAAGCAAAGATCACCCATGTCGAAGCAATGATTCTTCGACATCAACTTCGTTGGACAGGTCATGTTGTGCGGATGCCTGATGATCGTCTTCCAAAGCAACTACTCTATTCCAAAATTTAAAATGGAAAGCGTAATGCCGGTGGTCAACAAAAGAGGTTCAAAGACTGTCTCAAGGCAAATCTAAAAAAATGTAGTATAAACACCAAGAATTGGGAAACACTGGCCTGTGAGTGCTCCAGTTGGAGAACAGCCTTTCCCAAACGTGTCATGGGCTTTGAAGACACTCAAACTCAGGACGCAAGGGAGAAACGCGCTAAGAGGAAGGCACGCTTGGCAAACCCTCACCGTGATCAACTCCCGCCCGGAAACCTATGTCCCCACTGTGGAAGGACGTGTGGATCCAGAATTGGCCTCCACAGTCACTTACATTGTTAAAACCGTGTTTATGGAAGACAATCTTACTTGGCTACGAGGGTTCGCCGAAGAAGAAGAAGAAGACCCTATGAAAAAGATTTATTTGGAAGAGCAGTTTGCACGACCCACTGAGGAAGATCATAACGCAATAAAATCCAGCAAATAATATTGCATGAAAAGTATTGTTTATGCATTCTTGCTAACAAAAACATAAGGTTGAAGGAAATTTAGGGCATAAAATGTTTTGATTGATTGATTGATTGATTGATTGAGCTAGCCTGCAAACGTGACAAGAAGGCTAGCAACCTCAACCCTGCGGTTTGGGTGTCCCTGGAGCACCCCTAAATTTCACGAGGGGGCCAGCTCCTTGCACATCCGTTGGTGCATCAAGCGATGCAGCTGCTCTGCTCCCTGTGAACTCTGTGTGTAGCTAGCAAGAGACTTAAAAAGGTAAAGGGACCCCTGACCCTTAGGTCCAGTCGTGACCGACTCTGGGGTTGTGGCGCTCATCTCGCTTTATTGGCCGAGGGAGCCGGCGTACAGCTTCTGGGTCATGTGGCCAGCATGACTAAGCCGCTTCTGGCGAACCAGAGCAGCGCACGGAAACGCCGTTTACCTTCCCGCCAGAGCGGTTCCTATTTATCTACTTGCACTTTGATGTGCTTTCGAACTGCTAGGTTGGCAGGAGAGCAAGAGAATTTACCTTTTGCTTATTCGGTAGTCTGCTTTCTGCTGCTTTTCTCCCGAGGCAACCACCGACCTCTGCAACTGGAGAGGGGAACAGAGAGAGAAAAACGCAAGAGGTTGCAGTGTCAAATCTGGAGCAGAAAGGAAATGGGAGGATGACATAGGCTCTGAGATTAATCCCGCTCAATGGACCAGAATGTGGTCTAAACCCCCCCCTTTAAATCCATATCAACAAAAAGAAAAGAACTCACTCTGAAACTCACCTACAGGTGGTACCTAACCCCAAGAAAACTAGTGCTAATACGGCCAGGAACTTCACCAAAATGCTGGAGAGGGTGCACCTCCACAGGCACATACCTCCACATGTGGTGGGAGTGCCCCAGAATCCAACTATTCTGGACAACAGCCATATGAGAAATATATAAAATAACCAAGCAAGTATTAGTTATAATAATATATAAAAATTATATTTCATTTATACCCCGCCCATCTAGCTGGGTTGCCCAAGCCACTCTGAGGGGCTTCCAAGACGTAAAAACATAATAAAACATCAAACATTAATAGTAACAATCTGATCCAATATAAAAGTCACAATAACTTTAAAATAAACAACTGATATCAAACAAATCAACATTCAACAATCCATTAGAATTGAATAGTAAACAGTAAAATTAAACACCAGCAAATAGTAATTAAACAGTCCAACCGCAATAAAGAATTACTATAATCTATAATCTATAATAATAAAGAATTAATATAAAGTCTATAATCAGTAAAAGGAAAAGCAAATCACAACGCATAAAATACCATAAAACATACAAAACCATGTAAAAGGGTCAAATTGAGAAACAAAGAAGCACAACTTATAAAAGTATTTTTAAAAATAATTATTAATTAAAGAGTGGCAGAAGAAGATGATGGACCTTGAAGAATTGGTGAAGCTGACAGGAAAAATCTGAAACCAGCACGATCAAGTATTCCAAAAGGACCGGAGTAAATTTATACGATATCTGAAAGACTATTGTAAGCAATTGACATCACTAGCAGGGTGATCTGAAGACTTGTAATGAGAAGTTTTCTACCTTTCTATATTTATTCAAATTTTGAGCTATTTTGTAATTGGAATCGGAAAACGTACAAAATGCAATGATATAAAGATTAATTTTGAAAGCCATGAGGTGGGAGGGAAGGAAGTTGATAGGCTCTATAGAGGCAGGGAGGTAAAGTGGATAGCAATGATGTGAATGTATATTATTAAATGGAAAACAAATTAAAAATTAATATAAATAAAGAATAATAATTAAAAAATTATGGACATAGTGTTGCACACCACTCCAATCTCACAGCGGTGCAAAATCCCAGGGGTCCCAGGAGTGCTTAGCAGGGTCCATGTTTCCTTTTAGGAATGAGGCACAGTGGGGACTGTGGTGTCTTTAGGATATATGGTTTAGTTGCATATTGTTAGTCGTTTAGTCGTGTCCGACTCTTCATGACCCCATGGACCAGAGCATGCCAGGCACTCCTGTCTTCCACTGCCTCCCGCAGGTTTGGTCAAGCTCATGTTAGTAACTTTGAGAACACTGTCCAACCATCTCGTCCTCTGTTGTCCCCTTCTCCTTGTGCCCTCCATCTTTCCCAACATCAGGGTCTTTTCCAGGGAGTCTTCTCTTCTCATGAGGTGGCCAAAATCTTGGAGCTTCAGCTTCAGGATCTTTCCTTCCAGTGAGCACTCAGGGCTGATTTCCTTAAGAATGGAGAGGTTTGATCTTCTTGCAGTCCCTGGGACTCTCAAGAGTCTCCTCCAACACCATAATTCAAAAGCATCAATTCTTCAGCGATCAGCCTTCTTTATGGTCCAGCTCTCACTTCCATACATCACTACTGGGAAAACCAGAGCTTTAACTAGACGGACCTTTGGCCTACGATGGAGGGATTCACAGCGCTGCACTCCAAGAGAATCTTGCTTCTGCTCTACCTTCGATTCAGACAGACACCAGACACCATGCTCTGCCTTCCTGATTCCCTTATACATGTCTCCTTTGCAGGTTTCTAACTCCCATCGCTTTATCTGTGGAGTGAAAGGCCCCCCCACACTTTGCCACCTCGCACAGATTCTTTGTGTGCTTCCTAATGCTCCATCCCCAGGCTTTCACTTCACACAGGAGACCAGCCTAGGTTAATAAGCCTTTAACACATGCTGATTTCAGAGGATTAGCAGTGTCTAGCACACAACTTAATCAGGGCCGGATTTAGGTTTGATGAGGCCCTAAGCTACTGAAGGTAATGGGGCCCTTTATAAGGAAGACTCTTGTGTCTTTATTCTTTTAGGAAGGAATCTAAGGGGTCTTACCAGGAATATACCCCAATCTGGGGGTCCCAGATTGGATTGCTTAACTAAAGGGATTCAAACGAATCTGGAACTAGTTTCTTGCTGTGTAAAGTGGAACGAGTTGTGCTATATACGTGTGACTCACTAGCGTGAGTTAGGAAGGATAATATTTCATCAATATATACTCTCCTACTACCCACAACAGGGCCGCGGGTAGTGCTGTGGGTTAAACCACAGAGCCTAGGACTTGCTGATCAGAAGGTCTGCGGTTCGAATCCCTGCAACGGGGTGAGCTCCTGTTGCTCGGTCCCAGCTCCTGCCAACCTAGCAGTTCAAAAGCACGTTGAAGTGCAAGTAGATAAATAGGTACCGCTCCGGCGGGAAGGTAAACGGCATTGCTGTGCGCTGCTCTGGTTCACCAGAAGCGGCTTAGTCATGCTGGCCACATGACCCGGAAGCTGTACGCCGGCTCCCTCGGCCAATAAAGCGAGATGAGCGCCGCAACCCCAGAGTCGGCCACGACTGGACCTAATGGTCAGGGGTCCCTTTACCTTTTTTACTACCCACAACATTCCCACAGCTGTGCCCGGAGTTGCCATTGGAGACTGAACATGGGGACCTTCGGTATCCAAGAAGGATGCTCCCACAAGGCCGCACACCTGTTAAAGGTGAAGGCGCCACCTGTTCCCTCTGGCAACCAGAAGCACTCTCCAGATGCTTCCAGCTGCCTTGCAAAGCTATTGTGTGCCTTCGTCTTTTGCATTTCTGGTCATACCTCGGGTTACAGACGCTTCGGGTTGCGCGATTTTGGGTTGTGCAGTGCACCAAACCCAGAAGTACCAGAATTGGTTACTTCTGGTTTTTGGCACTTGCGCATGCACAGAAGCGCTGAATTGCAACCCGCGCATGCGCAGATGCAGCGCTGCGGGTTGCGAACGTGCTTCCCGCACGGATCGCGTTCACGACCCGAGCGTCCACTGTAGTTAAGGAAAACAGCCCTCGACAGTTATTAGGAGCAACCCGCCCGGCGGAAATGCGTCTAGCCTGGAGAACTGCGGGCACGATGACACACTCAGCTGAGATGCCAGGATGTCTGGAAGCTGCCCAGAGGAATTGTGATGGATTGGCAGCCAGAGCCAAGTGCCGTCTGGCCTTGGGGAGGAGGAGAACTGCAAAACCGATGTCCCGTCCATGCCGTGGATTAGGTTAATAATCTCCATGTGGGCCTGTTTGCGCGGTTGCCGAGGCAACCGGCCTGGATGTTGGATGGAGAAGGAATCGTTTTGGCCAAGTGTGGAGGAGCTGAACCGCAGGCTCTCTTCCTCTTTCTCCTCCTCGATCCTGTCTCGAGGAGGTGGCAACTTCTAAGCTTAATTCTCTCGGCTGCTGAAGGAATCTGAATAACCAAAAAGGAAGTTTTCTGCCCTCTTGTTCAAATTAGGGTTGGGCACACCATGTTAGCAGAACTTGAGTGATACTTCTAAACACAACAAATACCGTTTGTGGAGAAGACGGGAACAATATTAAAGAATATAAAACTGTGCGGGGAAAACGACGACAGTATAAACAGTACAATGAGAATGATTGGAAGACTCGTTTTGTCAGAAGTCTTTTTTATTTAAGTATTAATTAGGAAGTTTAAGATTTTTCATGGACGCAAATCTGCTTTTCCTTCTTTCTTTTTTCTGTATATTCTGCTTTTCTTAATTGTTTTTTCTTTAATTTTCTTTTTGTAGTGTGAGATTGTAAATTCTTTGTATATGTGTGTAATTTAAATTAATCAAGATTATTAAAAAAACAAAACAAAGTAGGGTTGGGGATGCAAACTTGGGTGGTTCCACCCCCCTTTTTAGGGGGATTTGCTAGTATAACAGAATTTGGAGGGAACGAAATTCTCCAGCAGACTAACCTGGTTAAATCTTTCGATTTAGCTGCGATTCCTGCATTGCAGGGGGTTGGTCTGGATGACCTTTGGGGATCCCTTCCAACTCTACGATTGTACGATTCTATGATTTATTAGTTGTCCTTGGGGGACTTACTAACCAGTCATCGATACTCCAAATCCATGAGAAAGCCTCAAAAATCTCACCGACCACGGAAGCAGTATAAAAAAAAACAAGTTTGTGGCCAGGATAACCGCCCTTTGGCTCCTATAGGAGGAAGAGGGGCAGGAAAGATGCCTAAGGTACAAAATAAATGCCGATCCATCAAGGGCAATGGTAACCTCAAGGTTGGTTACTGCAAGGCATGGGTAGGCAAACTGAGGCCCGGGGGCCGGATCCGGCCCAATCGCCTTCTCAATCCGGCCCGCGGACGGTCCGGGAATCAGCGTGTTTTTACATGAGTAGAATGTGTCCTTTTATTTAAAATGCATCTCTGGGTTATTTGTGGGGCATAGGAATTTGTTCATCCCCCCCCCAAAAAAAATGGTCCGGCCCCCAACAAGATCTGAGGCAGTGGACCGGCCCCCTGCTGAAAAGGTTTGCTGACCCCCGATTACTCTATTACGAGCGATCACAGAAGAAGAAGAAATAAGAAGAGAGACAGATTTCGCTCCCCTGACCCACCATTCGCTCTTGTATCTCACATATAAACCCATCTCCCCTTAACCCTTTCCTCTCAACTTGGGTGATGGGCAAAAAACCTTTCCATCAGCTTCGGCTGGTGGCCCAGCTACGCCCCTGTCTGGACAGGGATAGCCTAGCTACTGTCGTCTATGCTCTGTTAACTGCAAGGTTAGATTACTGCAATGCGTTCTACGTAGGGCTGCCTTTGAAGACGGTTCGGAAACTTCAGCTGGTGCAGAATTCAGCGGCCAGGTTGTTCACCGGAGCAAGACGGTCTGAGCACATTACACTGATCCTGGTCCGACTGCACTGGCTACGATTAGTTTCTGGGCCCAATTCAAAGTGCTGGTTTTGACTTATAAAGTCATAAACGGTTCAGGACCGCAATACCTCAAGGACCGCCTCTTTCCAGATGAACCTACCCAGACCCTGAGATCATCTTCTGAGGCTCTCCTTCCTGTGTCTCCTCCTTGAGAGATCCTGAGGGTGGCAGCACAAGAACGGGGCCTTCTCTGCCGTGGCTCCCCGGCTGTGGAATGCTCTCCCCAGGAAAGTTTGCCTGGCGCCTTCATTGTACACCTTTAGGCGCCAGGCAAAAACATTCCTTTTTAACGAGGCCTTTGGTTGATCTTTGGAACACGGGTGGCGCTGTGGTCTCAACCACAGAGCCTAGGACTTGCCGATCAAAAGGTTGGCGGTTCGAATCCCCGCAACAGGGAGAGCTCCCGTTGATCGGTCCCCGCTCCTGCCCACCTAGCAGTTTGAAAGCACGTCAAAGTGCAAGTAGATAAATAGGTACTGCTCTGGCAGGAAGGTAAACGGCGTTTCTGTGCGCTGCTCTGGTTCACCAGAAGCAGCTTAGTCATGCTGGCCACATGACCCGGAAGCTGTACGCCGGCTCCCTCGGCCAATAAAGCGAGATGAGTCGGTCACGATTGGACCTAACGGTCAGGGGTCCCTTTACCTTTACTTTGGTTGATCTTATTGACATCCTATGCCTTTTTAAAATGTAGTTCTTTGGGGGGGGTTGTTATTGGGTTGTTGTTTTTATTTTGATTATATATATTGTAGTTTTTATATTGATGTTGTTCTGTGAACCGCCCTGGGACCCCTGGGTATAGGGCGGTATATAAATTCAATCAATCAATATTATTATTAATGTTGGTATTCACAGAATTGTAGGATCTTAGAGTTGGAAGGGACCCTGGCGGTCATCTAGTCCAACCCCCTGCAATGCAGGAATCTCAGCTACAGCATCCATGACAGATGGCCATCCAATCTCTGCTTAAAAACCTCCAAGGAAGGAGAGAGTCCACCACCTCCCGAGGGAGACCGTTCTACCACTGAACGGCTCTTCCTGTCAGAAAGTTCTTCCTGATGCTTAGCTGGAAATCTCCCTTTTTGTAGCCTGAAGCCAACGAGGCAAGAGATTATGATGAAAAGAAAGGAAGTTAGTAATTTGAACTACTTAATTTTATCAGAAAGTGAATATTGGAAAATTGCTAAAATGAGATTCAATGAAAATCAGTTAGGAAGGATTCGAGGAAGTCATTTAATAATGGAAATTAATTTGGATTTTTAATTGGAAGATATTTTATATGTTTGTTTGTTTTTCTTCTTATATGTTTTGTTTATTGTATTGTGTTGTATTATAAATTTGGAAAATTAATAAAAACATTTGGGGAAAAAACACAAAACGACGCAAGAGCCCAGGAGTGACCCGTCCATAGCTGTCAACTGTCCCTTATTTGGCAGGAAACTCCCTTATCCCAGCGCTGTGTCCCACTGATGTCCCTTATTGATGATGTCCCGTAAATTTCCCGGGTTTCAAAGGAAGCAGCTCCTCTCCCTCCCTCCCTGCCGGCCAGGGAGGAGGGAGGCTCCAACTGTGTTGCTTGGCTGCGTTGCTCACCCAATAAGAAGTCTAAGAACGACTGGGGGGGTGGAGCTTGCATCGGCCGTGTTGCCTGGGGACTCGCCTTTGCTCAGCGCTTCCCAGCGGAGAGGTGACGGTGGTTTTCCTTGCTGCATCCCCTTTGCCGGGTTGCTGCGCTGTGGGAACCACCGCTCGAGGCTTCGTTTGGCTGCTGGCTGGGCTTTCTGCCTTTGGCTCAGAAGTTATATACCTGTGCTCTGAAAATCCCTTATTTTGGCTGCTGGTCCCTTATATTTGAGGCTGCTGGTCCCTTATTTTCAAATTTGTAAGTTGACAGCTATGGACCCGTCCCGTTTTGCCACATAACACGGCTTCCAGGCTCTGGCAAGATATTGCTAGAGCCCCGCAAGATCTCGCAGGGCTTTTGCGAGGTCCCGCCAGAACCTGGAAACCACTGCCGCAGCCACTTCCGCAGCAGGCCTGCCCCTTCGGTTCTGCCGCCTGAAGCGGCTGCCTCAGTCTGCCCCGTGGATGGGCTGGCCCCGCAAGACCCCATTTCCTGCCGCCCCAATGCCCCCAAGCTGCTTACCCGTGGAGCGGCAAGCTCCTTGATCTTCTCCGCTTCGGCATCGCTGACAAAGTCGTGGTAGAGGGCGATGTGGGGCTGCCGGTGAACAATCTCCCTCTTCAAAGGCTGGAGCCTCAGGAAGGGGGTCCCATTGGTCTCGTAGGAGCAGTAGAGGTGTTGTTGCTGATACTGGGATGGCTGGAGGAGGACCAGAGAGAGAGGGTGATGCAAGGGAACCTACCAACAAACAAACCAACCATCAATAGGCCAATGTCTATTGCACCAAGTTATAGACAAAAGGCCCTAGCCCAGTAGTTGGAACCAGTGAAGGCAGTGAATGTCCTGTATGAATGTCTGGAGGCAGTTGGAAGACGGATAGTGGCCAACAGATTGAGGTTGAATCCTGACGAGACAGAAGTACTGTTTTGGGGGGACAGGAGGTGGGTGGGTGTGGGGGATTCCCTGGTCCTGAATGGGGTAATTGTGCCCCTGAAGGACCAGGTGCGCAGCCTGGGAGTTATTTTGGACTTTGGTCCATGGAGGCGCAGGTCAATTCTGTGTCCAGGGACGCTGTTTATCAGCTCCATCTGGTACTCAGGATGAGACCCTATCTGCCCACGGACTGTCTCGCCAGAGTGGTGCATGCTCTGGTTATCCCCCGCTTGGACTACTGCAATGCGCTCTACATGGGGCTACCTTTGAAGGTGACCCGGAAACTCACCCTATCGAGCGGATTCGAACCGCCGACCTTCTGATCGGCAAGCCCAAGAGGCTCAGTGGTAGTTCCTTGGAAAAGATCAGTTTTATTCTATTTTTCAAAGAAACAAAAATTGTATTTTACACCCACCAAAATATCATACAGGATGATGAACCAGCAAAAGGGAAAACGAGGTGATGGTTGGGTTTTTTTTCCTCTAAGGGGGGCTAATATTGCAAATTTGTCACTCAGATGTCACAAGCAGATCATTGGTGTTACAGTCATACCTTGGATTACAGACGCTTCAGGTTGCATTTTTTCAGGTTACGGACTACCGAAACCCAGAAGTACCGGAACACGTTATTTCTGGGTTTCGGCGATCGCACATGCACAGAAGTGCTAAATCGTGCTTTGTGCATGCTCAGAAGAGTCGAATCGCAACCCGTGCGTGTGCAGACGTGCCGCTGCGAGTTGCGGACGCTGTGGGTTGCATCCTGAGCGTCCACTGTATCTATACATTTAAAAGCTCATCAGATTCCCCATGGAAATTTGGCATTTCTATCCCAAGGATAGAACGCGGATTGGGAGGATTGGGACGCGGGTGGCGCTGTGGGTAAAAGCCTCAGCGCCTAGGGCTTGCCGATCGGAAGGTCGGTGGTTCGAATCCCCACGGCGGGGTGCACTCCCGCTGCTCGGTCCCAGCGCCTGCCAACCTAGCAGTTCGAAAGCACCCCCGGGTGCAAGTAGATAAATAGGGACCGCTTACTGGCGGGAAGGTAAACAGCGTTTCCGTGTGCTGCGCTGGCTCGCCAGATGCAGCTTGTCACGCTGGCCACGTGACCCGGAAGTGTCTCCGGACAGCGCTGGCCCCCGGCCTCTTGAGTGAGATTGGCGCACAACCCTAGAGTCTGTCAAGACTGGCCCGTACGGGCAGGGGTACCTATCCCAAGGACATCAAAGGTGCATCAATGCTCATTCCACATTTAACACCCGTCTGCTAACATCATCCTAGCACCGCTGGGGTTTGTCACTATTTTGTAAAAACAAAACACCAAGGTTGGATTCTGTGCCTTTTCTGCGGCCCCACCTGAGACCCCAGAGTCTGACACAGCTTCTCATAAATATCTCTGGTCTCCAGCTGGGTCACGTTTGGCCTCTGCAGGGACCCCCCTTCTTCGCCACTCTCGGGGTTCACCAGCAGCAGCTTCTCGTATTTGAGGACGTTCCTCGCCATCCTCTTGTTGGTTGGATCTGGTCAAGATAACAGGTGGTCTGAATCCAAAAGTGGATATACATTTTTAAAAGCCAACCCCCTGCCCCTTTAATAGCCAACTAGCATGCAGAAATGAAGCAGTCGCCCATGTTCAGGAAAGTTCGCCCCATGTGCCAGGTTGCCACTGAAGGCAAAGGAGCAGAGCCAGTAAGAAAAAGTTGGCAACCCGGTTTTAATTATTGGTAGCTTTTCAACTTGGCCCCGTGACCGTGCCAACTTGGCCCTGCGGCTGTGGGGGACCGGGGCCGTGGGGGGGGGGCATGCAGCGTGAATATCCCTGACATAGAAATTTGTGAGTGCCCAGCCCCTTCATGGGGAATTTTGTGGGTGCTTGGGCACCCAGAGCCCCGGAGAGTTGGCACTTAATGCAGAGCGGTACTGAAGCATGATAACTAATGAGAATGGCATTGACACAAAGGTTTTGTTTTGTTTTGTTTTTTGGGTTGTTGTTTTTTGATCACTTTGTGTAAACCAAAGGGTGGGTTGCCAACTGACTGTAGAAAAATGTCCTGGCCTGCTCTTGTACTCCACCCCCCATTTTATTTTATTTTATTTTATTTTGACAAAGTAATAATCATAAATAAATAAGAATAAAAATGTGCACCCCACCACCGAGACCATTCCATTGTAACTATCCAACCTCCCAAAATTTCAACACCTCTTGCCATGGTTTGACCCCTTTCCGTTTTAACAGTACAAAAATTCTACAAACACCTTCCATACTGCCTCAAAACCATTTCTCCTGCATGTTCCCTGTCTTACCTTAATGGCACATGTTAATTTATCATTAATAGCTATATCCCACCCCTCTTTATACCATTCTTCCATTTTATATTCTGCTTTCCCCTTCTGCTTCCTAGCTATAATAATGCGTGCAGCTGTCAATAAATTTGTGAGCGAGTCCGTCATGCTCTTGTACTTTTAATAGCGGCTGAATTCAGCTGAAAAGCTTTGTGGCAAGAAACTGAACACAATCACCTGCTAACTGAATGGCTGTTAGTTAGAGGCTGTGGTTCGAAAGTTAGCAGGTCTGGTGGTTTATGTGCAGGTAATATAATAATAAATTTTTATTTATACCCCGCCCTTCCCGGTTCAGAAAACTGGGCTCAGGGCGGCTAACAACAAATTTAAAACACTTGATTGATGCTACAAAAAACAGCATAAAATACGGTATAAAACGTGAATAACAATAAAATCAAAAATCAATTTAGGGGGTAGAATTAAGTGGGTCTTTGTCCGCCTGCAGCCAGCTCCCTTTTACCTTCTGATTCTCAGAGTTATTTGAGAATCTCTGCAATAGAGAGAGAGATGATTTCAATGTCCGTTACTGATACACGAAATCATTACCAGGAGACAGCATTACTTTCCAGTTAGGTAACCCAGAATAAATGTGGAATCACTGCTCCTTTTTCAAATGGAGGGTTCTTAGTTGTGTAGGGAATTTCAGTAGGAAACAAGTCGTCTCTGCTGAAAGTCCATTTTCACGGCTATGAAAGGTGCATTAGTTTTTTGTTTACATGCCTGCCTCATTTTAATCTTCCTCTGATATTTACTTCCCCATGTTCAACCCGGAATCCCTTACTCCCTGGGAGAAAAATGCCCTGGCAGGTTTGAACAGAAACCTGTTTCCTCCCTAGTTATGAAGGCCCACTGATGATTGTGCAATTTATGAGGAGTGCGTCTAATCTTTCAAAGCTTGATGTTTGGAGTGACTAAGTAACATTCTTCAGTCTGACAGGATCTGGAGAAGAATCACATACCGTAGTGAAGAAATTCTTGGGAAAGGCTTAAGGCATGAGAGATGTTTCCTGCCTTTAAAAAATGAAGAGGGGAGAGAGCAAAAAGTTAGATTTCTGGCTGACATGAAAGCAAAGTGTGTGTGTGTGTCTGTGTGTGGAGGCTATTCTTACTCAGTGACTGGGGAGGGTTGCACTCTACACATGCTCAGATGAACAGCTGATTTAGACTTAAGGAGAGAAGGATGCAAGATGGTTCATAGGGAGTCAGGGCATGCTGTCAAGTGTCACCCAGGGTCCCAAGTGAACAATTCAGTCTTCCATTGCCAGGCAAGCTGAATATCCCCTGCAGGGAGTTCCACCAGTGTGACAGCGGAGGGGAGCAGCAGAAAATGCTCTCTCTCAGGTTCCCTGTGAGTGCCTGGAGGCGGTTGGAGGATGGATGGCGGCTAATAGATTGAGGTTGAATCCTGACAAGACAGAAGTACTGTTTTTGGGGGACAGGAGGCGGGCAGGTGTGGAGGATTCCCTGGTCCTGAATGGGGTAACTGTGCCCCTGAAGGACCAGGTGCGCAGCCTGGGAGTCATTTTGGACTCACAGCTGTCCATGGAGGCACAGGTCAATTCTGTGTCCAGGGCAGCTGTCTACCAGCTCCATCTGGTATGCAGGCTAAGATCCTACCTGCCCGCAGACTGTCTCACCAGAGTGGTGCATGCTCTGGTTATCTCCCGCTTGGACTACCGCAATGCGCTCTGCGTGGGGCTACCTTTGAAGGTGACCCGGAAACTGCAATTAATCCAGAATGCGGCAGCTAGACTGGTGACTGGGAGCAGCCACCAAGACCACATAACACCGGTCTTGAAAGACCTACATTGGCTCCCAGTACGTTTCCAAGCACAATTCAAAGTGTTGGTGCTGACCTTAAAAGCCCTAAATGGCCTCAGCCCAGTAGACCTGAAGGAGCGTCTCCATCCCCATCATTCTGCCCGGACGCTGAGGTCCAGCGCCGAGGGCCTTCTGGCGGTTCCCTCACTCACTGCGAGAAGCCAAGTTACAGGGAACCAGGCAGAGGGCCTTCTCGGTAGCAGCACCCGCGGGCAGGGTATAAATAATAAATTATTATTATCCCACCCTCCTCCCCTCCTTGAGTGAATCATCTTGTGCAGAATGTGGGATGTGATACTTAAGTAGCAGTCAAGTACAACATTCCTTGTTTTCCTAGAGTGGATATGCAAGGCGATGTTTGGTCCAGCCAGTCGAAAACTTCCTGTTTCCTCCTTGCTGGGGTATACTTCCTTTGCATGTGACTAGAGGTGGCTGTAACCTTACCTGTCCAGGTGACAAAAAAAGGACAAGGCACACAGCACCCTCTCTCTTTAAATATCTTTAAATAAGATTGTCGTGTGTTTATTCTTTTTAAGAGGGACAATAAGGGAACTTAGCAAGAACATACAATTCAATACTGAATTGCATGATAGTGAGAGGCTTACATAAGCCTGCAACCAGCTACCCCCTGTGCGTTAAAAGGGGAATTGAAGTGAAGGGTGTGAGGCAGGAGTTAGTAATGCAGGTGAGCTGTGCACAAGCAAGCTGCCAGCTAGCTCTGCTGAGGCTCTTTTTATTGAACAACAAACCCCCGTGTTGCCGAAGTAGTAAGTGAATAACAACGTAGGACAGTGATTCCGGATAATCTGACTGTTTCGTTGGAATATACATATTCTTATGACCACTGCTCCTTGTGCATTTTTCTAAAGGTTGACAGACGTGTGTTCATTTGATTTCAAATATATTAGAGAATTTACAAGTGTACACATTTTGTTGTACTAAATCATGTATATTATGCAATAAGAATTGCAGTGCTATCTAGTATTCTGGTCTTCGCGTTGCTTGTATTGTTTGTTGAGGCTCTTTTTATTAGCACAATATGCAAAGCCAGTCAGATACATTTTGGAGTGTGACCTTTACACATCTTCCAATCCCGAGATCGTGGGGGTGGTACAAAGTTATTTTGGCACCTGTTTCCACCGCATCACTTTTCCCCTGAACAATAAAAATTCCTTCCAGTAGCACCTTAAAGACCAACTAAGTTAGTTCTTGGTATGAGCTTTCGTGTGCATGCACATGACGAAGGAGACCAAGGTCACAGACGGGGCACTGCAGACCACTGAGAAAGCCAAAGGTTAGGTAGAGGGCATGATGTTCAGACAGCTGTGGCTTGTCTGCGGGTGGAAGTGTGCTCCGCACCAGGCGATCATTCCTTCAGGGAATGTAAACTCTGCTAAGTAAAGGGACTCACTAACACAAGTTGTTGTTGTTGTTGTTGTTTAGTTTGTGACCCCCTGGACCAGAGCATGCCAGGCACTCCTGTCTTCCACTGCCTCCCGCAGTTTGGTCAAACTCATGCTGGTAGCTTCGAGAACACTGTCCAGCCATCTCGTCCTCTGTCATCCCCTTCTCCTTGTGCCCTCCATCTTTCCCAACATCAGGGTCTTTTCCAGGGAGTCTTCTCTTCTCATGAGGTGGCCAAAGTATTGGAGCCTCAGCTTCAGGATCTGTCCTTCCAGTGAGCACTCAGGGCTGATTTCCTTAGGGATGGATCAGTTTGATCTTCTTGCCATCCATGGGACTCTCAAGAGTCTCCTCCAGCACCAGAATTCAAAAGCATCAATTCTTCAGCCATCAGCCTTCTTTATGGTCCAGCTCTCACTTCCATACATCACTACTGGGAAAACCATAGTTTTAACTATACGGACCTTTGTCAGCAAGGTGATGTCTCTGCTTTTTAAGATGCTGTCTAGGTTTGTCATTGCAACGCAAGTTAGGAAGGACATTAATAGATAATATATCCTCTCCTGCCTCCCTGAACATTCCCACACAGAATAAGCGTGGAAGTTGTGCAGGACGAGCGAAAGTTGTGCAGAAGGATGGTAGCTCAGTGTCATGGCATCTGCGCTCACGAGGCAGGCTCCAAATTCAATCTCCAGTGTGGCATCTCCCCTGCTTGGGGAGCTGCTGCCTGTCCGTGCAGACAGTACTGAGTTAGATGGACAGAGAGTCTGACTCGGTAAAGGCAGCAGCTCCCTGTGTCCTCTTGCAGCACCCCGTCTTACCTTGAAATAAGAAAAAGCCAGGTGGTCCAGTGCATCTTCAAGGCTCCCCTCGTCCTCTGTGTTCCAGCTCCCGTAGGAAACACGGAACAGGCTCACGGCTTCCTCCAGCCACAGAATGGAGTGGTAATAATCTTCCATGTCATAGGCAACCTGGAAGAAACCAGGAACGGTAAGAGAAAGGAACTTGGGACCACTTTAACCTGTGAAATCACTTTCTAGATGAGTTTTGTCTGCATAATTTCTACTGCTGCCGTTGCCGTGAACCAATGCAAGATTTTAAGTAAGTACAGTGGTACCTTGGTTCTCAAACTTAATCCGTTCTATTCCGAAACCAAAGTGTTCCAAAACCAAGGCACGCTTTCCCATAGAAAGTAATGCAAAAGGGATTAATCTGTTCCAGACTTTTAAAAACAACCCCTAAAGCAGCAATTTAACATGAATTTTACTATCTAATGAGACCACTGATCCATAAAATGAAAGCAATAATCAATGTGCTGTACTATGAAATAAATGAGACAGTATTGAAGATGATAAAAATTAAAAGTATTTTGTTTTCTTCCCTGCACTGATGATAGTCATTGTTTGGATGGGGGTCTTTTATCCATTTCTGCAGTCACGCAAACAATCATTCGGTAGCTGAACTGGGTTCCACACAGTCACAAAAACAAATTAACCGAAAAAGCCTCCAAAACAAAAACGCAAAATAAATAGCAAAAACAAAAGCGCCAAACTTAATTCATTCCGGAGGTCCGTTTGACTTCCAAAAGGTTCAAAAACCAAGGCACAGCTTCTGAATGGTGCAGGCGCCCCGGAAACAATAGCCAACAGCCGCATCGGACGTTCAGCTTCTGAAAAACGTTCGAAAACCGGAACACTTACTTCCGGGTTTTCGGCATTTGAGAACCAAGGTACCACTGTAAAATATATTTTTAAACTTAACCCCCAAGTTGCTGCCTGATTCTTGTTTAAAGAATATCTGGGGGGGAAATGTTAATATTTAAATCTTAGAATAGCTTCGGAAGTGGATATAGGCTATAGGGTTAGAAGTAGAAGATAGTGTATTTTAAAATAGTATTATTTGTAAGAGATTTTTATGGTAAAAGTAAGTGTGATTAAAAAATGGTTTAAAATTATGATATATGAAAGTGCTAAAAATGGGGTAAAATGAAAATCAGATAGCGGGGACTTGGGGAAGCTCACCTAACAATGTTTAGAAAAAAATAAGGATAAGACAAGAATTTGTTTGTGTTGTTTGTATTTCTGTTTGTATTGTTTATTTGTGTTATAAAATGAATAAAAAAAATTGGGGGGGGGGAGTTGCTGCCTGATTCTTTGTTAAGCAGGGCGAAAAAGGGAAAACCAGTTTAGTAAAGGGACCCCTGACCATTAGTTCCAGTCGTGACTGACTCTGGGGTTGCGGCGCTCATCTCGCTTTATTGGCCGAGGGAGCCGGTGTACACCTTTCGGGTCATGTGGCCAGCATGACTAAGCCGCTTCTGGCGAACCAGAGCAGCGCACGGAAACACCATTTACCTTCCTGCCGGAGTGGTATCTATTTATCTACTTGCACTTTGACGTGCTTTCGAACTGCTAGGTTGGCAGGAGCAGGGACCGAGCAACGGGAGCTCACCCCGTCGCAGAGATTCGAACCACCGACCTTCTGATCATTAAGTCCTAGGCTCTGTGGTTTAACCCACAGCCCCAACTTTCTAGCTAATTCCTAATTTTGCAGCCTAATTTCTATGCTTTTAATTTGCTGGCAAGGATGGGGTTTTTAACCTACACACTTGGGTGCCTGGAGGGATAAATTGCAATTAATATAGCTCGCACAGCACAACCCTATCAACCCCTTGCCTCTTAGCATGCCTGCCAGGTAATCCCACTGACCTCCAGGGGGGTCTGTTACTGCCCCCTTTGGAAACCACTGACCTGCCCCCCTCACCTTGCCAATATGGAAACAGTCGTCGGCGGACAGGGAGAAATCCTGGCTGGGGTTGTAGACGTCCGGAAGCGGAGCATTGCTAACCCTCTGGAATTTCCCTTTGGCCAAGCCCTTCACACTCAGGGAGTAGACATCTTGAAGGCGCATCACCCCCCGGGCAGCTCCTTCCAAGTCCTCAAAGATGGGTAACTCCTCCTCCAATCGTTGGTAGCCATTCTTCAGTGCTGAGAACAAAAGGTAAAAAAAAGGTGAAGGACCACTGGATGGTTAAGTTCAGTGAAAGGCGACTATGGGGTTGCGGCCCTCATCTTGCTTCAGGCTGAGGGAGCCAGTGTTTGTCCACAGACAGCTTTCTGGGTCATGCGGCCAGCAGGACTAAACCGCTTCTGGCACAACTGGACACTGTGACGGAAACCGGAGCGCAGGGAAACGCCGTTTACCTTCCCGCTGGAGAGGTACCTATTTATCTACTTGCACTGGTGTGCTTTTGAACTGTTAGGTTGGCAGGAGCTGGGACAGAGCAACAGAAGCTCACCCCGTCGCGGGGATTCGAACCGTCAACCTTCTGATCAGCAAGCCCAAGAGGCTCAGTGGCTTAGACCACAGCGCCACCCACGTTCCTGCTGAGAACAATACCAATCCCCCCTTGGTACCGAGCCTTATAGGGACAGGGTAAAAAATAAAAAAAATAGGGACAGGGTAAAAAATAAAAAAAATCCTTCCAGTAGCACCTTAGAGACCAACCAAGTTTGTTATTGGTATGAGCTTTCATGTGCATGCACACTTCTTCAGATACCTGCCTTCATAATAAATAATTTTTGTTTATTTTTTCGAATTTACATTTCAAAATATTCATTTAAAGAACCTTAAGCCAATGACTTCCCTTCTTTTCTTTCCATGGTTCATTTTGCATACCGTACATCCCTGCATATTTTACACGAACTAAACCATTCAGTATTCCATTATTGCATCCATCAAAACTGATTTACACTGCTGAATTTATTTTAATACTGCCAGTGTTTTTAAATGTACACAGTTTCCACCCACGTATTCAGTAAGCATTTTCCAGTCTTCTTTAAATGTATGTTCTTCTTGTTATCTTATTCTATATGTTAAATCTGCAAGCTGCACATATTCCATCAGTTTGTTGTCATTCTTCTTTAGCCGGGACCTCGCTCGTCTTCCATTTTGGGGCTATCAAAACATGGGCCGCAGTAGTGGCATACAGAAATAGCCTTTTTTGAGATGTTGAAAATATCAATAATAAAAAATCCAGAGATATATCTCCTTGGATTGATAGGGGAAGAGATACCATGGGGGGGGGGAATCTTCTTATATGCAAGTACAACAGCTAAAGCAGTGCTAAGTGGAAGTCGCAAACTCTACCCTTAAGGGAGAAATGGATTTGTAAACTAAATGAATACTTAACTCTGGCAAAACTAACAGCTGTTATAAGAAACCAATCGAATCAAAAATTTTAAAAGGAGTGGGAATGTTTTGATGAAGATATGGTAAAATATCGCTCAAAAAAAGATATGATAATATGCCTAGATTAAAATGTAAAGTATCTGAGGGAAGGTAAATTAGTAAGGAAAGATAATAAGAACATATAGAAGATTTGAGAAGATTGTAAATGCAAAGATAAATGTAATCTCAGAATGTAGAGGAAATCGAGTGGGGGAGGAGGGAAGTGGGGCGAGGGACAAAAGAATATTCAGTCAGCTAGCCCTGGGGATTATCTAATTGATTTTTGATTTTTGATTTTATTGTTATTCATGTTTTTATACCGTATTTTATGCTGTTTTTATAATTAATTATATTTAAAGTGTTTTAAATTTGTTGTTAGCCACCCTGAGCCCAGTTTTTGAACCAGGAAGGGCAGAGTATAAATAAATTATTATTAATAATAATATTATGGAGGATGTGGTGATGGCTTTGGTTTATTTATATTGTGAAGTAATATGGGAAAAAAACCCAATAAAATATAGTATTGGAAAAGGGGGTGGAATAGTCTTTTTTGACACCTAGGAATTTCCCTCTGAATTATCCCCAACGAAAAGGACCCTGGGTTTTTTGGGGGAAAGGTACGTTGTTGTTTTTTAAAGGTGCCTTTAAAAAAAAAAAAAGGTCCATTTATCTCAGGGCTGCCTGTACAGGCCGGCAGCTGCCACCCAGAGTTTCAGGAAGTCAACTGTGGCTTGAACCTGGGCCCTTCTGCCTGCCAAGCAGGTGTCCTACCGCGATGCAACGAACCTTCTCCAAATGCCCATTGCTATCACTGTTATATTCCCTGCAGCTGAACAGTATGCTCTGCCTTCAGCCAAACATACCTTGGGCGTTCTCGCTGGCTTCCGCGCTGTACACCACATTCAGCCAGTCTGACTGCAACCTCTTGATGAGCGTGTAGGCCAGTAAAGGGTTAACCACGGTGCTGCCCGCGCCTTGGTGCAAGGCCTGGATCTTCCTGTAGAATCTGGTTGGGGAGGAAGGCATGAAGAAGGATATTACAGTGGTACCTTAGGTTAAGTACTTAATTCGTTCCGGAGGTCCATTCTTAACCTGAAACTGTTCTTAACCTGAAGCACCACTTTAGCTAATGAGGCCTCCTGCTGCTGCCATGCTGCCAGAGCACGATTTCTGTTCTCATCCTGAAGCAAAGTGCTTAACTTGAAGCACTATTTCTGGGTTAGCAGAGTCTGTAACCTGAAGCGTATGTACAGTGGTGCCCCGCAAGACGAATGCCTTGCAAAACGGAAAACCCGCTAGATGAAAGGGTTTTCCGTTTTGGAGGTGCTTCGCAAAACAAATTTCCTATGGGCTTGCTTCGCAAGACAAAAATGCCTTCCGAGTTCGTGCAGGGTTTTTTCCCTCCCCCCCCTTCCCCCAAGCCGCTAAGCCTCTTATCAGCTGATCCGCTAAGCCCGCTAAGCCGCTAATAGCGCTAATCAGCTAAGCCACTAATGGGCTTGCTTCGCAAGACGAAAAACCGCAAGACGAAGAGAATCGCGGAACGGATTCTTTTCGTCTTGCAAGGCATCACTGTAACCTGAAGCATATGTAACACAAGGTACCACTGTATTCAAAATTAGACAAAACTCAGGAGGAGAGGGCTATGGAAGGCTCCTATGGAAGACTCCACAGTTGGGGGCAGCAATACTAGTCTAGTTGCGGCAGCTAGACTGGGGACTGGGAGCGGCCGCTCCCAGTAAGTTTCCAAGCACAATTCAAAGTGTTGGTGATGACCTTGAAAGCCCTAAACCAGGGCTTTAAAGGACCAGGTGCGCAGCCTGGGAGTCATTTTGGACTCACTGCTGTCCATGGAGGCACAGGTCAAGTCTGTGTCCAGGGCAGCTGTCTACCAGCTCCATCTGGTACGCAGGCTGAGACCCTCCCTGCCTGCAGACTGTCTCGCCAGAGTGGTGCATGCTCTGGTTATCTCCATCTTGGACTACTGCAATGTGCTCTACGTGGGGCTACCTTTGAAGGTGACCCGGAAACTACAACTAATCCACAATGCGGCAGCTAGACTGGTGATTGGGGGCGGCCACCGAGACCACATAACACCGGTCCCGAAAGACCTACATTGGCTCCCAGTATGTTTCCGAGCACAATTCAAAGTGTTGGTGCTGACCTTGAAAGCCCTAAACGGCCTCAGTCCAGTATACCTGAAGGAATGTCTCCACCCCCATCATTCTGCCCGGACACTGAGGTCCAGCTCCGAGGGCCCTTCTGGCGGTTCCCTCACTGTGAGAAGCCAAGTTACAGGAAACCAGGCAGAGGGCCTTCTCAGCAGTGGCAGCCGCCCTGTAGAACACCCTTCCATCAAGGAAATATACAACTACCAGACTTTTAGAAGACATCTGAAGGCAGCCCTGCTTAGGGAAGTTTTTAATGTTTGATGTTTTATCGTGTTTTTAATTTCTGTTGGAAGCCGTCCAGAGTGGCTGAGGAAACCCAGCCAGATGGGTGGGATATAAATTTATTACAGTGGTGCCTCGCAAGACGAAATTAATTCGTTCCGCGAGTTTTGTCGTCTTGCGATTTTTTTCGTCTTGCGAAGCACGGTGTCGGGAAAGTTTTGGAAAAGCTTCAAAAATCACCAAAGTCTTTAAAAACCTCAAAAAAAGGCTACCACACCGCGTTCTATGAGTTGCTCCTCGAAGTCAAGTCGCAACTGTATTAACGGTGTTAAGAAAAAGAAACAAGCTTGCAAGATGTTTCTGTCTTGGGAAGCAAGCCCATAGGGAAAATTGTCTTGCGAAGCAGCTCAAAAAACAAAAAAACCCTTTCATCTAGCGAGTTTTTTGTCTTGCGAGGCATTCGTCTTGCGAGGTACCACTGTATTATTATTATTATTATTATTATTATTATTATTATTCTGAATCCCAGTTGCTAGAAACCACAGGAGTGGAGAGTTGCTCTGGTTGGCCTCTGGTTAGCCACTGTGAGAACAGGAGAATAATAATAATAATAATAATAATAATAATAATAATAATAATAATAATAATATTTATACCCCGCCCTCCCCAGCCAGAGCCGGGCTCAGGGCGGCTAACACCAGTAAAATTACAGTAAAAACATAATAGGGGGGGAAACCAATTTAAAATACAGGCACTGGATTAGATGGGTCATTGGCCTGATCCTGTAGACTCTCCTTATATTTCCTAAAACGGAAAAGTCACAAACTCTGCAAAGTTTCTTCATACGGGCATCGTTTCATCCCCTGGATCATTTTAATTTTCTGAACCTTTTCCAATGGAAATATATATCTAATATGTTTTTACTTAGGAAAACCCAATTCTTTATGGGCTGTTCCCATAAGGGGTTTTTTTTGGGGGGGGGAGAGGTTGTACTCACTTTCCCTTTCAAAAAAAAACCCCACAAAAACCCAGCCCTTCTGGTTCACATTCTATCATACACAGCCAACACCTACAAAAGGGCAGATGAATATTTGCCAAGACACTGTTTTGAATTGCAATGCTCTCTTGCCAATTTTGATGTCCAGAAGTTTGGTGGAGAAGGATTGATTTCCCTCCACACCCATCCCTGGAAAACTGCATAGCAAAAACCTCAAATGAGGAGGGTCTGTTTGAAAGTGGACATGTTCGTGGCTGGTTCTGGTGTGGAGCCGGGCAAGGTGGCTGCCTCAAGTGGCAGATTCTGGGCACCTGTTCTGGTGGATCTGGGTTTTTTAAAAATATGTACTGTATTTTTCGCTCTATAAGGCGCACTTTTCCCCCTCCAAAAATTAAGGGGAAATGCGTGTGCGTCTTATGGAGCGAATGCAGGTTCCTTCGCTTCAGCGATAGCAACGTGAAGCCTCCAAAGGGGAGAGGGAGAGCTCCCCCTGCACTCCAGAGGCTTCGTGTTGCTTTTCCTGAAGCCACCTGAAGCCCCCAGAGCACAGTGCGAACTCCCGCTGCGCTCCGGGGGCTTCAGGCAGCTATCCGCAAGCCTACGGAGCGCAGCAGGAGTTCCCGCTGTACTCCGAAGGCTTGCGGATAGCCGCCTGAAGCCTGGAGAGCGAGAGGGGTCGGTGCACACCCATCCCTCTAGCTCTCCAGGCTTCACTTCGCTGGAGGAGCGCCACACAGTTTTCCCTCTCTGCGCAGCGCCCCTTCAGCGAAGCGGGAAGAGAAATGGAAGGAGCTCCGTTTCTCCTGCCGCTTTGCTGAAGGGGCGCTGAGCAGAGGGGGGGGATCCCCCCCCCGTTCTCCCCCTCCTATGGTCTGGTGCGTCCTATAGAGCGAAAAATACGGTATGTATAATTGCAAGGCACAGAAGATGGAAGTAGGAAACAACTAGCAAGGGAGAGTTGGGAGACTGCCTTCTGGGAAGCCTCGTTGTTGTTTTGGGTGGGAAGCCATCAAATACTGGCAAATTCAGGTCCTGCAAGTAAATGCGATTTGGAGCTCTTGTGCAACAAACCAGCTCTCCCCAAATACCAGACTTTGTGAACGGGAAAGCTGTGGGAAAATGTGCTGGGAATCGTGGGAGAACATTTGATTTGAGTCAGTGTCGGGCTCCCTCATACGGTCGATGAATGTGGATATTTTTTTGCACCTCCATTCATTCTCCTTCGTCTCTATCAGTTGCTCCTCCAAATCTCTGTCTGCCCCTCTCCAGATCTTCAGACTTGCTGGCAGGCGCCAACAGGAGTCTGCCAACATCTGGAGAAGCAGAGGTTCCCCATTCCCGCTTTAACTAGAGATGGCAGGGATTGAACCTGGCATAGCTGCCAACGTTTCCCTTTTTTAAAGGGAAATTCCCTTATTCCGAATAGGATTCCTCGCAAGAAAAGGGAAAAGTTGACAGCTATGAACCTGAGATGTTCTGAGAGCACAGCAGGCACCCAGTGTAGCACTAACACAAAACTAATGAAACTGGCAAAATGGATTTCAACAGGGACAAATTTCAGGTTCTGCACTTAGGCAGGACTAACCAGATGCACCAAAGGTCCGTATAGTCAAAGCTCTGGTTTTCCCAGTAGTGATGTATAGAAGTGAGAGCTGGACCATGAAGAAGGCTGATGGCCGAAGAATGGATGCTTTTGAATTCTGGTGCTGGAGGAGACTCTTGAGAGTCCCATGGACTGCAAGAAGATCAAACCTCTCCATTCTGAAGGAAATCAGCCCTGAGTGCTCACTGGAAGGAAAGATCCTGAAGCTGAGGCTCCAAGACTTTGGCCACCTCATAAGAAGAGAAGACTCCCTGGAAAAGACCCTGATGCTGGAAAAGATGGAGGGCACAAGGAGAAGGGGACGACAGAGGAGGACGAGATGGTTGGACAGTGTTTGACCAAACTGCGGGAGGCAGTAGAAGACAGGAGTGCCTGGCGTGCTCTGGTCCAGGGGGTCACGAAGAGGCGGACATGACTAAACGACTAAATAACAAGAACAACCAGATGCACAAAGATAAGACTTGATGGCAGTACATGTGGAAAGGATCTAGGGGTCTTAGCTGAGCACAAGCTGAACTTGAGTCCCCAGTGTGATGCAGCAGCAACAAAAGCGAATGCTATTCTAGGCTGCATCAACAGAAGTCTAGTGTCTAGATCCAAGGAAGTCATAGTCCTGCTCTATTCTGCCTTGGTCAGACCACACCTGAAGTCCTGTGTCCAGGTCTGGGTGCCACATTTCTGAGCACAATTCAAAGTGTTGGTGCTGACCTTGAAAGCCCTAAACGGCCTCGGCCCAGTATACCTGAAGGAGCGTCTCCACCCCCATCGTTCTGCCCGGACACTGAGGTCCAGCTCCGAGGGCCTTCTGGCGGTTCCCTCATTGCGAGCAGCAAAGCTACAGGGAACCAGGCAGAGGGCCTTCTCGGTGGTGGCGCCCGCCATGTGGAACGCCCTCCCACCAGATGTCAAAGAGATAAACAACTACCTGACATTTAGAAGACATCTGAAGGCAGCCCTGTTCAGGAAAGTTTTTAATGTGTGACATTTTAATGTGTTTTTAATCTTTGTTGGAAGCCGCCAGGAGTGGCTGGGGAAACCCAGCCAGACGGGTGGGGTACAAATAATAAATTATATTGTTATTATTATTAAGGTAAAGGTAAAGAGGCCCCTGACCATTAAGTCCAGTCGTGACCAACTCTGGGGTTGCAGCGCGCATCTCGCTTTACTGGCCGAGGGAGCCGGTGTACAGCTTCCGGGTCATGTGGCCAGCAGGACTAAGCCGCTTCTGGCGAACCAGAGCAGCGCATGGAAACGCCGTTTACCTCCCTGCCGGAGTGGTACCTATTTATCTACTTGCACTTTTGACGTGCTTTTGAACTGCTAGGTGCGCAGGAGCAGGGACCGAGCAACGGGAGCTCACCCTGTCACGGGGATTCGAACCACCGACCTTCTGATTGGCAAGTCCTAGGCTCAGTGGTTTAACCCACAGTGCCACCCGCGTCCCACTGCCACCCGCGTCCATTATTATTATTATTATTATTATTATTATTATTAATAATAATATCTGACGGGCTGTCACCTGGAGGATGGAGCAAGCTTGTTTTCTTCTGCTCCAGAGGGTGGGACCAGTGGCATAGCGTGGGTTGTCAGCACCCGGGGCAAGGCAAGTAATTTGCGCCCCCTAACCCGTGGATTTGCGCCCCCTAACCTGTGGATTTGCCCTAACCCCAGATGTTGCGCCCGGTGCGGCCGGCCCCCCCTGCACCTCCCACGCTACGCCACTTGGTGGGACCCAAACCAACACATTCAAATGCCGAGGAAGGAGATTCTGGCTAAGCAAAAGAGTAGCCAGAACTGTTTGACAGCAGAATGGAAGGTTATCCGGCAGGGATTATTCAGCTGCGATTCCCTGCATTGGAGGGGGTCGGACTACATGACCCTGGAGTGTCCCTTCCAACTCTACCATTCCAGCCTCCCGGGCTTGATCCCCGCCAACGGAGCCCGGCCCTTACCTCCTGAGGTCCTCCAGCCTCTTGGCTTCCTCTTCCAGGTAGGTGTGCAAAAAGCGGAGGAGCACCCTCTCGGTGCTGAGCGCCTGGTGGATGCTCAGCATGGAAGTGTAGGTCTCCGCCTGGACGCACTGCGAGAGACCGGCCAAGAGGACCACTGCCGCCGCGGGCCACAGCATCGCCTTACTCTTCTGCACAATGCCTCTGTCTCTCGCCTCCGCCTCCCTTCCTCTCCCGCAGGCTGAGATCCAAAATCTCCCCTCTCCTGCGCCCACCCAGCTCTTCCAGTGCCACCCAGTCTCTCTCCCGAAGCCAAGGGAGCGTCGGTGGTGTCATGGGCGCAAGCGGAGCATCCCTTTGCGCGGCTGTTGCGCGCCCTCGGTCCTCCTCCTCCTCCTCTGGAATCTCGCCCTGAGCTGCGAAAGCCAAAACGGCATCCCAGCACCGACTCCAATCTCTCTCTTTCTCTCGCAGCAGCAGCAGAAATGAGCCGAATGGAAACCAGATGCGTAAAGAGGCAGTAAAAGCCGCTGTGCGTTTTCCCCTCCCCTCTCCAGTCTCTGCAAAGCTCCGGCAAGGATTCGCTGTGGCTGCTCAGCAATCCGTCTGTCTCTCCCTGTCTACTCCAGGATTGAAAATGAGGTGGGAGGGGAGACGGGAAAGTCCTCCCTTGGCTCAGAGGCTGAGCATCTGCAATAATAATAATAATAATAATAATAAATAATAATAATAATAATAATAATAATAATAATAATAATAATAATAATAATACAGTCATACCTCGAGTTCCGTATAGTTCAAGCTATGGTTTTCCCAGTAGTGATGTATGGAAGTGAGAGCTGGACCTAAAGAAGACTGATCGCGGAAGAATTGACGCTTTTGAATTCTGGTGCTGGAGGAGACTCTAGAGAGTCCCATGGACTGCAAGAAGATCAAACTGATCCATTCTGAAGGAAATCAGCCCTGAGTGCTCACTAAAGGACCAAAGGTGAAAGAATGTACCTTCATTTTCTTTACATTTCCAACATTTATTATCGGGCAAGTGATAGATTTTTGCAAGCTTGACTGGTGTCATGTACCACCTGTATATCATTTTCATAATATTCTCTCTTAAGGCATTACATGCCGTAAATTTCATACCTGAAGGAAATCAGCCCTGAGTGCTCACTGGAAGGACAGACCCTGAAGCTGAGGCTCCAAGACTTTGGCCACCTCATGAGAAGAGAGGACTCCCTGGAAAAGACCCTGACATTGGGAAAGATGGAGGGCACAAGGAGAAGGGGGCGACAGAGGACGAGATGGTTGGACAGTGTTCTCGAAGCTACCAGCATGAGTTTGACCAAACTGGGGGAGGCAGTGGAAGACAGGAGTGCCTGGCGTGCTCTGGTCCATGGGGTCACGAAGAGTAGGACATGACTAAACAACAACAACACCTTGGGTTACAGACGCTTCAGGTTGCGTTTTTTCAGGTTACGGACTGCTGAAACCCGGAAGTACTGGAATGGGTTACTTCTGTGTTTCGGCAGTTGCGCATGCGCAGAAGCGCTAAATCATGCTTTGTGCATGCGCAGAAGCACCGAATTGCAACCCACGCATGCACAGACGTGCCGCTGCGGGTTGCGAATGTGCATCCCACACGGATCATGTTCGCAATCCAAGCGTCCACTGTAATTTATTACTTATACCCCGCCCATCTGGCTGGGCTTCCCCAGTCACTCTGGTTGGCTTCCAGCAAAATATTAAAATGCAATAATTCACCAACTTTGCATACAGAAGGTTCTGGGTTCAATAGGCTCCCACCTGAAAACATGAAGGAGAGGGTTCTGGCTGGCTCCGAGCCATGATGCCTATACGCTCTGCCTTGTCAGCTGGAGGCAGCAGCAATACTTCTGAATCCCAGTTCAGAGGATCGCAGAGTTGTAGTATTGGAAGTGGGACCCCTGAAGATCATCCAGTCCAACCCCCTTGCAGGGCAGGAATCTTTCGCCCAAGGTGGGGCTCAAACCCCCAACCCTGAAGTCTCATGCTCTTCAGAGAAGAAGAAGAGGCCATCCTCAAAGAGGATTTGGAAAAGATTTGTAGGTTGTTTTCTTTAAAAATTGCTGCAAACATGTTAAAACGCGAGTCGGTTTGGAGTAAGCTCAGCAGTAAAAAAAATTGTTATGAGAATAAAATGGTTGGAAGAACGATTGCAATTATTATAATGTGCAGCAGTAAGAGATAATTTGAGGAAACCATGGAAGGGTGGAAGGGAAATCGAGTAACAATAAATAATTTGGTGTATTGGTTAATTAATTGTATTGTATATTTCCGGTTTTTGTAGATTTGAGAACATATATATATGATTATTATTAGAGTCTCATGCCCTACCAACAGAGCTATGCTGGAAAAACACCAACAAGGGGGAAGGGCTTGTGTTCGAATTCTGCTTGCTGGTTTTCCGACAGGCTCTGTGAGACTGTGATGGCGAACTACATGGGCCATGGATTCAGCAGGTGCTCCTTAGATTCTTAAACTTGGCATGCTGCTGCCAACAGTGTAGAGCAGTAGATCCCAGTTGGTGGTCTGTGATCCCAGGAGGTCTGCATAACCCACCCAGGGGTTCCATGAAACCATTCACATAACAAAAACTACCATAGAGATGTCAACATTTCCGAAAGGAGGGGGTCCATAGCTTGGCTTTCAGAAAAACAGGGGTTCTGTGGTACTTAGCTAATTGGGAACCCACTGGTGCAGAGATTATGGAGCCAGATGGATAAGGCAGCCTGGTGCGTGTGTCTGGAGGTCCAGGGCTGCCCAGACCACAAGACCCCCCTCTTGGCCTTGCTGATGGGGTCCAAGGGAAAGCAGAGCAAGACGTTTGGCACCAGCTTTTCTGCAGGAGTTGCTGGAAGGAGGCATACAAGGTGCATGCTTTTTAAGGTGCTGGATTTGACCTTTAAAGCCCTATGCAGCCTAGGACCCATGTACCTACGGGTCCGCCTCTCCTGGTATGCCCCACAAATAAGGTCCACAAATAACAACACTTTGGAGGTCCCGAGCCTCAAGGAGGTTAGTTTGGTCTCAACTAGGGCCAGGGCCTTTTCAGTACTGGCCCCGACGTGGTGGAATGCTCTGTCACAAGAGACCAGGGCCCTGCGGGACTTGGCATCTTTCCGCAGGGCCTGCAAGACAGAGCTGTTCCGTCTGGCCTTTGGTTTGGACTCAGTCTGACCCTTATATTTCCCTCCCCTTCAGGGACGCGGACTTATAAAAAATATTGGGGGGGCCAGGGAAAGCTCATGAATAATAAATAAGCTCATGAATATGCAAATAAAGTGGCGCCGCCTCCTCGTGAGCGAATAGGGGAGAGCGTGCTGCGCCTATTAATCAGCTCCAAAGGAAATTGGGTGGAGCTTTTGCTCGGGAGGGAGGGCAGGAGGCATGCAGCCCGCCCCTCCCTGTGCATTTTGGGCTGGGGGAGGGGCGGCGATGGCGCTCTGCTGGAGGGGCGCCGGAGATTATTGGGGGGGCGGAGCCCCCCCAAACGAATTTTTGAGGGGGCTCGGGCCCCCTCAAGCCCCATGGAGTCGGCGCCTATGCTCCCCTTATGGTCTTGATTTATCAGCTACTTTAAAACGAGGCTGCATTTTAAATTGCATTTTAACCTGTATTTTAATTTCAGTTTGTTTGTTTTTTGTTTTCCCCCACCCCTCTTTCCTCCCTATTATGTTTTTACTGTGATTTTATTGGTGTTAGCCGCCCTGAGCCTGGCTCTGGCCAGGGAGGGCGGGGTATAAATAAAAATTATTATTATTATTTGAAATTGCAGGAAACCACAGGCAGTGACGGATTTGCGTAAAGCAACTACTCTATTCCGAACTTAAAAATGGAAAGCGTAATGCTGGTGGTCAACAAAAGAGGTTTAAAGACTGTCTCAAGGCAAGTCTTAAAAAAATGTAGTATAAACACTGACAATTGGGAAACACTGGCCTGCGATCGCTCAAGTTGGAGAACAGCCTTTACCAAAGGTGTCATGTGCTTTGAAGACACTCAAACTCAGGACACAAGGGAGAAACGTGCCAAGAGGAAGGAATGATTGGCAAATCCACGCCGTGATCAACTCCCGCCCGGAAACCTATGTCCCCACTGTGGAAGGACGTGTGGATCCAGAATTGGCCTCCACAGTCACTTATGGACTCATTGTTTAAACCGTGTTTATGGAAGACAATCTCACTCGGCAACGAGGGGTCGCCAAAGAAGAAGAAGAAGAGGCTAAACAAGCTATAGCTTAGGGTCCCACTCTCTTGGGCCCCCCCAAAATATACTTCTTAATTGTATTTCACTATTAATATACGCCTAGGGCTTGCCGATCGAAAGGTCGGCAGTTCGAATCCCCGCGGCGGGGTGCGCTCCCGCTGCTCGGTCCCAGCGCCTGCCAACCTAGCAGTTCAAAAGCACCCCCGGGTGCAAGTAGATAAATAGGGACCGCTTACTAGCGGGAAGGTAAACGGCGTTTCCGTGTGCGGCTCTGGCTCACCAGAGCAGCGATGTCACGCTGTCCACGTGACCCGGAAGTGTCTTCGGACAGCGCTGGCCCCCGGCCTCTTAAGTGAGATGGGCGCACAACCCTAGAGTCTGGCAAGACTGGCCCGTACGGGCAGGGGTACCTTTACCTTTTTTTATTAATATACTTAGTTCAACAATTACTTGGATATAATACATATTTTGTCAGGTGCAAATGGCTTTAGAAACCTATTAGGTCCATAAATTACCATATGGCATATATTCAACACCAAAAAACAGCGACCATTCGTTGTTGGCAATGGACAGCTGGACATAGAAAGGACCCCATTACCTTCAGTAGCTTAGGGCCTTATCAAACCTAAATCCGGCCCTGAACAGGAAATGGGATTCTGACTAAACATTAGCAGGAATTTTCTGACAATAGGAGCTGTTTAACAGTGGAAGGAACACCCTTAAAAGCTGCTGGACTCTCCTTCCTTGTAGGTTTTAAATCAGTGTTTCCCAAAGTTGGGTCCTCCAGCTGCTTTCAGACTACAATTCCCATCATCCCTGACCGCTGGTCTTCCTAGCTAGGGACGATGGGAGTTGTAGTCCAAAAACAGCTGGAGACCCAACTGTGGGAAACACTGGTTTAAACAAACAAGATGAACTTTAACAGGGAGAAATGTAAAGTATTGCACTTGGGCAAAAAAAATGAGAGGCACAAATACAAGATGGGGGACACCTGGCTTGAGAGCAGTACATGTGAAAAGGATCTAGGAGTCTTGGTTGACCACAAACTTGACATGAGCCAACAGTGTGACGCGGCAGCTAAAAAAGCCAATGCAATTCTGGGCTGCAGCAATAGGAGTATAGCATCTAGATCAAGGGAAGTAATAGTGCCACTGTATTCTGCTCTGGTCAGACCTCACCTGGAGTACTGTGTCCAGTTCTGGGCACCACAGTTCAAGAAGGACACTGACAAAGTGGAACGTGTCCAGAGGAGGGCAACCAAAATGGTCAAAGGCCTGGAAACGATGCCTTATGAGGAACGGCTAAGGGAGCTGGGCATGTTTAGCCTGGAGAAGAGGAGGTTAAGGGGTGATATGATAGCCATGTTCAAATATATAAAAGGATGTCATATAGAGGAGGGAGAAAGGTTGTTTTCTGCTGCTCCAGAGAAGCGGACACGGAGCAATGGATCCAAACCACAAGAAAGAAGATTCCACCTAAACATTAGGAAGAACTTCCTGACAGTAAGAGCTGTTCGACAGTGGAATTTGCTGCCAAGGAGTGTGGTGGAGTCTCCTTCTTTGGAGGTCTTTAAGCAGAGGCTTGACAACCATATGTCAGGAGTGCTCTGATGGTGTTTCCTGCTTGGCAGGGGGTTGGACTCGATGGCCCTTGTGGTCTCTTCCAACTCTATGATTCTATGATTCTATTAAACAGAGGGTGGTTCGCCATCTGTCAGGGGTTCTTTCACTGTGATTGCAGGGGGCTGGACTAGATGAACCTTGGGGTCCCTTCTAACGAAAACCTAAATCCGGCCCTGATCACAGTAGGGGAGAGTGTTGTGCTCAAAACCTACTTGCGGGTTTCCCTTGGGGGCAAACTGGTTGGCCACTTTGGGAACAGGATTCTGGACTTAGAATCATAGAATCTTAAGAGTTGGGAGGGACCCTGGGGTCATCTAGTCCAACCCCCTGCAAGGCAGGAATCTCAGCTGAAGCATCCATGACAGATGGCCATCCAACCTCTGCTTAAAAACCTCCAAGGAAGGAGAGAGTCCATCATCTCCCAAGGGAGACCGTTCCACTGTCAAACAGCTCTTACCACCAGAAAGTTCTTCCTAACTTTCAGTTGGAATCTCCTTTCTTGTCACTTGGAGCCATGGGTTTGAGTCCTACCCTCCGGAGCAGTAGGAGGAGAACTTGATAGGTCATGGGCTTGACCCAGTAATTTCTTCTTATGCTCTCCTTACGTTCCACCTCGCTGGAGATTCTATCCTCCCAGCTGCTTTCATTTGCTCTACGTTTTTGAGAGGTAAACACAGGCAGAAGCGATGCCCTGAATTTTTTAGCAAAAAAATCCCTGAGCTTTGCAAGCAGTTATCCTTGGGATCCGAACATGAATGCCTAGGATGCCCCCTTGTGGGAAGCTCTTGCATAACAAGCAGAGCATATTTGGTACGCCTGGGCTGAATGCGCATTTTCGAGGGCATTAGAGTAGGGTTTTCAGAGGTATGAAAGATTCCGCTGCCTCCTAAATCTCTGCTCACCATCAGAATTACCAGGCTGCCTTTTAGAGTATAAACAAATATTTCCTAAAATGTTGGACTGCTTCAGTTAATAATAATATTCTTCAGATTCAGTGGACCCTCTGGATAAGAATGTACGGTAATTCATTCCGGGGGTTTGTACGCACCCTGAAAATTTCGTAAGCAGAGGTGCCACTTCTGCACACGCGTTCAACACAATAGAACGCTTCTGTGCATGTGCAAGACGCACAGAGCACTTCTGCGCATGAGCACGTGGCGAAACCCAGAAGAATACACTTCCGGGTTTGCTACATTTGCAACCCGAAAGTTACGTTATCCAAAGGTAACGTAACCCGAGAGTCCACTGTATTTGAAAACAGCTATCATATCCCCTACCACTCTCCTCTTTTAATAATAATAATAATAATAAATTTTATTTATATCCCGCCCTCCCCAGCCTTAGCCGGGCTCAGGGCGGCTAACAACAATAAAACAGTACAAAAGTACAACATAAACAACACTCTAAAATCATTCATTCTAAAATTAATTAATTCAAGCCACTGGCAGCCATTGGGCCAGAGCTCCGCGAAGATTGCCGAAGGAGGGAGTCAGGCTGTGCCCTTGCCAAAGGCCTGGTGGAACAGCTCTGTCTTGCAGGCCCTGCGGAAAGATGTCAAGTCCCGCAGGGCCCTGGTCTCTTGTGACAGAGTGTTCCACCAGATCGGAGCCACAGCCGAAAAGGCCCTGGCTCTCGTTGAGGCCAGCCTAACTTCTCTGTGGCCTGGGACCTTCAAGATGTTTTTATTTGAAGACCGTAAGTTTCTCTGTGGGGCATACCAGGAGAGGCGGTCCCGTAGGTATGAGGGTCCTAAGCCGTATAGGGCTTTAAAGGTTAAAACCAGCACCTTAAACCTGATCCTGTACTCCACCGGGAGCCAGTGCAGCTGGTATAGCACCGGGTGAATGTGATCTCGCAGCGAAGACCTCGTAAGGAGTCTCGCTGCAGCATTCTGCACCCGCTGGAGTTTCTGGGTCAGTCTCAAGGGCAGCCCCACGTAGAGCGAGTTACAATAATCCAGTCTGGAGGTGACCGTCGCGTGGATCACAGTGGCTAGGTCAGGGCGATCACAGTGGCTAGGTCAGGGTAAACATACCCAGCTCCTTCAATTGTTCCTCATACGGCCTGATTTCCAGATTTCTGCACACCTTCCACCCAGTCAATAACCTAATAATAATAATATATTACTTATACCCGCCCATCTGGCTGGGTTTCCTCAGCCACTCCCAATATTCTGTTGGGAGCCGCCGTGAGTGGCTGGGGAAACCCAGCCAGATGGGCGGGGTATAAATAATTTATTATTATTATTATTATTATTATTATTATTATTATTATTATTATTACAGGAGTGCCTGGTGTGCTCTGGTCCATGGGGTCACGAAGAGTTGGACATGACTAAACGACTAAACAACAACAACAATTATTATTATTATTATTATTATTATTATTATTATTATTATTAACCCTAATGAATCAAATAAGGCTGACAACGACAAGGCAAGCAGGACGGTCATGGGATGTTCCCAAGGCCAGAAAAAGGGAGACAAAAGCGTGAATAGAGCACAATTCTGCTGATTTGCTAGATTTCTGCTTTGTGATACAATAAGGGCTCACGCATGCCCAGACAGCAGTGTTGAAAACCAGACATTGCCAACCTTGGGCTCTTCTTGTGTTGGTCCCTTACCTTCCCCACCCCGACTTGGCCACAGTGATCCACGGGACAGTCGCCTCCAGGCTTGACTACTGTAACTTGCTCTACGCGGGGCTGCCCTTGAGACTGACCCAGAAACTCCAGCGGGTGCAGAATGCTGCGGTGAGGCTCCTTGCCACGGGATCACATTCACCCAGTGCTTTACCAACTGCACTGGCTCCCAGTGGAGTACAGGGTCAGGTTTAAGGTGCTGGTTTTGACCTTTAAAGTCCTATGCAGCCTAGGACCAACGTACCTACGGGACCGCCCCTCCTGGTATGCCCCGCGGAGGACCCTAAGGTCCACTAATGAGACACTTTGGAGGTCCCAAGTCGCAAGGTGGTTAGATTGGTCTCAACTAGGGCCAGGGCCTTTTCAGCAATGGCCCCGACTTAGTGGAACGCTCTGTCACAAGAGACTAGAGCCCTGCGGGACTTGACATCTTTTCACAGGGCCTGCAAGACAGAGCTGTTCTGCCTGGCCTTCGGTTCGGACTCAGTCTGACCCTTATGTCCCCCCCCCCCTTATGTTTTTGATGAGGCTGCATTTTAAATTGCATTTTAACCTTTATTTTAAATTGGTTCCTCCCTCTATTATGTTTTTACTGAAATTTTTACTGTTGTTAGCTTCCCTGAGCCTGGCTCTAGCCAGGGTGGGCAGGGTATAAATAAATATTATTATTATTATTATTATTATTATTATTATTATTATTATTAGCGTCTCCACCCCCATCGTTCTGCCCAGAAGCTGAGGTCCAGCGCCAAGGGCCTTCTGGCAGTTCCCTCATTGCGAGCAGCAAAGCTACAGGGAACCAGGCAGAGGGCCTTCTCGGTGGTGGCGCCCGCCATGTGGAACGCCCTCCCATCAGCTGTCAAAGCGATAAACAACTACCTGACATTTAGAAGACATCTGAAGGCAGCCCTGTTTAGGGAAGTTTCTAATGTGTGACATTTTAGTGTATTTTTGGTCTCTGTGGAAGCTGCCCAGAGTGGCTGGGGAAACCCAGCCAGATGGGCGGGGTACAAATAATAAATTAATAATAATTATTATTATTATTATTATTATTATTTTCATATCCCAATACTCCAAGGAGTTCAAGGTGGTGGCCTGGGTCTCCCTCTCTTCATATCCTCCCAACAACGCTGCGAGGTAGGTGACGCTGAGCGCCAGTGACTGGCCCTGGGATCAACAGAGGCTGACCTCTGTTTGCCCGCTTGGGTGCGCACACCAATGAATTCAGCAGAATTGAGTTTGGAGTAAACATGCATACGGTCAGGCTGTATACAATGCCGAAGCTAATTCCTAAATCCTGGCCTCTGAGTCACGATGCGGCATGAGTTTGCCAAAGTCCACCTTTTTGCAGAGGGGGCCCCCAAAGGATATATGTCCAGCAGCTGGGATGGGTGGATGGGAGCCGGCAGATATATTAGCACCCGATTGATGCAGAACCATGAAAGCGTTCGGACCACAGCTGCTTCTCCTGCTGGCGCTACTAGGATTCATCGGTAAGTACCGTATTTTTCGCTCCATAAGACGCACCAGACCATAAGGCGCGCCTAGTTTTTAGAGGAGGAAAACAAAAATAAATAAATATTCTGAACAAAACAGTGGATGTATGATTTTTGTGGTTCATGCTGTGGCCACAGACGTGTGATTTGATGGGAGGTTTGGGGTAGCCCAATGCAAAAATCCTGAGAATCCATGTGGATCTGTGCTTTCCTGAGAATCCATGTGGATCCATGTGGAGGTCCGTTCTTAACCTGAAACTGTTCTTAACCTGAAGCACCACTTTAGCTAATGGGGCCTCCCGCTGCCGCTGCGTGATTTCTGTTCTCATCCTGAAGCAAAGTTCTTAACCCGAGGTACTATTTCTGGGTTAGCGGAATCTGTAACCTGAAGCATCTGTGACCTGAAGCGTCTGTAACCTGAGGTGTCTGTAACCCGAGGTACCCTGTATTAGGTTCAACGCTTGGCATCTCCCAGAGAGATCTTGTAGACCACTATGTTGTCAGCTAGGATCAGGGCCGGATTTACGTATAAGCCAAACAAGCTATAGCTTAGGGCCCCACTCTCTTGGGGCCCCCAAAAAATGTAAAGGGGAAAAAAACCTGGATGTACATTTCCAAAATATGAGATAAAAAAACCCAAATAAAATAAAACCTCTGGGTATAGGGCGGTGAATACAGTAGTTTTCCGTGTACAGTGGTATCTCAGGTTAAGTACTTAATTCGTTCCAGAGGTCCGTACTTAACCTGAAACTGTTCTTAACCTGAAGCACCACTTTAGCTAATGGGACCTCCTGCTGCTGCCACGCCACCGGAGCACAATTTCTGTTCTCATCCTGAAGCAAAGTTCTTAGCCTGAGGTAGTATTTCTGGGTTAGCGGAGTCTGTAACCTGAAGCGTATGTAACCTGAAGCATATGTAACCCGAGGTACCACTGTATAAGACCAGGTTTCCCCTCTAAAAAATAACGTCAAAAATTAGGGGGCGTCTTATGCACAGATACATCTTCCCCCCATTTTCTTAAATCTGAGTCCCCCAACATAGGGGGCATCTTATACATGGGGGCATCTTATAGACAGAAAAATACGTAAGTTGAATAAATAAAAGAATAAAATATTCAGTTTCTCACTTTTCCAAACTTAAATGCAGTTCTTCACATTTCTGCAGCGAGTCTGTGATTTATTTATTTTTAAATCCTCATGAAAATTGGTCAAGCATTTTAGTCCAAATCTCTCCTTGATATCATTATATTTCTGTACCTGTTTGCTGAGAATTCTTCCTAATTTGTTTGCGCAGTTTGTGGGGAGTTTAGACAAACTTGTCTCTTTAATGAGCATTTATCCTAATTTGTTTCCGGGGTGTGTGTGTGTGGTGGTTCGATGGCATTTCATCAAAACAAATGGTATCCCACAATTTCCTTTGCAATTTTCCCAGCACTTTCCTTATCACAAAAACTCTGATTTTATGGGGGCAGAAGTGCTTAAAAGTGCCAATTCAGTTTTAATTTTGTGACCTGAATTTCAATTGCTTAGCTAAACACGTGCTTGATCTCAGTTGTGTTCACTCTAAGAACACCCCTGTGATAAATCTCTCAAACAGAAGCCAGATGAATCACACTGGTTTAGACCGCAGGCACCATTCGAGACACGGACAAGCCATCCTTTGTAAAAATATTGGCCGGGAAGAGCAGCTGCAACGGAAAAAAATGTCTGGGCTTTGTGAGCCAATCCGCAGGAATTAATTGGGGCGACACAACATTAGTTCCGGCACTCAGGATCTATCAACAATCCCCCTCTGTGTGAAGATGGGCTTGCTTTATTTGTTTATTCGATTTACAAAATATTCCTATACAACACAAAACCAACAATAACACAACCTCCGTAAAAAAAGCAAGCACGAAATACGTTGCGATTCAGTAGGAAGCTGGTGACATGAAATGGTGAGCCGGCCCACTCATTGCACAAATGGGACATTTGTCCCGCTGCTACTGATGCCCCTTGTTCTTCTACACCCTTGTGCAAATTAATTGAAACAAGCAATGTAGTTTATTGGACAAAATTCATGTATACGTGGACAAAACTCACATATACGTACATTAGTAACGGATATTTTTTAAGCAGCATTTGAACACGGTTTGGCATGGAGTCTACTGCACTAGTTTCAAACAGTCACTGTTGATTTTCGGATCCCTGTACTACACTTGAATCAGCGCCTGAGCTTCTCCATAGTCATACAGTCTACAGAACAGAGGCGACTTTTTGCATATAGCCCACAAATTCTCAATGGGATTTATGTCCAGGGAATTCCCTGGCCAATCAAGTACCTGTATCTGCTGCTCTGTCCTGAATTTCTTCACCACTTTCGATGTGTGACAGGGGGCTAGGTCCTGCTGCGATATCCCAGTACCGTCAGGATACCTGTTTTCCAGCTCTGGAATAACTCTCTTTTCATAGAACCTCAATATATTGTGGCGAGCGCATCATTCCTTCTATTGGCTGCAGGCTTCTGACACCACAATGACCAACTGACTTTTCATGTTTGTTTTGAGTAGAGGATTAGGAGTAAGATAGAAAACATGCTTTTTTTCAATTAATTTGCACAAGGTGTAGATGATTTGCTCCCACCCCTTCAATCATCTTGCTGGTCCAGTGGGAGGGAAGGAGAAATACCAACCAGTTGTTGTTGTTGTTTAGTCGTTTAGTCGTGTCTGACTCTTCGTGACCCCCTGGACCAGGAGCACGCCAGGCACTCCTGTCTTCCACTGCCTCCCGCAGTTTGGTCAAACTCATGCTGGTAACCTGGAAAACACTGTCGAACCATCTCGTCCTCTGTCGCCCCCTTCTCCTTGTGCCCTCCATCTTTCCCAACATCAGGGTCTTTTCCAGGGAGTCTCTCTTTTCATGAGGTGGCCAAAGTATTGGAGCCTCAGCTTCAGGATCTGTCCTTCCAGTGAGCACTCAGGGCTGATTTCCTTCAGAACGGAGAGGTTCGATCTTCTTGCAGTCCATGGGACTCTCAAGAGTCTCCTCCAGCACCATAATTTGAAAGCATCAATTCTTCGGCGATCAGCCTTCTTTATGGTTCAGCTCTCACTTCCATACATCACTACAGTGGTACCTCAGGTTACATACGCTTCAGGTTAAAGACTCCGCTAACCCAGAAATAGTGCTTCAGGTTAAGAACTTTGCTTCAGGATGAGAACAGAAATCGGGCTCCGGTGATGCGGCAAGCAGCAGGAGGCCCCGTTAGCTAAAGTGGTGCTCCAGGTTAAGAACAGTTTCAGGTTAAGTACGGACCTCCAGAACGAATTAAGTACTTAACCTGAGGTACCACTGTATTGGGAAAACCATAGCTTTAACTATATGGACTTTTGTCGGCAAGGTGATGTCTCTGCTTTTTAAGATGGTTTTTGTCATCGCTTTTTAACCTTCATTGTTGTGACTTCCTATATCCTAGCTGGACAGGAGATGGGGATCCCACTGAACACACGGACCTGTGCCAGTTGGAGAGGTCTCTGCCGTCGCTCCTGCCTGGCTTATGAGATCCACCTGGGTGTTCACGGCTGCCCACGTCACTATAGGTATGGCTGCTCTCCTTGTGGGTTGATTGTTTATTGTTTGTGAGCACATTAAAGTCTCATCACGCTTGTTAACACCTGCCTTGGTCCATTGTGACCCCAAGGTCTCGTTCGTGGTCCCTCACCACTGTGGTGTTCCCAAAGCAAGGAAGGATTGGACTCTGATTAATAGAATACAGTGGTACCTCAGGTTACATACGCTTCAGGTTACAGACTCCCCTAACCCAGAAATAGTACCTCGGGTTAAGAACTTTGCTTCAGGATGAGAACAGAAATCGTGCTCTGGCAGCGCAGCAGCAGCGGGAGGCCCCATTAGCTAAAGTGGTGCTTCAGGTTAAGAACAGTTTCAGGTTAAGAACGGACCTCCAGAATGAATTAAGTACGTCACCAGAGGTACCACTGTACACACGAGGCTTGACCAGCAAGACTCTGGGAGGAGTGCGTATAATAATCCTCTCTCCACCCCTTGGCCCAGGTCGTTTTATTCACAAAAGAACTTTTTACACAGTGTTCGTAAGAACCAATCAGATTCCCTCTGAGCATTAAAAAAAAACCCACGTGGGACAAAGTCAGATCAGAAGAAATTCTTTTAACTGCAAAGACTACTCTGAGCACGCATGCATATCTGAGAGTAAATAAAACAGGACTAGAGGAATGCATTTAGGTCATAAACAGGCAGGAAAGGAAGGAAGTATGGCAAGGAAAGAGGATTTACCATCTCCTTGTGAAATCTTTTCCTGGCCCTTAAGATCTACCTAAAAATTAAACTACATCAAAGCTAACTATTATCTTTATGACCCAGGATGCCTGATGAAGCAACTGGCCTGTGTATTTAGAATGCTTATACATGCCTGTCAGGTGTAGAGAAATAGGACATAGATGCAGAGGCATGGATTGATCAGAAATCATATCAAAATGGCTCAAACCCAGTCAACGCAACGCTTTCCTCGCGGACACAAATGGCTTGCTCCATATTTTTATAATTCCTCATAGGCAATCCCACCTGATCACTACCCAGCTGATAAGATATTTTGGCTCAGACGTGCATTCAATTTCCACTTGTTTAGGTTGAATTGAATTGGCCATTTTACCGCCCATTGTTTCAGGGCTTGCCTTCCTGGCGTGGGGGCCAGTTTCTGCTAAGCGTTGGGAGGGAAGGAAAGCAGGGGGAAAGAGCTGCGAGGAGAGAAAACCCCTTTACATTAAGTCCAAATGCTACTTAGGTCTCTGTGATTGTTGCATGGCCTCTCTGCCTCATCCACAACTTTGAATCCAGCGAAATACAGTGGTACCTCGCAAGACGAATGCCTCGCAAGACAAAAAACTCGCTAGACGAAAGGGTTTTTTGTTTTTTGAGCTGCTTTACAAGACAATTTTTCCCTATGGGGCTTGCTTCGCAAGACAGAAACGTCTTGCAAGCTTGTTTCCTTTTTCTTAACACCGTTAATACAGTTGCGACTTGACTTCGAGGAGCAACTCATAGAACGCAGTGTGGTAGCCTTTTTTGAGGTTTTTAAAGACTTTGGTGATTTTTGAAGCTTTTCCAAAACTTTCCGACACCTTGTTTCGCAAGACGAAAAAAATTGCAAGACAACAAAACTCGCGAAATGAATTAATTTCGTCTTGCGAGGCACCACTGTAGCCCAATATTTGGGAGGCTCAGGACAATGTGTGGGGCAGGGGGTGGGCAGTGCTTTGGGCACCAGGCAGGGCAACACTTCGACAATCTGCAGCCTTCTTCTGAGACTGTCCTTGGTGACTGGAATTCTGAAAAAGACTCGTTTCCTCTTCATTCCCAGATGCTGTGTGCTGAGAACCTAGCACAGACAAGGAAATCCATCACTCCAGCAAAGGGAAGGATGTTCCGTCTACATGCTGATCAGAAGAAGAGTGGCCCCTTTTATAGACAGCATTTGCAATACAGTGGTACCTTGGTTCTCAAACTTGATCCGTTCCGCAAGTCCGTTCCAAAACCAAAAGCGTTCCAAAACCAAGGCACGCTTTCCCATAGAAAGTAATGCAAAATGGATTAATCCGTTCCAGACTTTTAAAAACAACCCCTAAAACAGCAATTCAACATGGATTTTACTATCTAACGAGACCATTGATCCATAAAATGAAAGCAATAAACAATGTACTGCAGTCACACAATCAATCAATCAATCAATCAGTAGCTGAACTGGGTTCCACACAGTCACAAAAAGAAAAAAGAGCCGCAATAACAAAAAAGCAAAATAAATAGCAAAAAACAGACAGAATTCAGCGTAACACTCAAAAGGAAGGGTGGCACTCAAATCGGAAGCGTAACACTCAAAACGGAGAACGTTCGGCTTCCGAAAAAGGTTTGCAAACTGGAACACTTCCTTCCGGGTTTGCAGTGTTTGGGTTCCATGTTGTTTGAGTACCAAGGCGTTTGAGAACCATGGTACCACTGTATCTGTTTATTTGACATCACCATGGAAATCATCGCCTCCCAACAATTCAATATGGCTTCGATTTGTTTTAAGCTGATATGTTTTTAAGTTGCTTATTTCTGCCTTGCAGCAAGGTGATTGTGACTGTTTAATTTTCTTTAAAGGAAACGGTTCAGAGGACACATGTTGCAACTTTTGAAAAGTTCGACAAGGCTAAGTTAAAGCTTTGCAACTGTCTAACACTACTTTCTGCTTGTTTTATCGTTCTCAAGACAAAGATGTAGCACATAGTGTAACCAGCCGTAAGAAAAAGTACGGTGGAAAATTCATTGTTTGGCAATAATGATTAAAACATGCATTTATCTTGAACATTCTGTTTCAGCAAATGCACACCCATGACTGCTTTCCGTCTAGATAATAGGGTTTAGTCACAGATGGGGCATAAACTTGGTTGGTTTTTGCTGCAAAAGAATAACAGGAAATTCTGGAAATTCACTAACTCGGAAAGGGAACACACCAGGAGGATAACTTACATGGAAATATATGTTGCTGGCTGAGATGTGCATGTACACTGTGTTCAAAGAGATTTTTTTAAAAAATTACATATATTTTCACACCAGCGGACAACAGAAGAAAAGCTTGTGCAAAATAACAACAACAATTTATTTATACCCTGTCCTTCCCTGTTTAGAAACCGGGCTCAGGGCAGCTAACAACAGATTTTAAACACTTAATTGATGCAACAAAAACCAGCATAATATACAGTATAAAACGTGAATAATAAATTCAGAATTCAAAAATCAATTTAGGGGGAAATCCATCCAATAAACATTAGATGAAATAAAATATTAAAAAGAAGATAGAATTAATATTAAGACAGTGTGACACAGTGGTTAAGAGTGTCAGACTAGGACAGGATTCGAATCCCCACTTGGTGATCACCAGGGCTAGCTGGCTAAATTAGTCCTATTTGGGCCAGTGAGGAGACCAGGGGAGAATTAGCTGTGGGATCCCAGAGCGGGTAGTCCAAGCGGGAGATAACTAGAGCATGCACCACTCTGGTGAGACAGTCTGCGGGCAGGGAGAGTCTCATCCTGCGTTCCAGATGGAGCTGATAAACAGCTGCCCTGGACACAGAACTGACCTGAGCCTCCATGGACAGCTGGGAGTCCAAAATGACTCCCAGGCTGGGCACCTGGTCCTATGATTCAAGACACTATTCAGAAGTGGTGCCTGTTCTGTTCCAAGGCTTCTTCATCCAACTGAGTCCAAAAATCACCCAAGATCTGCACAACCCATGAAGTTATGGAGAAATCAGCTGGGTCATTTTAAGGTCAAAGGGCCTTTGAAGGCATGAACACCCTTCCCTTAGATCAGGGGGTGACTAACTGTGACACTCCAAATTAATAATAATAATAATAATAATAATAATAATAATAATAATAATAATTTATTTATACCCCACCCATCTGGCTGGGTTTCCCCAGTGATGCTGAACTACAACTCCCATCATTCCTGGCTGTTGGTGCTGCTGGCTGATCCTCCATCTCTAGAGGGTGGTGGACTCTTCTTCCTTGGAGGTTTTCAAGCAGAGGTTGGACGGCCATCTGTCATGGATGCTCTAGTTGAGATTCCTGCATTTCAGGGGGTTAGACTAGATGACCCTCGGGGTCCCTGACTGCTCTGCGATTCTACGATTCCCAGGCCTTAGGTTCTTCAGAAGCTCAACGTCACTGAAAAGCTGAAAGGCAATTTCTTCGCACGCCGCCGCCGCCCCGCATTCAAACAGGCACCCAAACATCACCGGCTTGCCCTCCTCCTGGCACACGGCCAGGTCCGAATACCCGCTGGGCCCTTTGTTCAGCACCCAAGGGGCTGCCCAGCACCCCTTCTCCAACGGAGAGGGGTTCAGGTAGATGCCCAAATCCGAACGCTTGTGACTGTTTGTGGGGTGGGAGAAGACCAGCCATGACTTGGCGCTCCTCCGCTCTGAGGAGGGATTGACACCCAGCAGAGACGCCGATTCGCCTGCGCCTTCCTCTAGGCCCAGATCCGAGGCTTTCGGCGCCGGGGCGAAACTCACCACACTGCCCTGGCACCCGTGAGGCGGCTCAGGCAGCTGCTTGCAAAGAAAGGACTTATGGAAATGGCCTCCGTTATCGGCGCTGAAGGCCTCAGCGCGGCAGCGGCTCCAGCCCGAATGCCGGGCGTTGATGTACAACAAGCGGCTTCCGTCCTGGCGGTTGATCTCAGCCAGCTGGCACTCGGTGGCTCGCAAGTCCTCGAGGAGCCGGCCCCGTGCCCAGCTGCGCCCTCCGTCGTCGCTGAGCAAAGCGAAGCAATGGGGAGCCGCGCAGCAGAGCGGGCAGAAGCAAAAGCAACGTTTGCGGGTGCGGTAGGCGTACGCCGGGACCACCAGGCGCCCGGAGCCGAGCTGCATGCCGTGGCCCGGCCCGACGGCAAAGGTGGCCCACTTCCTCCGCTCGCCTCCAAACATCTGCCTGGTTAAGTCCACCGCCTGGCTCCAGGTGCGGCCGCCATCTTGGCTGGAGACGTAGCAGAGCTTGGCGGCGTTCCTCCCCGTCGCGATCTGCCGCCGGGCCGTGACGTGGTCCAGAACGCAGATGAAGAACAGGAAAGTGGTTCTGCTCTTCTCCTCGTGCACCGGGCAGGGGTTCATGGTGCGGTATTTGGGGAGCGTGGCCATCGGCAGGGGCTCCTGAGGACCCCACTGGAGAGAAACAGAGAAGAGACAAAAGGGTTTGCTAGGGGGGTGATGTCTCTGCACACTTCACATCCGTCCTGGAATCGTCATCATTAATTAAATCTGCATACTTTCCCTCGTCTGCAGGTCTCAGGGCAGATCACAACATGTAAGTTAGTGGATTAAAATGTATAAAAGTTAAAGGGACACCTGACTGTTAGGTCCAGTCGCGGACGACTCTGGGGTTGTGGCGCTCATCTCGCTTTACTGGCCGAGGGAGCCGGCGTACAGCTTCCGGGTCATGTGGCCAGCAGGACTAAGCCGCTTCTGGCGAACCAGAGGAGTGCACGGAAACTCCCAAATGAAATCAGAAAACACAGAGTTTTCACCTCTGGTCTTACCTGGACGGACATTCGTTCCTTCCCCCCTCGCCTCATCACCAGCTACCAGGCCCTGCCCACTCTTAAAGGAGATGGGGGAGTTGCTGCAGAGAGCATTTCCCCCCCCCATTATACATAGTGCGCAGAGCACCTCCCCGCCTTCATTGAACAGCTTACCTGAGCTGCCTGCCACCCTAGAGTTGGTGTGGCTGCATATTGGCAGACCCATGAACTGCTGCGTGACGACAGCCTTACATTTATTGTATATAGTAAGAAAGTAAAGAAACGTGCAATGAAGAATAGCAGCGTTACGCTTTCTGCTCCTGGCCTTACCTGAACGGACGTTCCTTCCTTCCGCCCTCGCCTCATCACCAGGAACTTAGCATCTTCGTCTCGGGGGGATGAGCGCTCTTCTGCAAACGCCAGGAAGGTGGACTCGGAGGGCAGGTAAAGCAGCGCCGGGATGCGGTAGGTGAGGCCCCCTCGTTTTTTCTGGCTGAAAAGAGTCACCTTCCCAGAGCCAGCCTGAGCCTCGGCCATGTTTTCTGGGCATGCAGAAATATTTGGGGAGGTGGGAGGAGGGAAAGACAGAGATGAAGTATCCAATTAGTTTGTTGCATCACCTGAAAGGTCTCTGTCTCCCTTTATAAACCTGCCCAGATGCCAAGATCTTCATACCACCAGCCCATGTTCCTCACCAGGGGGAACTAAAAGCTAAGTCCCACCCAAAATCCACTGTTTTCCTTGATTCCCATAAGTATACAAATCCTGGATTTGCACCCTGTAAGGTAAATTTTGCCTCTGGGACTCAGACCTGGAGAAATTTCACACCTCTGGCCAGCACCAGTCCGGGTTGCAAATTTGCCTGCCGACATGTACTGAGCAACCAGTAGCTAACTGGCAACCTGGGAAGAAAACAGGCGAAACAGACCTCCCCCCACCACAATAACGTCCAGTTTACAAAAGCTTTGAAGCTTGGTCACCTGCAAAAGATTCCTGCTCGCCAAAGGTGACCAGTAGGCTAGTTATCGCCAGAAATAATAATAATAATAATAATAATAATAATAATAGTAAATTTTATTTATACCCCACCCTCCCCGGCCAGAGCCAGGCTCAGGGCGGTTAACAACAGTAAAATTACAGTAAAAACATAATAGAGGGGCGGGACCAATTTAAAATACAGGTTAAAATGCATTTTAAAATGCAGCCTCATCAAAACCATAAGGGGAGGGAAACATAAGGGTCAGACTGAGTCCAAACCAAAGGCCAGGCGGAACAGCTCTGTCTTGCAGGCCCGGCGGAAAGATGTCAAGTCCCGCAGGGCCCTGGTCTCTTGCGACAGAGCGTTCCACCAAGTCGGGGCCAGTACTGAAAAGGCCCTGGCCCTTGTTGAGACCAATCTAACCTCCTTGTGACCTGGGACCTCCAAAATGTTGCCATTTGTGGACCTTAAGGTCCTCCGAGGGGCATACCAGGAGAGGTGGTCCCGTAGGTACGTGGGTCCTAGACCACACAGGGCTTTAAAGGTCAAAACCAGCACCTTAAACCTGACCCTGTAGTGATCTATAGGAAGCCCTCTTTAGCCAAACTGCAAGCCTTACATGCATAAGCTGCTTTATAGAGTCTCAGACTATTGCTCCGCCTAAGCTCAATACTGTCAACACGGACTGGCAGCAGCAGGAATCACAGTTAAAGAATTCCTGACAGGGGGCCATTCAACCAGCAATGTTTCATCTTTAAACCCTCTCTCTCTCACACACACACCGACTCTGCCTCTCAGAATATTTGCACAGGACTCACAGTACAGTATAGTCCTCAGGGTGGAAAGAATAAATCCTGAATAGAATTAGCTGCGCCTCTTAAAAAGTAACCAGTATAAAGTAAGCAGCACATAAGTGGCACACAAAACGCTCAAAAACCATTCTACGTTCTAAATCTTATATTAATAATCCAAAAACTGAGAGAGCTATGTACAAGATCTACTACAGTAGCCACAAACAGAAAACTCATTCAAATTGTGTCCAGAAGGAAGATACAGTCTTTAAATGTTCCTTTAGCCAGGCTCCTGTAGATATCAACAAAGGATAAGTTGGATCAAATGAAGTGTCGGTGGTGTTGCGCACAAGAGTTAGACAGGGTGCCGGCATTTGTCACCTGTTTCGCCCCTGAAGAGTCTTAAAAAGTAAGAGCTTTTGTTTGTGTGGGTCGGGATTCACAGAATGCTGTGTGAGATAGTAAGTCTGCAGGCTTGAGTTTGCTAGCTAGCGGATGGAGCTGGCTGGTGCAGCACTTTCTATGGAAGTGCTGAGTCAGAAAGACTCAGCAGTAATATGCTGTCAGTTGATTGGCTGTCATCAGTTTAAAAGGGAACCTGGTGTGGAAGAGTGTGGAGAGAGAGAGAGATAAAGAAAGAAAGAAAGAAAGAAAGAGAGGGAGGGAGAAAGGGAGGGAGGGAGGGAGGGAGGGGTCTTCCTGTTTGCCTTAAGGTGTAGCCAGGCATTCTGTTTGACTGTATGAAATGCTCGTGTATTATAGCCGGTAGAATATTGTATATACAGTCATACCTCGGGTTACAGATAGTTCAGGTTGGGTTTTTTCGGGTTACGGACCGCTGAAAGCCGGAAGTACTGGAAAGGATTACTTCCAGGTTTTGGCGGTCAGGCATGCGCAGAAGTGCTAAATCGCATTTCGCGCATGCACAGAAGCACCGAATCGCAACCCGCACGTGCACAGACGTGGGTTGCGAACGCTGCAGGTTGCGAACATGCATCCCGCATGGATCACGTTCGCAACCTGAACATCCACTGTATTTGTGTGTGTGTGTGTATATATATATATATAGCTCACAATAAATATACTGCACTGCACCGAAGAACCTGGAACTCTGATCATTTCTGCTAAAGCACAGCGGAGAATTCGCGACAGTGTGTGTGTGTGTGTGTGTGTGTGTGTGTGTTGGGGCAGGATCAGTACCTTGGTACTGGGGAATGACTTTTTAATTTTCTACTGGGTTGCCACATTTCAAAGTAAAAACCAGAAAAACCTGAAAGTTGTTGAGCTTTCTTTTAGACAAAAGCCTGAAGTTTGACATATGGCACTCCTACTTCCCCAGTTAAAATGGCATCCCTGATCATTATTTCCACGGTAAGGAACATTTCCAGGAATCAAACCCTTGCAAGGTTTCTCCCAGGAGACAAAACAGCAAGTTTGGGCAATGCTTTATCCAAGTTGCAAGCTCACCAGCTGCTATTATTATTATTATTATTATTATTATTATTATTATTATTATTATTATTATTATTATCATCATCATTTAAGATGTGGGGAGATCCTTGTCCTAAATCTCTACCGCTTTGGCTCTAGGTAGAAGCCGTCTCTTCTGTTTAAAGGACTGGGTTTCCCCGGCCCCCCCGTCACTGGCAGAAACGTTTTGAAAACAGAAACTCGGTTGCTGAAATCCTCAAGCGCTTTCTCCGAATTAAGCCCCTTTCTCCGAAAAGCGGCGAGAGAAATGCCTTTTTCCTTTTAAAAAAAAAGGCATTGCAAATTTTGCAGCGTTCCTAATTGCATCACATCCTTTTTTTTGCAGGAAACGGGGGGGGGGAGAGGACAAAAACACGACTCTCTTTGGATTTCCCAGCACTCATCCTTCCCTCCTCTCCCCCCCCCAAAAAAAAATCCAGATGCGAGAAGGTCTCTTCCAGGGGACTGAAATCGATCTTCCTCCCTGGGCAAACTTCTGCAAAAATAAGTGGGGCTGCGGGAGACGCTTCCATCTAGGGCGGGGAGGGGTTTATATCCCCACCCCCATAAAAGAGATATATTCCCTAGTTTATATTTTACCCCTTTAAATGCATCACACTGGCCGCTCCCATCCTTTCATGGAGCGTCCCCTATTTTTTTTGCGGGGGGGAGGATAATTATGGGTTTTCTCTCCCTGGGATTTTCCTGCAACGTCCTTGCTGCATCACTCACCGTGCAAAGGCTTCCCAGCAGCGCAGGTGAAAGGGATACAAGCGGCGGCGCCGGGAGAGGATCGATGCGCAGGATCAGCTCCCTGGATAGGGCGCAAGGCGAGATCAGGATTTCCTCCTCCGAAGCAAAGCACCGCCCCTCCCATAGCCACGCCCACTGAGCATCACTCAGCATCCCAGAGCGCAGACCCGTGGGAAGGTTTGCCCGTGTGAAACGCTCGCGGGCCTTTGCTACCTTTGCCACTTCCACCCCCCTCCCGTTGACAATAGCCTAACATTACTTTATCTCCTGCTCAGTTTATGTACATCAAGCTGTTATCAAAGGCACTGTTGTTGTTTTTTAGAGAGATAATACTAGGCAGAAGTAGGGGCGCGGGTGGCGCTGTGGGTTAAAGCCTCAGCACCTAGGGCTTGCTGATCGAAAGGTCGGCGGTTCGAATCCCCGCGGCGGGGTGCGCTCCCGTTGCTCGGTCCCAGCGCCTGCCAACCTAGCAGTTCAAAAGCACCCCCGGGTGCAAGTAGATAAATAGGGACCGCTTACTGGCGGGAAGGTAAACGGTGTTTCCGTGTGCTGCGCTGGCTCGCCAGATGCAGCTTGTCACGCTGGCCACGTGACCCGGAAGTGTCTCCGGACAGCGCTGGCCCCCGGCCTCTTGAGTGAGATGGGCGCACAACCCTAGAGTCTGTCAAGACTGGCCCGTACGGGCAGGGGTACCTTTACCTTTACTAGGCAGAAGTAACGCTTCCAAGGATTATTTGATGCTCATGAATCAAAAGAATAAACAGATTTGTTGCTCCAAACAAACCTATGCAGAAGCAAAGAGTATACTGTACAATGGTACCTCGGGTTACATACACTTCAGGTTACAGACTCTGCTAACCCAGAAATGGTACCTCGGGTTTGCTTCAGGATGAGAACAGAAATCGTGCTCCGGCGGCGTGGCGGCAGCAGGAGGCCCCATTAGCTAAAGTGGTGCTTCAGGTTAAGAACAGTTTCAGGTTAAGAACAGACCTCCGGAACAAATTAAGTACTTAACCCGAGGTACCACTGTATATGACATTTTAAAAAATTATTCTTACCATGATAGGCGGCAAAGGAACCGACCATTTTGCTTCATCCAAATGTGCTCCTTCAACTCGCATGGTCTTTTCTCTTCCCAAATAAGTAGAAGGATTTCTTTTAACCACGACAATATTTATGCTGTCCTCGTGTTCCATGCCTGCGCTGGCGCTGCACATAGCTTTTCCTTCTGGGATCTTGCTCAATCTTGTTTCTTATTTCTTTATTTTTTTCCATTTAAAAAGGAACAAATAAACCCACCCACACAAACTATTATGTAGCTCAGAATCAGGGCCAGATTTAGGTTTGATGAGGCCCTAAGCTACTGAAGGTAATGGGGCTCTTTCTATGTCCAGCTGTCCTTTGTCAACAACAAATTGTAGCTGTTTTTTGGTGTTGAATATATGCTATATGGTAATTTATTGACCTCATAGGTATCTCAAGCCATTTGCACATGGAGAATGCAGGCACCTTATATACAGAAAGGAGCAAACCAGTGATGTTTTAGGGAGCAGGCTAGCAGGCGGGGCCCATGACTTACATCACAGGAGCCTACACAACACAAAACACTGTTGCTGCACGTAGGTTTTATTTTATTTGTTTTTTATCTTATATTTTGGAAATGTACATCCAGTTGTTGTTTTTCCTTTATTGGGGGGGGGGCAAGAGAGTGGGCAGCCCTAAGCTATAGCTTGTTTAGCTTATATGTAAATCCGGCACTGCTCAGAATGCAAGCATCCTTTGTGTGTTAACAGCTGCACTCATATATTATGAGCTGGCAGCTTATAATATACAGGGTTATGCTGGAAATGCTGGGGTGTGATTCTGCTTGTCTGAAGGCTTATGGGTTTTGCGGGGGGGGGGGGAGAAAAGCAGGTAAGGAGGGGGACCATCAGGTTTCCTAGGCTGCCATCTGATCTAGCTTGTGCTGACTTTCCTTCTGATGCCCTTAGACAGGGGTCAGCAAACGTTTTCAGCAGGGGGCTGGTCCACTGTCCCTCAGACCTTGTGGGGGGCCGGACTATAATTTTTTTGGGGGGTGGATGAACGAATTCCTATGCCCCACAAATAACCCAGAGATGCATTTTAAATAAAAGGACACATTCTACTCAGGTAAAAACATGCTGTTTCCTGGATCGTCTGCGGGCCGGATTTAGGGTTGTAAAGACTGCGGAGAGAATAATTGGGTGCACTCTTCCCACCTTGGATCAAATCTACGCTTCCAGGTGCCATAAGAAAGCGGCAGAGACAGCGCAGGATAGTGTGCACCCCGGAAATGATCTCTTCCAGCTTCTGCCTTCTGGAAGAAGGTACAGGGTTATAAAGACTAGGACTAGCCGCCTGAGAAACAGTTTCTATTCAAATGCAATTTTGGTTTTAAACACAGTGTAAGAAGAGGAGGAGTTTGGATTTGATATCCCGCTTTATCACTACCCGAAGGAGTCTCAAAGCGGCTCACATTCTCCTTTCCCTTCCTCCCCCACAACAAACACTCTGTGGGGTGAGTGAGGCTGAGAGACTTCAGGGAAGTGTGACTAGCTGCATGTGGAGGAACGGGGATGCGAACCCGGTTCACCAGATTACGAGTCTACCGTTCTTAACCACTACACCACACTGGCTCTCAGTGTGGTAGTCTTTATGTGAGCATATTATATTCAATTATGGGGTATCAGAGTTTTTAGGGGCTAACCAGGCTGGGATAGCAGGCTTGTTGGTTTTTGAATGTCTGATGTAGATTTTTTTCAATTTCGTTGTTTTGTATGGGACAATGACAATAAAGATTATCGTATTGTATTATCATATCGTATCATAGAAGGCAATTGGGCCAGATCCAGCCCCCGGGGCCTTAGTTTGCCTACCCCTGCTCTTAGACTTTCTGAACTCATTCTCTGTTACTTCTTCATCCTTTGAGAGAGCAGAGATCTTTGTATCTCTCACCTGCTGAGAACAAAAAGCAGGCATCAATCTTTGTGTCTCCACCTTCATTAGTTTGAACATGGCTCATTCCTATAATAAAGCATGCAATACCTTTATCAAACTAGGCATACTTTCCTTCCCTGAACTGAGAGATTCAGGGTTCATTCACACTTCCAGTTGCCCCACGATTTTTAGGCAGAGTTCCGAGAGCTTTTCATTTTGTTCCATCTCTTTCCCTGGGAAAACCTGCCGATGTCTGTGTTTGTTCCAATTCAGCAGTAAACATCAGGTTACATATACTTTTCTGACTTTTTGCAATGCAGTTATTCTCTATTTCTTGTTTGTATATGTATGTGGATCACTGCAGATGGTGACAGCAGCCACGAAATTAAAAGACGCCTGCTTCTTGGGAGAAGGGCAATGACAGGCCTAGACAGCATCTTGAGAAGTAGAGACGTCACCTTGTCAACAAAGGTCCGTATAGTTAAAGCCATGGTTTTCCCAGTAGTGATGTATGGAAGTGAGAGCTGGACCATAAAGAAGGCTGATCGCCGAAGAATTGATGCTTTTGAATTATGGTGCTGGAGAAGACTCTTGAGAGTCCCATGGACTGCAAGAAGATCAAACTGATCCATTCTTAAGGAAATCAGCCCTGAGTGCTCACTGGAAGGACAGATCGTGAAGCTGAGGCTCCAGTACTTTGGCCACCTCATGAGAAGAGAAGACTCCCTGGAGAAGACCCTGATGTTGGGGAAGATGGAGGGCACAAGGAGAAGGGGGCGACAGAGGACGAGATGGTTAGATAGTGTTTTCGAGGTTACCAGCATGAGTTTGACCAAACTGCGGGAAGTAGTGGAGGACAGAGGTGCCTGGCGTGCTCTGGTCCATGGGGTCACGAAGAGTCGGACACGACTAAACGACTAAACAACAACAACAACAACAATTATGTATGTGTGTGTAAGTCTATTTTAGCATAAAATATATTTAAAAGTACATGTTTTAATGCACATTGAGATAAGCCTTTTTGTTATGTAATGAAGTTCTCACCCTGGGCCAGCAGGGGGATACTGGAGATAATTTTCACTCAGGTCCACATATGCAAATAAGGAATTGAAAGTGATGTTCAGTGATTGGATAGTGACAGAAAATAGTTACAGTTGCGTTGTAGTGGAGCTCTATATAAGCAGGCTGGCTGAAGCCTTCAGTTCAGTTCTGTTCTGGCCTGTGAATAAACAAGAGCTGTTTGAAGAATCGCTGTGTCGTCTGATATGTCCACCCACAACTTAACACTTTTCATAAAGATTTATTTTTTTAAAAAAAAACTGCACATCAGTACAGAAACAGAATTGAACTCTTGGATAAACATATAAGGCAAAATGGATGGAAATCAGAAGGCAGCTGATCTGCCCATCGCTTCACGTAATAAATAATAATAATAATAATAATAATAATAATAATAATAATAATAATAATAATAATTTATTTATACCCCGCCCTCCCCAGCCAAGACCGGGCTCAGGGCGGCTAACACCAGGTATAAAACAATTGATTAAAATACAGCTGAAAAACAAGATTAAAATACAACATTAAAATGCAGCCTCATTTCAGTAGAAACTCAAATCAAAAACTTTTTGGGGATGAAAACGTCCAATCTTCACCAAGGCCAACTATCCAGACTGGTCCTACGTGGGCCAAAGAAAGAGGTTTAGTACAGGCTATCTCCCCTGATGTGCTAGATTTCCAGATACGGGAAGTAGTGGTGTTGTTTTTTAAGGAGATGAACTGCAACAGGAAGCGGTAGAGATCTGAGGTGGAGCATGGGCAGAGCAGTTATCCGAAGTTATCGCCAGCACGTGTGCCAGGACTTCATACAGTGCAACGTGAAGGCAGAGGCAGGAACAGCATGCAATACAACATGTTGCTACACTAAGCAGAATTGGGTAGGATCACGCTATCCCCCATTCTGCACCAAGGCCACAAACAAGAGGGACAGAACTCACAAGCCACAAGCCTTTCGCCCACACGGCACCAGCTAACCTGTAGGCTGGCACACGTGATATGTAACTTTAAGAACTGGTGCTAGAGTTTGCTCTTTTTCACTCCTCCTCCACTCCCGTCCTCTTTTCCTTGTGTGTCGTGCCTTTCAGAATGCAAGCCTGAAGACGGGATCTGTGTTAACTACAGATCTCCGTAAGCCACTCTGGGGGTCCAGACCATGAAGAGAATTATCAGTTAATGGTAATTAAGAGTAATAGAGAAATTAAGAAATGTGGAATAAGTGATAAAGAACGGAAAATCGTCAGAGGTGGTTAGACGGACGTCTAAAATATTGTATAAGATAAGAAGTTATGTTAAATGAATGTTGGAAATGATATGTAAAAACCCCCAATAAAAATGTATATATATATAAAAAATACTGTAGGTAAGTAAATGTAAATGTCAGTAAAATGATGGTGGTGGTAATAATAATAAAATAATAATAATAATAATAATAATAATACAGTGGTACCTCAGAAGTTGAACGGAATCTGTTCCGGAAGTCCAGTTGACTTCCAAAACATTCGGAAACCAAGGCGTAGTTTCTGATTGGCTGCAAGAAGCTCCTACATCCAATCGGAAGCCATGTCAGACATTCGGGTTCCAAAGAACGTCCGCAAACCGGAACACTCACTTCCGGGTTTACGGCGTTCGGAAGCCAAAACGTTCGACTCGCAAGGCGTTCGAGATCCAAAGTGCAACCGTGATGATGATGATGATGATGATAATAATAATAATAATAATAATAATAATAATAATAATAATAATAATATTTCCTGTTTTCTAGCACTGTTTAGCAAGACAAATCAGAAAGCCATGAAAGGCCACCATCTCGTTGCCACAGGAAAATGAACCTCTGGGCCCAAACTGAGCGACACCTTGCAGGAGTCAGGGAACAGGATATTCAAATAACCAAAAAACACACATCTGGGAATGAGAGAGACTTATTTCAAATGCAGCTCCTTTCTTTAGAAGGCACGGAAATTTGTGTGTGAGACAGAGAGCTGTTGTGGACATTTTATGCATCCTTCCTAATAGGCTCAAGACATCTCTATTTTGCGCAGTCGTGCTGGCTGTAATTTTGGTTCGTTTTGCAATGAGGCAACCACCCTCATTCATCGTCTCCCTGAACTACAGACCATAGCTGTCAACTTACAGATTTGAAAATAAGGGACCAGCAGCCTTGAAAATAAGGGACCAGCAGCCTTGAAAATAAGGGACCTGCAGCCTCACCTGTTCCAGGCACTCCAGTCTTCCTGTCCTCCTGCAGTCTGGTCAAACTCATGCTGGTAGCTTCGAGAACACTGTCCAACCAACTTTGTAACCAGAGGTTCAACTGAATCGAATCTGAATCACATGCACCACAAGGCCTACGCAGCCTCAACTTAAAATGGCTCCCCAGCCTGGCTTTGCACTGCAAAGTTTGCAGCTGCACGTGCAAAAAAATGGCGTCCAGCATTCAAAACCCCCCTCAGCTTGCATTAACTAGCCACACACAAGGCATGCAAGCTCCACCCCCCAGTCATTCTTAGACTTCTTATTGGGTGAGTAACACAGCCAAGCAACACAGTTGGAGCCTCCCTCCTCCCTGGCCGGCAGGGAGGGAGGGAGAGGAGCTGCTTCCTTTGAAATTTAAGGGACATCATTTAAGGGACATTTAAGGGACATCCATCAATAAGGGACAGCAGCGGGACATGGCGCTGGAATAAGGGACTGTCCCTTCAAATAAGGGACACTTGACAGCTATGCTACAGACTTGGGCTCCATTCTTTAGACATCCTCCCAATTTCTTCACTTTCTGCATCCTTCTTGGGCAGAAGTGAGGGGAAGTCCATAAACTCAGGGTTTCAGCGTAGTTGGGGAGAAGCACATGGTGCCCCCACCGCAAAGCTAACAGAAGATGCTGAAAGTCCTGGCTTTGTCATTTGCTGTGAACCCAGAAGTCCCTTCTCTATAATAAATAATAATAATAATTTTTTATTTATACCCCGCCCTTCCCGGTTCAGAAAACCGGGCTCAGGGCGGCTAACAACAAATTTAAAACACTTAATTGATGCAACAACAAAAAAACAGCATAAAATACAGTATAAAATGTGAATAACAATAAATTCAGAATTCAAAAATCAATTCAGGGGGGAAATCCATCCAATAAACATTAGATGATCCCCAGGGCTAGCTGGCTAAATTAGTCCTATTTGGGCGAGCAAGGAGACCAGGGGAGAATTAGCTGTGGGATCCCAGAGTGGGGAATCTTCATAAAAGGGGAAGGGGAGGGAAGAGAAGGGAAATAAAAGATCAGGCTGAATTCAGATTAAAGGCCAGGCGGAATAGCTCTGTCTTACAGGCCCAACGGAAGGAGGTTAAATCCTGCAGGGCCCTGGTCTCCTGGGGCAGAGCATTCCACCAGGTCGGAGCCATCACTGAGAAGGCCCTGGCCCTGGTAGAGGATAATCTGACTTCCTTAGGGCCCAGGACCTCTAAACTATGATCATTCATGGACCATAAGGTCTTCTGTGGGGCAGACCAGGAGAGACAGATAGATAGATAGATTTATTGCGGCCATTGGCCCATATCGAAAACAATACATCAAAATTTATCCATAAACAATACAATTTAAACAGTTCCAAGTTAAAACACCCATATAAAACCAATTTTACTTCAGTTAAGTAAACACTATACACAATAAGCTCCCTCTATGTAAACCGCAATTCAAATCCATCTGATTTTGGGGGGTATGCGTCTTAGTTCTGGCACTTATTGATGGTTCTTAAGTTTTGCTAAGCTGTCAGAATCAGGAGAGACAATGGGGTGACCTGCTCTAGATCTGTGTGTCTGGGCTTTTAACACCCCACAGAACCTAGAAGCTCAAGGGCTTATTATGGTGTGTGTGTTTTTTAAAAAAAAACCTGTAACATATACATTTCTGCATATCCAAGGAACCCCCCCACAAGCACATAGGAACAAGCACTGCCTTGCTTTTGGGGTGACTCTGATCTTTTCCAAAATTACAGACGTCCAAGTTTGATATTTTAGCAAATAATGGGAGTCCTGGTTAAAGATGGCCCTAGTATGAAATATGATGGTGTTCAGACTGTGGGGTCCTGCATCTGGAAACAAGGATGCGGGAGCTGGAGCCAGGATAACACCTATGGGAAATGTCACGGTGTGTGGGAGAGAAATCGCCAGCATCTAAGCTCGCATAGCCCTCAACTGTCCCATTTTAAGCGAGCGTCTTTTGCTCTTATGCTTTCGCGCAAGTGCTCAAGCAAAAAAATGAAGAGTGCCCATTCCGGTGTCAAAAATCCTGGAGCCCATCCGTTTTTGAACTTTAAAAAAGGTTCCTTCTTTCGTGTACAGAAGTAGAAGGCAGCAAAGGCGGCAATGAGCCGATTCTGAACAATGCAGTTCTGATTATATATCATTTTAGGCCCAGGGACATGGAAGGGCGAGACGTATCTTGTGACCAACAGGAGGCAGCCATCAGCGATGGTGAAAAAGAGAGTGCTGAGGTAAAAATGAAAGAAAGAAAACACAACAACCTTGAATTGTAGACTGCCCCTTTCGATTTATCAATATAATTACGCAGAAGATGCAGTACAGTGGTACCTTGGTTCTCAAACGCCTTGGTTCTCAATTGCCGAAAACCCGGAAGTAAGTGTTCCGGTTTTCAGGCATTTTTCGGAAGCCGAACATCTGATTCAGCTGTTGGCGATTGTTTCCAGGGCACCCACACCAATCAGAAGCTGCACCTTGGTTTTTGAACATTTTGAAAGTCAAACGAACTTCCAGGATGGATTAAGTTAGGCGCTTTTGTTTTTGCTATTTATTCTGCGTTTTTGTTTTTGAGGCTTTTTTGGACAATTTGATTCTGTGACTGCGTGAGACCCAGTTCAGCTACTGATTGATTGATTGATTGATTGTGTGACTGTGGAAATGGATAAAAGTCCCCCATCCAAACAATGACTATCATCAGTGCAGGTAAGAAAAAATAATAATTTTAGTTTTCATCATCTACAATACCATCTTATTTATTTTATAGTACAGTACATTGATTATTGCTTTCATTTTATGGATCAATGGTCTCATTAGATAGTAAAATTCAGGTTAGATTGCTGTTTAAGGGGTTGTTTTTAAAAGTCTGGAACGGATTAATCCCTTTTGCATTACTTTCTATGGGGAAGCATGCCTTGGTTTTGGAACGCTTTGGTTTTGGAACGGACTTCCGGAACAGATTAAGTTTGAGAACCAAGGTACCACTGTAATTCTTTTTTGTTTGGCTGCTTTCAAGGAGGCAGAAGCGAGGGCCTGTTTATCGTCACCCAAAAACGACGGTCGTTTTCCAAAGCCTAGACCGTATAATATAAAGGCAGAGACATAGGAGAGGCAAGGGAGAGCACCTGCATTTTCTGTCCTGGGGTGCTAAACGTCTGTGAGCACCTATGCTTCCGAGGGAGAAGAGGGAACACAGCAGCTTTCCCTCACGTTCCTCAGGAGCTCGACACCCGTGAACAGTTGGAAGGCGATCTCCTCACACTCGCAGGACACCCCACACTCAAACAGGCACCCAAACATCACCGACTCGCCCTCCTCGCACACGGCCAGGTCCGAATACCCGCTGGGCCCTTTGTTCAGGACCCACGGGGCCTTCCAGCACCCCTTCTCCAGCGGAGAGGTGTTGAGGTAGATCCCCAGATCCACACGCTTGTGCCTTTTTGTGGGGTGGGAGAAGATCAGCCACGACCGGGCGCCCTTGAGGGGGGCCGAGGAGGGATCGAGACCCGACGACTTGGCCCCTTCTTTCTTCCGGCCCAGATCCAACGGCTCCAGCTGCGGGGAGAAGCTCACCACGCTGCCCTGGCACCCGTGCGGAGACTCGCACAACTCCTCGCACAGGGAGGGGCTGACAAACTGGTGGCCGTTGTCGGTGCACAGCGCCCCGACCCGGTAGTTGTGGAGGCTGCGGGCGTTGCAGTAGAGGACCCGGCTGTCGTCCGGGCACGACAGCTCGGCCACCTGGCACTCGGAGGTCAGCAAGGCATCAAGGAGTGGGCTGCGCGACCAGCTCTGCCCGCCGTCATCGCTGTAGAAAGTGAGGCAGTGAGGTTTGATCCAGCACTCCAGAGGGTGCCCCAACAAGCGCTTGTGAATGTAGTAAGCGTACGCCGGGATCACCAGGCGGCCGGAGCTGAGCTGGATGCCGTGGCCCGGGCCGACAGCAAACGTGGCCCAATTGGTCAGCTCTCCGCCGATGACCGCCTCGGTCAGGTCGGTCGCCTGGCTCCAGGTGCGGCCGCCATCTTGGCTGGAGACGTAGCAGAGCCTGGCAGCGTTCCTCCCCGTGCTGATCTGGTGCCGTTCCGTGATGTACTTCTCCACACAGATGAAGAAGAGGAAAAGGGTGCCGCTCTTCCTCTCGAACACGGGGCAGGGGTTCATGGTGCGGTGGTTGGGCAGCACAGCTGTCTCCAGCGGTTCCTGAGGACCCCACTGAAATACAGAGCAGAGGATGAGTTAGAGCACAGGTAAAGTGACCCCTGACCATTAAGTCCAGTTGTGGCCGACTCTGGGATCTCGCTTTATTGGCCGAGGGAGCCGGCGTACAGCTTCCGGGTCATGTGGCCAGCAGGACTAAGCTGCTTCTGGCGAACCAGAGCAGTGCACGGAAATGCCGTTTACCTTCCCGCCAGAGCGGTACCTATTTATCTACTTGCACTTTGACGTGCCTTTCAACTGCTAAGTTGGCAGGAGCTGGGACCGAGCAATGGGAGCTCACCCCGTTGCGGGGATTCAAACTGCTGACCTTCTAATCGGCAAGTCCTAGGCTCTGTGGTTTAACCCACAGCGCCACCCGCGTCCCTTAGAGCATAGTCAAGCTTTTAATACCTACTGCCCACTAATGCATCTTTCTTGATGGTAAAATTTCCTTACCGCCCACCAGTGCTCGATGGAAGGAGTATTCGGCTTGTGCCGTAGAACCCCCTACCGCCCACCTAGAATCCTGAAACGCCCACTAGTGGGTGGTAGGGACTGTTAGAATTCCTGCTCCATGATTGCAGTCATGGGACTGTTGTCTTTCACATGACGGTATGTGTTTTGACTCCACAGAGTGGGAAGTGACGGAGACAGATATTTGTGTTACTGTGTTGCGTGAAGTGGGACTATTGTCCTTTGTTCTTTCTCTATCCGATGCTAGAGAGAGAGGGAGCCATGTTGCAGTGCTCTGTGTGTGTTAACAACAACAACAACAACAACAACAACAACAATATATTATTTATATCCCGCCCATCTGGCTGGGTTTCCCCAGCCACTCTGGGCGGCTTCCAACAAAACCCTAAAATACAATAACCTATTAAACATTAAAAGCTTCCCTAAACAGGGCTGCCTTCAGATGTCTTCTAAAAGCTTGGTAGTTGTTTTTCTCTTTGACATCTGGTGGGAGGGCGTTCCACAGGGCAGGCGCCACCACCGAGAAGGCCCTCTGCCTGGTTCCCTGTAGCTTGGCTTCTCACAGCGAGGGAACCGCCAGAAGGCCCTCAGCGCTGGACCTCAGTGTCCAGGGCAGAATGATGGAGGTGGAGACGCTCCTTCAGGTATACAGGTAAATAAAGTAGATTAGCCAAAATGCTGAGTTGCTGAGGTCTGTCATGTGCATGATGTGCAAACTCTGTGGGTCCCTAAGTGTGCCGGTGTCTGTTGGCATCGGTTGCTGTGATGTTCGGGTTGAAGAAAGCTTTCGAAGCTCCCGAACGATCAACCAGGAGGGAGAGAACATGCCAGTTGGGCATGTGTCTCTGCCAGGGTCCTACTCGAGTGTGGGCTGAACTCCTGACAGAGACCAGGTTGACAACCTCCAAGTTAGAGAGTAAACCCAGATATTTCCCTCTCTTCGCTGTGGTGCAGTGGTTAGAGTGTTAGACTAGGAACCAGGGAGGCCGGGGTTCAAATTCCCGCTCGGCCCAGGAGTGGACTTACCAAAATCACTAAAGAATCTATTTATGTATGCAACTACGGCTGCACGGACAGGATTAGCACAACATTGGAAAGAAGGTGTCCCAGCTAAAGATGATTGGCAAGTTAAATTAATGGAATATTCTGAAATGTTTAGGGAAGTTTTTAATATTTAACGCTGTATTGTTTTTAACACTTGATTGGGAGCCGCCCAGAGTGGCTGGGGAAACTCAGCCAGATGGGTGGGGTATAAATAAATTAATAATAATAATAATAATAATAATAATAATAATAATAATAATAATAATATATAAATGGCAAAACTGACAATGAAATTAAGAGGAAGAGACGGCAACAAATTCAAGGAAGAATGGAAAGTACATATTGTAAAAATACAGGAGCGTTGTACACAGGTTAATACATTAGCAGGGTTTTAAAAGTACTTGTAATTTTACAATGAATGGATAATAGGTGATTTAAATATGTTCCAAATTTAACAATGGACATCCTTGTCTGAGGATAATTGCACTTTTTGCTGAGGACACAAGTGGCACCCCAGCGCTCGAAAAAGGCTTTGTGGTTTTTAATTTGGGAGTCAAGCGCCGTTGGAGTGAGCACACCATCTATTTTCGGGTGGCTTTAAATAGAGGTTTAAATTCCACTCCCTTCTCGAACTCCCCACAGGCTGTGTGTTCAAAGAGGGCAGCTCTACCCAACAGGTCTCTCAACCTATTCCTATATACTGTACTTTCGGGGCCGTCTTACCCATAGGTGCTAGGGGTGCAGGGCACCCGGGCGCCGGGCTCTCAGGGGCACCAAGCCGAGAGTCTGGGGCCCGAGAGTTGAGTCTGGGGAAGAGCCCACCCGTCGGTGGAAGCGCCTGGGACTGGGCAACCTGGCGCCGCATATACTTAAGACAGCCCTGTGTACTTTTCCATCTATAAGACGCCCACATGTATAAGATGCCCCCTATTTGGGGGGACTCAAATTTTAGAAAATGGGGGAGATGGCACAGAGTTGTTGAGCTTTTTTGGGGAGGGATTTCCCCAAGGTTGTTGAGGGGGGATTGCATCACTAAATCCGCCTCCTGTCTGTCCCATCACTGGTGACCAGAATCTCCAGTGGCAGAGAGTTCCACAGGACTGGGACATTCAACACTAAAAGCTCGGTTTACTGCTGCTGTCAAATGAGCCTCCCCGACTCGGGGAATGATGAACAATGCTCCTGCAAATGATCCCAGTGATTGAGCTGAGATATCAGGGTTCTGGTGGTCCCTGTGGTATCCTAGACTGAAATTGTTCAGGGCTTTGTAAATTAATACAGTTGAAGAAAATGAAACTTTCCAGAAGGAAAGCATTTCGGTGGCTTGGATTTGGAGAGGACAGAGCTGAGAGGCCTTACCTGGATATTGTCTTTTAAAAAACAATCTCAAACTTGCTTCCTGGAAAGTTGATGCAGGATTAGCAAATTTGCCCTTTTTCTTGTAGGAGTGTCTGCTTGCTTCCGCTATCATATACCGGGACTCAAACCCCCAGTGTTACCAGGGCAAGTTCCCAGCAAGGCTTCAAGTTACTTATTGAGTCAGCGGCATAAATATACACAGACTGGAACAGCTGTCAGTCGCTCAGCCTGACTGGCAAGCTGTTAACCCTGTCTTTCCATTCCCTTTTTTAAAAATGTGGGCAGAAGGCATGTGGAACAGACTCTTCATAGACACATGTGGAAGAATCTATGTCATATATCTGTTGCTCATGAAGTCAGGAATCCAAACGACTTTAATCGGACAATTACTTGAATTACTTGGGTCCGATTGCTGCAGCCTCAAATCCAGTCAAATTTATCTGAATTTAGCTATTGTCTGAATTTCCTTGTATAGTCGTTACCTTGGAAGTCAAACGGAATCCGTTCCGGAAGTCCATTTGAATTCCAAAATGTTCGGAAACCAAAACGTGGCTTCCAATTGGCTGCAGGAAGGTCTTGCAGCCAATCGGAAGCCGTGCTGGACGGTCAGCTTCCAAAAATCGTTCGAAAACCGGAACACTCACTACTGCGTTTCATTCGTTTGGGAGCCAATTTGTTCGGAATCCAAGGTATGACTGTCTGTTTGTAAATTGTTATTAGCAAAGACTGTAGATTTTTTAAAAATCTAGTTCCATGTGTGCATATCATTATTATAAATACAGGGTTGTACACAATGGCATAATGTAATTTGGGACAAAGCATTTTCTGAAAAGAAAGCGAAATACAACAAAAGAGCCTTAAAGGCACTGTCAAGGCAAATCTATATATATAAAAAATGCAACATAAGCACAGAAATTGGGAAACACTGGCCTGCAACCACTACAATCGGAGAGCAGCTTTTACTAAAGGTGTCATTGGCTTTGAAGACGCTCGAACTCAGGACGCAAAGGAGAAACGTGCTAAGAGGAAGGCACGCTTGGCAAATCCACCCCGTGATCAACTCCCGCTCGGAAACCTATGTCCCCACTGTGGAAGGACGTGTGGATCCAAAATTGGCCTCCACAGCAGGGTTACCAGACATCCCGGTTTCCCGGGGACAGTCCCCGGATTTGTGAATAAGTCCCCGGACAAATTCCATCCCCGGAATGTCCCCGGGTTTCATCTAATGTCCCCGGGAAACGCAGCAGCGGCAGTCTCAGCAGCCCGGAGGAGTTGGCTCTGGCTGGCTTCAGGAGATGCTTGGAAATCCCCATGTGATGGTGGTGCAGGGGCTCTCAGATGCAGCTTCCGGGCTGCCTCCACCTTCCCTGACCCCAGCAACTAAGCTGGGAAGGGAGGCTTCACGCGCTGCCTATCAGAGCTTGTGTGCAAGCAGGAGGGGGCAGGGATCTCTCAGTTAGGCAACAGGAAGCCTCCCTTCCCAGCTGAGGGACTTGCTTCAGAGAGTATTTTCCCCATTATACACAGTGCGCAGAGCTTCATTAAATCCCCGCCTTCATTAAACAGCTTACCTGAGCTGCCTGCCACCCTGCTGTCACGCTGGAGTTGGCAGGCCCATGAACTGCTGCGTGACGACAGCCTTACATTTATTGTATATAGTAAGAAAGAAAATAATGTGCAATAAAAGAATAGCAGCGTTACGCTTTCTGCTCCTGGCCTTACCTGAACGGACGTTCCTTCCTTCCGCCCTCGCCTCATCACCAGGAACTTAGCATCTTCGTCCCGGGGGGATGAGCGCTCTTCTGCAAACGCCAGGAAGGTGGACTCGGAGGGCAGGTAAAGCAGCGCCGGGATGCGGTAGGTGAGGCCCCCTCGTTTTTTCTGGCTGAAAAGAGTCACCTTCCCAGAGCCAGCCTGCGCCTCGGCCATGTTTTCTGGGCATGCAAAAATATTCTAGGAGACGGGGAAAGAAGTGAGCTTGAGAGCCAGAACTTATTTAGTTACATTTCCTTTTAGTGCGCCTGCGCTTCTAGCAGAAGCAGAAGCACTCAGATCGGTTCGGCTGATTTGCTGACACAGCTTCCATCAATACATTTTGGTTACAAAGGCTATTGTGCTTTGTATTTTGAGTGTGTGAACCTGCTACTTGTGTTCTTGCGATAAGCGTTTTAGCTCCTCTCTTCCCAAAGTGAAATACTTTCTCAGCAGTTTCTTAACAGTTTATTAAAGCGATAGGCTACTAGAAGTTCCCTTTTCTTGGTAACTCCCAGGGGTCCACAATATCATAATTTGGGGTTCCCTTGGGGTCCCCCTACAACTTGACTTAATTTAACAAAATAGTTTGGATTTTGAATAAATGTGCAATTAGGTGTTACTCTTTTGAATTTCACCGTGCCATTATCTCCCTTAGCGGGCCGTGCAAACCGCTATTCTGGATTATGCTTTTTGCAGGATACCAGGTACTGGGATGCAGCGCAAGCCAGAGAGTTGCTCCAAAAGATTTGGGAGCCGATGATCTAAAGTATCGATCTTTCTTTGGAACAACCAGCCAGCTCCAAAGTTTAAAGGTACACTGTTTAGTGGAAGTAAGGGGATTGGAAGACTAGAGGGGAAAGACCACCCTCTTTCTGAAGAGAGAAGATGCAAAAAGTGAGGAGGGGCACATTTTACCCTTTGGGGAATAGACTTTAAAAAAAACCACCTATTTATTGATTTATTTTTAGCATACACCCACCCACTTCTAAGTAGTCTAAATAATAATAATAATAATATTTTTTTTATTTATACCCCGCCCTTCCTGGTTCAGAAAACCGGGCTCAGGGCGGCTAACAACAAATTTAAAACACTTAATTGATGCAACAAAAAGCAGCATAAAATACAGTATAAAACGTGAATAACAATGAATTCAGAATTCAAAAATCAATTTAGGGGGGAAATCCATCCAATAAACATTAGATGAAATAAAATATTTAAAAATATGATAGAATTAATATTAAGCCAGTGTAACACAGTGGTTAAGAGTGTCAGACTAGGACAGGGTTCGAATTCCCACTTGGTCTGTGAATTCTCAGGTGACATCAATAAAATGCATGTTCATAATATGTGCGCATAAACCACACATCTGAAAGACGGCTAGCTCTGTTCTTTGGTTGCCTCTGTTCTCAGACCGGTGATCGGACCTTGATGGGGAGTCGGGCTGTAAAAGCCAACCCCAGTTTCCTTATAATAACCTCACGGGGTGATTTCAGACCCATTATTCCCTTCCAGGCTCGCCTACCTCACAGGGTGGTTTGTGAGGATCAAATGGGGGGAGAAGAATCCCAAACACCACTTTGATCTTCCTGGAGGAAAGGGTAGGGTGTTGATGCAACAAACAAAAAAACCACAAAATAAATAAGTTGCTATTCCTGTCCATGAATTACTCCACTAAGGGTGATGTCTAACTAAGATGTGCTCAAAAGAGTCAGACCCATCGACTTCAATGGAATGGCTGGTTTGGTGCATTGATTCAAATGGGCCCGACTCTGCATATTACTAATAAAGGATGGTCACACAGTCTATGGCATGGGTAGGTAAACTAAGGCCCGGGGGCTGGATCCGGCCCAATCGCCTTCTAAATCCGGCCCACGGGCGGTCTGCGAATCAGCGTGTTTTTACATGAGTAGAAAGTGTCCTTTTATTTAAAATGCATCTCTGGGTTATTTGCGGGGCATAGGAATTCGTTCATTCCCCCCCCCCAAAAAAAATATAGTCCGGCCCCCGACAAGGTCTGAGGGACAGTGGACCGGCCCCCTGCTGAAAAAGTTTGCTGACCCCTGTACTGTATGGGGCTTTTTGTTTCTGAACTTCGGCAGGTAGAACATTTTAATTTTAATAGTATTCAAGCTGAAAGTAATTTTAATTTTTGATGCAGTGGGTAGAAGTAACTTCCTGAATAGTATTCAAGCTGAAGGTAATTTGCGGATGAAAGAAGGGGAAAAGGATTTTTTTTTGAATAGTTAATAAATGTGCAAACACCAAATAGATAAGAGGTAGAGATCCAGATTTAACACTCCAAAAGTAGGTAGCCATTTTAAAAAGTCCTTAAAGGATTTCAGCTCCGAAGGTGGACTGACTGATTAGGGCTCTGATATGTTAGAAAGGGAGAATTTCCCTCTCTTTCCTCATAACGCTAGTGGATTGGCGTGAGATTCAGGACAGCCAAATGAAAATACTTTTTTCACATGCTGCATAAATGAGTCATGAAATTCTTGGACATAAGAAATAGTGGTAAAAAATAAAATAAAAATAAAATAAGGTATTGTCACCACTCCTTAAAGAATCTTAGAAAGTGGGGAGAGGGATGTACGGCTTCCTCTGCTACCCTAAGCGGAGGTTTGAGGAGGCCCTAAGATACTGAAGGTAATGGGGCCTTTTATATGTCCAGCTGTCCTTTGTCAACAACAAATTGTCGCTGTTTTTGTGTGTTGAATATATGCTATGTGGTAATTTATGGACCTAATAGGTATCCCAAGACATTTGCACATGACAAAATATGTATTTTATCAAAGTAACTGTTGGACTGAAATACAATTAAGATGTACTGTATATTAATAGTGAAATACAATTAAGAAGTATATTAACAGTGAAATAATGATTAAGCTCCAACTTAAAATGATTTTTGTATTCATAACAAACTTAATAATGCAAACACATTGGCGTTTGGCAATAACAAAAGTTCCTTGAGAAACACAATTTACAAAGGCTCATAATCTAGTCTCTATTGTAAACCAAGAAAACTTTAATAAAAACAAACAAAAAATAATCTAGTCTCTAGAAACTTGCTGTAACATGAAACAATAGGTGTAAATATAGGATGCAAACTACTAATAATTATAAACAGCAGAATGTAGGCACCCTATATATAGAAACGAGCAAACCAGTGATATTTTAGGCTAGCAGGCGGGGCCCATGACTTACATCATAGGAGCCAATACAACACAAAACACTGTTGCTGTATGTAGGTTTTATTTTATTTGTGGATTTTTTTTGGAAATCTACATCTCGTTTTTTCCCCCTTTAATTTTTTTTGGGGCCCCCAAGAGAGTGGGGCCCTAAGCTATAGCTTGTTTAGCTTATAGGTAAATCCGGCACTGATTGCATGCCCTGCGCTGCCCGCTTCCCCATCCATCCATCACTCACCGCGCAGCGGATTCCTCGCAGTGCATAAAGACCCAGCATGCGGGGGGGGGGGGCTGGGTTAAGGGTTGGGTTGGGGGTTTGGGAAGCGCGATCCGCAGGCGCAGGATCCGACCCTGCAAGCCGAGGAGAGAGAAAGAGAGACCAGGAGAGGCGCTTCCTCGCCTGCGCGCACAGCCCTGCTTTGGCAACAGCTGAGCGCAAATTGCAACAAGAAATATAAATAAATGCTCGGCAGCTGCTTCCACAGGCTGCCAGCCAGCCTGCTGGAATCCGGTTCCCCGCTTGGCCAATCAGGGGAAGGGATCTCTTTCAGAAGCCATAGATTTAGTTCATGGTAAGATGCATGGCTAGCAGCTCCAGCCTTGGAGAGGCTTTTTGCAAAAGCTCCAGAAGGAAATTCAAAGTCAACCCGCAAGCTGGCGGCAGTGTGTCAGTCTACTCTTTTCCTTTCTCCCTATGCCCCAGGCAGAAGAGCAAGAGGCAACGTCAGAGTGTGTTAAATGAGCCATTTATGAATTGTTAATGGGTAAAAGCTTCCCCTCTTTAGCCACTGTGAGCTACCAATTAACTGAGAGCTAATATTTTAAGTGAAGAGGAATTAAAGAAACTTTTAATGATGGTGAAAGAGGAGAGCGCAAAATATGGTCTGAAGCTCAACATCAAAAAAACGAAGATCATGGCCACTGGTCCCATCACCTCCTGGCAAATAGAAGGGGAAGAAATGGAGGCAGTGAGAGATTTTACTTTCTTGGGCTCCATGATCACTGCAGATGGTGACAGCAGCCACGAAATTAAAAGACGCCTGCTTCTTGGGAGAAAAGCAATGACAAACCTAGACAGCATCTTAAAAAGCATATAGTTAAAGCTATGGTTTTCCCAGTAGAGATGTAAGGAAGTGAGAGCTGGACCATAAAGAAGGCTGATCGCCGAAGAATTGATGCTTTTGAATTCTGGTTCTGGAGGAGACTCTTGAGAGTCCCGTGGACTGCAAGAAGATCAAACATGATCCATTCTGAAGGAAATCAGCCCTGAGTGCTCACTGGAAGGACAGATCCTGAAGCTGAGGCTCCTAGACTTTGGCCACCTCATGAGAAGAGAAGACTCCCTGGAGAAGACACTGATGTTGGGAAAGATGGAGGGCACAAGGAGAAGGGGACGACAGAGGACAAGATGGTTGGATAGTGTTCTCGAAGCTACCAGCATGAGTTTGACCAAACTGCGGGAGGCAGTGGAAGACAGGAGTGCCTGGCGTGCTCTGGTCCATGGGGTCACGAAGTGTCGGACAAGACTAAACGACTAAACAACAACAACAATATTTTACCGAGAGACACAGCTTTCACAGAATTGTAAAGAAACCCAATGGTCCTCTATTGATTGATTGAATTTATATAGTCCAACCCCCTGCAATGAAAGAAGCTCAACACATGGTCTCCCATCCTATTTGAAACCACGCCAGATTCTGCTTATCTTTGCAAATGTGCTACAGTTTTATTGCTGCATCACTAGGAGGCTTGAATAATGGCGGGGGTGGGGGGGATATTTCTGTGCAGCCATATAATAAAATACGAGTGTGGTGTAATAATACATAAAACACAATTTACCAAGAAAAGAAGAAGACCATCGTTAAGGTGATGGGTTAAGCAAAGTACAAAATAAACACTTGCAAAGGTCTGTTAGCATTTTAAAAAAGAATTTGAAGAGAATATCAAAACCAGGGGTGCCTGCAAAATCTCTTTCTTATACAGTGTGACTGGTCGCACTCTATATATTTTTTTAATCCATATGAAAATAATCCATCTGAAGGCAGCCCTGTTCAGGGAAGTTTTTAATATGTGACATTTTAGTGTATTTTTCATCTTTGTTGGAAGCCGCCCAGAGTGGCTGGGGAAACCCAGCCAGATGGGCGGGGTACAAATAATAAATTATTATTATTATTATTATTATTATTATTATTATTATTATTATTATTATTATACCTGTTTAAATCCATATCCAGATTCATAGTTCAGTTAAAAATACAGACTGTATTCAATTCTCTGCCATCCCTACTCAAGATGTCTGTCACCCCATTTGGTGAAGCAAGACGGCCGTGTTAGATACTGTTTGTTTGAAATCTTGACGTTGGGCAGCTGAACAATGCAATAAAACAAGGGATGCCCACAAAAATGAGTTTTTAGCCTGCCTGTTCCTGCAGGCTTTGGGGCGGGGCACAAACCTCATGGTGTTTTGCCCTCCTCCTTTCCCAGAGAAGAAACCAGTTTTTCTCCTAACCCAGGGGTCTGCAATCTTTAAGACAAAAAGAGCCACTTGGACCTGTTTCCGAAGAAAAAAAACTGTGAGCCGCAAAACCATTGCGACATAGAAAATTAATCAGGGCCCCAGTGTACCATAAATCATAATCAGTGCCTGATGTAAATAATAATTAATAATGAGGGCCCAATGTCATCCTTGTCATTATAAAAATAACTTTTTTGTCACTTTTTTATTATTTCTTTGTTTGACCCCTCAAAATTACTCCTCCTCATAGAAATAAACGTTAAATTAACAAGTTACCTTTTGTGTGTGTGTGTGTGTTCTTCACTCCCCTTCAAAACAGTGACCAGTGTACATGCCCCCTTTCAATGCAGTGACCAGCGTACATGCCCCTTACAATGTAGTGACCAGCATACATGCCCCTTACAATGTAGTAGTGACCACCTTACATGCCCCTTACAATGTAGCGGGCGGGCGGGCGGGCGGGCGGGCAGGTGACGTCGGGACGGTGCGTGACTAATGCACGCACCGCCCCCATGCGACGTCACAGCCAGTACAGCGCCCGCCACAGTGGGGAGTGTCGGGGCGCACAATGCGCCTCCTCCCCTCGCTAGTATCCACCCCGGAGCCACGGCAAAGGTGTAAAAGAGCCACATGCGGCTCCGGAGGCGCGGGTTGCAGACCCCTGTCCTAACCGGAAGCATGAAAAGGATTTTTAGATTCATCACATGGCGTTGGGCCATACAGTGCACGTTCCGTGTGCTACGGTTTTTGATGTATGCAAAAACCCCTCCAGAAAAAAATAAGGAAGCGGAAAACGGAACTGACAACAGATCATTTTATTTAAACACATTCCCTGTAGGCTATTGTTCGTTAACAGATTCCGCTTTTATTTCCCACATGCTCACAGTGCAATGTCCTGGGATTTGGCTGGCGTTGGTGCCAGAAACTTGGGCAATACAGCTGGACCAAGCAAAGGCATAGATGGTGGGCAACAGGGAATGTGCCACTGCTTTAGGAAAACAAGCCAACTTCATAAACAACGTTTTGAAGTTTGGTTGTTTCAGTAAACTACAGTTAAGGCCAACCACAGTTTCTCGAGGTTCAGACATAACACAGGAAACAAGAGACATATGGAAACTTCAACTTCCAATCTCCTCCTCATGGCTGAACCAGGGAGGGCAGAAGGTTGCTGAGAAGGCTTGTTCAAATTTGGCTGAGCTATAATTTTAGCACAATAAGACCTTACTGTGAAATGGACAAAGGCACCCAAGGAAAACAGACCACGCTGACAGCACTGCTGGCTTAAAAAGCAAAGATAGCTCTTAGCTAGGGTTGCCATATTTCCAAAAGTAGAAACCAGGACAGCACCGAAATTGGGGTTTGTTTAAAAATAGCTCAGCAAAGTTGCTTGCAGCCCTATCTTAGCATCCTCTTTGAGGGAAGCCATGACAGTTAAAACTGGTATAAACCCGATATACCTTTGTAGCATTTGACACATAATACTTTTCCAGCCAAGCTGAGTTCATCCAACATAACAGAAGCACAGCAGATTGCAAGCGTTTTGGCACAAGAGTTCAAAACTGAGTATAAAGATTTTGGCACAAAGGTCTGGCTTAGGCTTCAACATTTAGTCCTGTGCGGGGCCAGAAGGTTCAGAATTCAATCGCCGGCGTCTCTAGATGAGGCTGAGAGAGAGAACTTTGCCTCAAACGCTGAAGAGTCACTGACATTCAGTGTAGACAATAAACATCAACAACAATAATAATAATTTATATATACCCCGCCTATCTGGCTGAGTTTCCCCAGCCACTCTGGGCAGCTCCCAACAGAATATTAAAAACACGATAAAATATCAAACATTAAAAACTTCCCCAAACAGGGCTGCCTTCAGATGTCTTCTAAAAGTCGGATAGTTGTTTATTTCCTTGACATCTGGTGGGAGGGCGTTCCACAGGGCGGGTGCCACCACCGAGAAGGCCCTCTGCCTGGTTCCCTGTAACCTCACTTCTCGCAATGAGGGAACCGCCAGAAGGCTCTCAGAGCTGGACCTCAGTGTCCGGGCAGAACGATGGGGGTGGAGATGCTCCTTCAGGTCTACTGGGCCGAGGCTAACTAGGCCAATGGTCTGACTCTGTGCACAAAGTACTATTCCGTTCTCGTCCCAGTCTTTCCAAGACCCTTGGGACTCTCCTCAAGTCCTTGAAGAATGGCAGGGTGTGTAAAAAGATGGTCCAGGTATGAAATTGTCTGGTACCCAAAAGTTTTCCAGCTCTCTGTATATCAGGAGTGGGGAACCGCTTGAAGAATATGCCTATATAGTGTGTGTACACACACAGAGTATAAAAATATTGTTAAATAAAAATGAATTTAAAAACCCTCCTTTGGCAATGATGGAGACGTGGTGCTAAAGGTGTCTGCATCAGCAGAGATCATATCACCAAAACCCAGACTTTCTTCTGATGAAGGAGCCTCAGGGAAAGTAGAGAATGCATCTGCCAAAATGTTAAGTGAATGAAACCACACCTTTCCACACTATATGGAAGCACCAAGCATCTGAATGGAGCAGGTGGTTTTCTGTGCACTTTCTAATGAGGTAAGTTTGGAGGTCCTGATTGTTGTTCACTAGAAACAGCGACCATTTCCGAAGACCTCAGTTTTGTAAGCCCATGACTTTACCAAGATGTGCAAAAGAGTAGAACAGCCTTCCCCAACCTCGGCCCTCCAGATGTTTTTGGCCTACAACTCCTATGATCCCTAGCTAGCAGGACCAGTGGTCAGGGATGATGGGAACTGTAGTCTCAAAACTTCTGGAGGGCCGCGGTTGAGGAAGCCTGGAGTACTGTCCTTGGGTGATAAGGATGGTGTCCATCACACTTGTTCCTTTAGTGTAATAAATAATGATAATGATAATGATAATGATATATTATTTATACCCCAACCATCTGGCTGGCTTTCCCCAGCCACTCTGGCAGGCTCCCAACAGAACACTAAAAACAGAATAAAATTTCAAACATTAAAAACATGGAACAGGTGTGTTGGACGCTGCTCAAGTTTTGCTCAAACTTTGCGAGAGAGAGAGAGGGAGAGGGAGGAGAGAGGGAGGGAAGGAGAGGGAGGGGGAGAGGAGGGGAGGGGGAGAGAGAGGGAGGGAGGGAAGGGGAGAGGGAGGGAGGGGAGAGAGGGAGGGGGATAGAGGGAGGGGGAGAGGGAGGGAGGGGGAGAGGAGGGGGGAGGGAGGGAGGGAGGGGAGAGGGAGGGAGGGAGGGAGGGAGGGGGAGAGGGAGGGAGGGAGGGGGAGAGAGAGGGAGGGAGGGAGGGGGAGAGGGAGGGAGGGAGGGAAGGAGAGATGGAGGGAGGGGGAGAGAGGGAGGGAGAGAGGGAGAGGGAGGGGGAGAGAAGTGTCACAACATCATCCTTCCCTCACGTTCCTCAAAAGCTCATCACTGGTGAAGAGCTGGAAGGCGATTTCTTCAATGGGATGGTGCACCCCACACTCAAACAAGCACCCAAACACCAGTGTGTTCCCCCCTTCTTGGCACACAGCCAGGTCCGAGTAGCTACTGGGGCCTTTGTACAGCACCCAGGGAGGGCGCCAAGAGTCTTTTTCCAACGGGGACCTGTTCAGGTAGATGCCCAAATCTAAGCGCTTGTGGCAGTTTGTGGGGTGCGAGTACACCAGCCAGGACTTTGTGCTGCTGAACGAGGCCAGAGAGGAGCGAGAGCTGCCCTCCGGCTGAGGGAAGAAGCTCACCACGCTGCCCTGGCACCCACTGGGCGGCTCGCACAAGTCCTTGGACAGGTACCCTTCCTCAAAGTGTTCTCCGCCATCTGTGCTGAAAGCTTCGGCCCGGTACCTGTCCGGGCTGCGGGAGTTGCAGTACAGCACTTGGATATCGTCCCGGCAGGTCAGCTCCGCAACTTGGCACTCGGATGTGTTCAAGTGCATCAGGAGCTGTCCTCGGGCCCAACTCTGCCCGCCGTCATCGCTGTAGAACGCCAAGGAATGAGGTCTGGTCCAGCAGTTGAGCGCGTGCCCGAAACATCGCTTGTGGATGTAGTAGGCGTAAGCTGGGATCACCAGGCGCCCGGAACTCAGCTGCAGGCCGTGCCCAGGCCCAACCGCAAAGGTGGCCCAGTTCCTCAAATGTTTGCCAATCACCTGCTCCGTCAGGTCGGTCGTCTGGCTCCAGGTGCGGCCGCCATCTTGGCTGACGACGTAGCAGAGCCGAGCGGCGTTCCTCCCTGTGAAGATCTGCTGCCGTTCCGTCACGTGGGTCTCCACGCAGATGAAGAACAGGAAAACGCGTCCACTCTTCCTCTCGAGAATGGGGCAAGGGTTCATGGTGCGATGGTTGGCCAACGTGGCTTCCATCAGAGACGTCTGAGGACCCCACTAGAAGGGAAGAAAGATGGAGTAGTTAGTCGGTGGTTCTCTCACTAGAGCCAGGTGATGTATCCCTATATCATCCAAAACCGGTTTGAAGTCTATAGCGTGATATCGGTTTAATAGCTTTTGCCCTGACAATATATCATGAATCATGATGTGTGTTAGGGCTGGATGGAAACCCTCAAAAACCGGTTTCCAGTCCATATCCTGATTTTGGTTTCATAATTTTTGACCTGGCAATATATTGCAAATCATGATGTGTGAGGGTGAGATGTTTAGCGGCAGCGGGGAGTTCGTGGAGGCAGAGGAAACAGAATCCATTTTCATGACGCAGGTATGTGAGCTGGCAATGTGTCATAGCATTTAAGCAAGAGGTGTTTACCAATGAAGCCATTCTGGAATTTTCTGGAATTCTGCCACAGTTCAAATGATTATTGGTACTAATATTGGTACTAATATTATTTCTATACATTTATTCATTTATTCTCTGTTAAATTTGCCACTTAAAACATTAATAAAAAAGTAGATGAGTTTAAAACAAACACCAGGACATTGCCAGGTCAACTAACATTTCAGATTGAAAGGAGTCAGATAAGCTGTCCACAATGATTTCAAGACACTTCCTTGGGCGGTCAGTTCCAAGCCAATCCTCTTTCCTGGCAATACTTTTGTACCTGGAACCCAACTCAAATGCTACACAGAATGACAAATCAGGAAAAGCACAGTTACATTTCCTGCACCTGGTGTTACCTGGAACACCTTGTCACCAGGAACTTCACAGAGCACCATTAAACAGCTCACCTGGACCACCTGCCACCCTGTTTTCACACTGGAGTTGGTTTGGCCACATATTGGTGGCCACATGAACTGCTGTGTGATGACAGCCTTACATTTTATGTATATAGGAAGAAAGAAGAGAATTATGGAATGAAATATAGCTCGGTTACGCTTTCTGCTCTTGGTGTTACCTGAACAGACATTCCTTCCTTCCGCCCTCGTCTCATCACCAGGAACTTGGCATTTTCGTCTCTGGGCGTTGAGCGCTCCTCAGCAAATGCCAGGAAAGTAGACTCAGACGGCAGGTAGAGGAGAGCTGGGATGCGGTAGGTGAGACCTTTTGGGTCTTCCTGGTGGAAAAGAACCGTCTTCCCTGAACCAACTTGGGCCATGTTTCCTGAGCGTGGTAGAAAAAGAGAGGTCAGAGGAACGGACAGTTTTTCCAATGGAGAGATGTAGAAAGTGGAATCCCCGCGAATTGGTATTGGGATTGCTGCTTTTTAATTTGTTCATAATTGATCTAGAGAAAGGAGTGAGCAGTGAGGTGGCCGTGTTTGCTGATGATACTAAATTGACGGTGCTAAACCAAAAAGAGATTGTGAAGAGCTCCAATAGGACCTCTCCACGCTCCGTGAATGGGCGGTAAAATCGCAAACGCAATTCAACGCAAACAAGCGTAAAGCGATGCATGTTGAGGCAAAACAAATAAAAATCTTATTTCCACATATGCTCTCATGATGTCTGAACTAGTGGTAGGTGTAAGTAAAGGACCCCTGGATGGTTAAGTCCAGTCAATGGTGACTATGGGGTTGCGGCGCTCATCTCTCTTTCAGGCCAAGGGAGCCGGCGTTTGTCCACAGGCAGCTTTCCAGGTCATGTGGCCAGCAGGACTAAACCGCTTCTGGCATCACGGGACACCGTGACGGGAGCCAGAGCGCACGGAAACGCCATTTACCGTTGTGCCACAGCGGTACCTATTTATCTACTTGTGCTGGTGTGCTTTCAAACCACTAGGTTGGCAGGATTAAGAGTGTTAATTAAAAACACTTAAGTGTTTTTAATTATCTTGGGGGCCCGCTAGGGGCGCATTGGAAGATGGCTGACAATACCATCTCTCCCGACTCACACGAGGTAATTAAGAGGCTGATATGGGAGTATGCAGCCTCCCTTGTTACCCCAAGGGAATGGGGAACACTGCCTCGCCTGCGGTTGCCATAAATCACCCCCGAGTTCAAAAGAAGGGGGTGAAGGCACTAGGCGCACAGCACCCGTGTGGGACGGCTCTCCCTGACGCTGTCTCTGATTGCGCGGCCTGGTTGCAGGAGCTCAAAATAAACAATTAGAGAGAAGCAAATGCACATATTTCGAGCGAAGAACGGGAGTTAAGATTGCTAATTGAAGTGACCTCTGTGAAGTGGAGCAATTGCTTGGATTTAACAGGAAAGAAGAGAAGAAGAAGAAGAGTTTGGATTTGATATCCCGCCTTTCACTCCCTTTAAGGAGTCTCAAAGAGGCTAACATTCTCCTTTCCCTTCCTCCCCCACAACAAACACTCTGTGAGGTGAGTGGGGCTGAGAGACTTCAAAGAAGTGTGACTGGCCCAAGGACACCCAGCAGCTGCATGTGGAGGAGCGGAGACGCGAACCCGGTTCCCCAGATTACAAATCTACCGCTCTTAACCACTACACCACACTGGCTCTTAACATAACAAGAAGAAAACATAACAAGAAGAAGATACATCAAAGGGTCGGTATGTCGGAACGGGACGGAATGGGGGGGGGGACCTTTTCTTTTCTTTGATCTTATGTGATTACCTAACAACCCTCCCCCCAAGAAGAACCGTTGCAATTACTGATTATAATCCACCAGGAAGACTCCCCTGTGGTGAGTGCCTGAGGACCCTGCTCTTGCCACTTACCATCTGGCCTGGGGCGGGGCCTGAAGCCTCATAAGGACTGCGTGCTGCTTGCTGCCGCTGCCCAGGAAGACTCCCCTGTGGTGAGTGCCTGAGGGCCCTGCTCTTGCCACTTACCATCTGGCCTGGGGCGGGGCCTGAAGCCTCATAAGGACTGTGTGCTTCTTGCTGCCGCTGCCCAGGAAGACTCTCCTGCGTGAGTGCCTGAGGGCCCTGCTCCTTCTTGCCACTTTCCACCTGGCCCAGGGAGGGCCTGACAGGCCTCGCAAGGACTGCTCCTGCCACTTACTATCTGGCCCAGGGTGGGGCCTCACAAGGATGGTTGTTGCCACTGATGCTGCTCCTGCCCAGGAGGACCCGGTGGGGTGCAGAGGTTTTTTTAAACATGTTTTAACATGTTTTAAAATTTCCCTTTTCTTTTAGATTTTTTATATATGGGGGTGGGATGGATGTGTGGGTGGCTTGGGAATTTGTTAGATTTTGTTGATTTTGTAATTTTTGCAGTTGTTACTTGTATTGTTTTATTGTTTTCTGGGTTGTTTTTGTTTTTTGTTTTTATTGTTTTAAGGTTTTATTGTTTTAGGCTGCGAAAGAATAACACTAATTGCCATCAATGGAGGCTACTATGAGGCCTGGGATTGCTACCATGGAGGGGCGAGGGAGGTATGGCGGTGGGGGCAGATGTTATAGGCGAAGGGGATCAAGATATGGATATGCTCGTACCCCTTCCAATCTGCGCCCCATCCCGAGGGACGAGGGTAGGGTGAGCAAGGATTACTCACCTCCGTCACTGGTGCTGTGCAATGCCAGGTCTATAGGCAATAAAACCGCCACCCTGCGAGATTTCTTTATCTCACAGGGGGTCGACCTGGCTTGTGTGGAAAGCCCACCACCTGTCCTCTTGACCCGTGCCCGTCTTGGCTGATTAGAGCGTGTCCAGACGAGGTGCGGGCCCTCCTGGGGGATATCATCAATTTGTCCCTTGGCACGGGGACATTCCCAGGGGAACTGAAGGCGGCAGTGGTGCGCCCGCTCTTAAAGAAAACATCATTAGATCCTTTAGATCTATCCAATTACCGCCCGGTTTCGAATCTTCCGTTCCTGGTTAAGGTGATTGAGAGAGCGGTTGCTGAACAGCTTGGTGGGTTTCTGGATGAAACATCGGCTCTGGATCCATTCCAGTCCGGCTTCCGCGCTGGTCATGGGACCGAGACGGCTCTGGTTGCCCTAACAGATGATCTTCGTAGACAGCTGGATCGAGGCGGGTCGGGGCTGCTGATTCTTCTAGATCTGTCAGCAGCTTTCGACATGGTTGATCATGAATCTCTGGACCACCGCCTTGCCGACGTGGGGATCCAGGGCACAGTCCTTCAATGGCTGCGCTCGTTTCTCTCTGGTCGGGGACAGAGGGTGGCGCTTGGGGGGGGAATTGTCATCGCGCCACTCCTTGGTATGTGGAGTACCTCAGGGTGCGATACTCTCCCCGATGCTTTTCAACATCTTTATGCGCCCCCTCGCCCAGCTTGTTCGGAGTTTGGGGCTGGGTTGCCATCAGTATGCTGATGACACCCAACTCTATCTGTTGATGGATGGCCATCCTCACTCGGCCCCAGACACACTGACCAGATGTTTGGAAGCTGTGGCTGGATGGTTACGTGGGAGCCGGTTGAAGCTAAATCCTTCGAAGACAGAGGTCCTGTGGCTGGGACGGGGCGATATGGGATTGGGGGGGCAACTCCCATCTCTTGCGGGGGCGCAATTAGTGCCAGCACCGTCCGTTAAGAGTTTGGGTGTAATCTTCGACACCTCCCTTTCCATGGAGGCGCAGATTGCAGCTATAACAAAGGCGGCATTTTTCCATCTCCGCCAAGTTAAGCAGTTGGCTCCTTACCTCTCTCGCCCTGACCTAGCCACTGTGATCCACGCGACGGTCACCTCCAGACTGGATTATTGTAACTCGCTCTACGTGGGGCTGCCCTTGAGACTGACCCAGAAACTCCAGCGGGTGCAGAATGCTGCAGCGAGACTCCTTACGAGGTCTTCGCTGCGAGATCACATTCACCCGGTGCTATACCAGCTGCACTGGCTCCCGGTGGAGTACAGGATCAGGTTTAAGGTGCTGGTTTTAACCTTTAAAGCCCTATACGGCTTAGGACCCTCGTACCTACGGGACCGCCTCTCCTGGTATGCCCCACAGAGAAACTTACGGTCCTCAAATAAAAACATCTTGAAGGTCCCAGGCCACAGAGAAGTTAGGCTGGCCTCAACGAGAGCCAGGGCTTTTTCGGCTGTGGCTCCGATCTGGTGGAACACTCTGTCACAAAAGACCAGGGCCCTGCGGGACTTGACATCTTTCCGCAGGGCCTGCAAGACAGAGCTGTTCCACCAGGCCTTTGGCCAGGGCACAGCCTGACTCCCTCCTTCGGCAATCTTCGCGGAGCTCTGGCCCAATGGCTGCCAGTGGCTTGAATTAATTAATTTTAGAATGAATGGTTTTAGAGTGTTGTTTATGCTGTACTTTTGTACTGTTTTATTGTTGTTAGCCGCCCTGAGCCCGGCTAAGGCTGGGGAGGGCGGGATATAAATAAAATTTATTATTATTATTTATTATTATAAGTGGGATGATTAAGAACTGTGTGGAAATGAAGTACTAATTAAGTACTGTGTGGAAATGAAGTACTAATCAAAGACATGGTTTGTGAAACGTCGGGGAAGAGCCTTCGGAATGACGCAGTCATAAAAAGAGACTTGTTTAATAAGCAGGCCTGGCTACTGGATTTATGATCGAGGGGGAGGAGACCATGGTATTGGAATGTGAGTTCGACCTGGCAGAACCCCCTAAGAAGATTGAGGAGAGACTGACAGGCCTGCGAGGATTTAATGGGCAGACTTTAAGAATGTTTTGTTCGAAAGTGTGGAAATGGTGTCTGTCTGTTTGTATAAGGCTCTTGGAGGAACGGGAAATCCACACGGGATAAACAACGTCTGTTTTCAACCCGCTTGTGGAGCCTATCAGAGGTCACAAAGAAAGGAATATATGACAACAACAAGAAAATGAGGGAAACAATAAAGATAAGATTGGATAGAACTGTGAATACTATTTGGACAGAACTGTAACATTAAATCAGCAGCAAGAGAGATGTTTGGATCCCTTTCTGAGCTCGAAGCATGGGTACCCCCAACAAAAATTTAAAAAATTTGGCTTTGTAATTTGGAACTAATGTCATTTGATTGGTTTGTTATTAAAATTATATTAAAAGAAAGAAAGAAGTGTTTTTAATTATCTTAAGGGTAGTAGTCTACAGTGGTGCCCCGCAAGACGAATGCCTCGCAAGACGGAAAACCTGCAAGACGAAAGGGTTTTCCGTTTGCGAGTTGCTTCGCAAGACGAATTTCCCTATGGGCTTGCTTCGCAAGAAGAAAGCCCATAGGGAAATCTCCGGGGACCTCTTTTAAATGCTGGCGGTGGGGAGCAAAGCCTTTCCCCCCCCGGCCTTCAGAAGAGGTCCAGGAAGGCCGGCGGGGGCCGAAAGGCTTTGCTCCCCACCGCCAGCATTTTAAAAGCAGTCCGGGATAGCAGGGAAGCACTTCCCGCTATCGCGGACGGCTTTTGAAGGCAGGCGGGGGGAGCAAAGACTTTCGCCCCCCGCCCGCCTTCAGAAGAGGTCCTGGACCTCTTCTGAAGGCGGGCGGGGGGCGAAAGTCTTTGCTCCCCCTCGCCTGCCTTCAAAAGCCATCCGGGCCAGCGGAGAAACGCGCTGCCTTTCTCCGCTCTCCTGGGAAGGCAGGCAGGGGGGAGCAAAGACTTTTGCCCCCCGCCGGCCTTCAGAAGAGGTCGGGGGACAGACTGTCCCCGGACCTGGTCTGAAGGCGGTTTCCATAGGAACGCATTAATTGATTTTCAATGC